CCATCGACCGTTCCACCACCACAGGAAGAACCACCACCCTGGAAGCGGCGAGCTTTTGGTGAGAGAACTTAGCCCTGCCATCCGTATGGCACAAAATTGATGAAGACTCGTCCATGTTCATGCAAAATACATTGAATTATTGAAATACAAGAAACATCCAGAAACATCCAGAAACTGAATGGGCTAGGTATGTCAGTTTGATGTCACTTTGAACTTTGATGAGCTTGCAAAGCAGCATCGACCGTGGTGGAAGCTAAAATCTCAGTGTCGCATTCTCTGGCCACAGAGTCCGTGCCTCACCCACCATTCGATCCAATAGACCACTCTTCAAGGTGTCCTGGAAAGGAGACAAGACAAGACCCAGGTCACCAGGTCTCATGTGCCTCCCACGGCAAATTCAGGACAAATTAACAGAAAGCCCAGAGAAATTGATTCAGAGCCAAGAAAGGTGATCAAAGGTGGTCTTCCAGGGTCTTCCATGATTTTCCCTAAGTTTCTCCTCAAACCCATCAATCACTGGCATCCTTCTGTCCAAGATTTGCACTCCCAATCTCCTCGAAAGACATCTTGCCACTGGGAGAGGGCGGGAAGCGCAGCCTCGTGACACAGTAGATCCAAAGTGGCTGGGCAGATCTGCTCGGTCACGAGTCGAGCTTGGTGTCAGAAATTCTGAAAGCTTTTCATGTCACTATTTTGTGAAATCTCTGGAGTCTGGAGGCTGCCATGCAGCAAAGTTAAAACTGGCAGTATGACGCAGTATGAGCTGTGCGTAAACAAACTTTAAAAAAAATAATAAACTTGAAAAAATATGACTACGCCATCCCTTGCTGATGCTAAAAACTCAAAAACCGTCCATCAGCTGTATTAAATGCCCAGTGAAGCTTGGCAAGGCGAGAAAAAATGCTAAGATGTCACCTCCAGTGAAACAGACGTTGGCCGAGGCATCACAGTTGAGCTATGTTGAGCTCAAGACCAACGCAGAAACTCTTCATATTGCACTATGCGGTCTCCGTTGATGTCAACGCTACTGTCAGGGAATGCCGTGCTGCAGGAATATGGCCATGACACACAATGATCTGGTTTCTATTTACTCAACCTGACGCGGCAATGGGGCAGCACTTCATTAATGAAGAAATGATTTGAAATGACCCAAAGACGAGCTCAGCAAAAAATGCAGGTGATGAAATGGTGACCACATGATGATCCACGCGGTGCTTTGGCCTTACGAGGTGTGCAAGCTCCTCATCATCTGCTGCTGGACATGCCTGGCCAATTGACTTTCCATAACCCCTCTCTGACAGGTATGAATGTATCATGGAGGTATCTAATATACTATGCACACTATGCACACTATGCACACTATGCACACTATGCACACTAGACACTATCCACTGTGAGCGCGTCCAAGCATTTGTCACAGATCGACTTTGTCGGATTTTTCTCAAGTTCGAGCAAGTAAAAGCAAGTACAAGCAAGTATGTTTTCAGCCTAAATGTTGACCAAGGAATACCAAAGGCAATTCTCAGTATGAATGAATACCATATACAACATTATACAACTCGTTTCTACATGGCTGGATGCATGGGTTGCATGATTTAGATATGATTAGATATTATAGTCATAGTGTATAATTAGACAATATTAAACATTTCTGTGCACGTCTAAGGCATTCTGTGATTCATCTTTAACCTTGACAGAAGTACTTCTTGCGCTTCAATTGAACCTTGTAATGTCAAACAGAAAATTTATCAATAGTAGGTCCACGCTAAGCCGCTACGTCCGGTGCCTCCTTCAAGATGGCTTCCAGCTGTGAACGAGGTAAGCCGCCCTCACCTGTCGAAAATTGCTGCAGCTGTGACTGATGGTCCTGGTGAAATGACTGCAAAGAACAAGCGACCAAAGACCTGAAACATCAAGGGGAGTTGCCCAAAATTAGGGTAACCAAATTTCCAGCGGCCAAACATGGCTGATGAATGTTGATGATCATTTTCCCCCATAGAAATACCGTGAAATTACATGTTTATGGCTATTTTGGGGTATCCCGGTATCCCGCTATCCCAAATTTCAGGAGAAACCCAAGGGTCGTTCGCCGCTGTTTCATCCCGCAGGTGGTTGAGGCTGTGGTGATCTCATGTGATCTCACTAGCGCCCTTTCAGCACTTAGACTTAAACTTAAATAAACAATAGATATACTTAAACCAGGAACCCATGCACTGTGAACAGCAAAGTTCAGTGAGTCTCTCTGAGGGTTAGAACACTAGTTGTGGTATGTTCCGGTTTGTATATCTCTGAAAAAGTGCCCTTGATCCCCAGCACATTTCAAGCAAATCCAATGGAACAAAATTGGCAGCAGTTGAAAGCTCTGCAGCTCTGGAACATCTCGAACATGTCGAACCCTCACCAGTTGAAACTCGATTCCACATCGGTGGTGCGCCTTCGGTGTCTGACTGGCGGCAGAGCTGCATAGCCTTGTCCAAGACCTATGCAAGCTGTAAGGCGCCTCTGAACACTGCCCCAGAGTGAAACCGTAAGGACTGCCAGTGACAACAAACCAGCAAATCTTCAAAACTGTTGGAAAACTCATCTTAAAATTCATGGAACATATGGAAATATATGGAAATGAACTGGACTAGATGGATGAACTGGATTCCTGACCAAATCTTACCAAAAGCTACCAAGTATTGCCAGGTTATGCCAGGAACTTCTGTGCTCCACGCACCTCTGGATCCATGCGATCCATGGTGACTCCGCCAGGCCGCCTGGTGTCAGGAAAGGCTTATGATAAGCCATGGTTGCATCAACGCAACTGCCATGTTTGGAGTATATCAAATGTATAAAAATCTTAAACACACGTTAAACACATGCATGTTATAATATAATATATATATATAATATATATTCATACACTGCTGTCAATTGATTTTAATACTGTTATAAAACACGAAACATCGAACAACAGTTCGATGACCCGGAAGTCACTGGGTTCTAGAGCTTGAATGGAAATGTGTGTCGAGTTTACAAGTCCCGGTGCTTTTGAAAAGGTTGGTATCAGGAAAGCTTCACCATACGAAGGAATGGGATGGAGTGAAACAATCCAGCAGCCAAGAAAGCCCTGAATTTTCCTGCTCCAGCAGCTCAAATTGTCATAACAATACCTTTTCCACACACATGGAAAAAATCCAAAATCATCCAATATCATCCAAAATCTACACTTCTCCTACTCGTCTTCTACAGGCAATCTTCAGATCGTTTTCTCACAAAAAGTCAAACCTAACAGACATGACGACCTATGACGACCTATGACGACCTATGACGACCTATGACGACCTATGACGACCTATGACGACCTATGACAACCTCAGCCATGGCCTCAACGTCTTCGACTGCTGGCTTCGCAGGGGCTCGGCTATGAACGCTAGAGTTGAAATGTCTACCAGCAAACTGCCAGCCTGATGGCTCAAAGTCTGATTTTGAAGGTATGATCTAGCGCGTTTGACTCTGACTTGCAAGATGATAAAAACACGTCTTGCACTGAGCTTGTGTCGGCTTCTCCTATAAGTTTCGTTGTCACAGGATGCTTGGGTATGGTAGAGGGATGATTGGTGGATGTGAGCTTGCTACTATATAGCTTATCAGGCTTATCATCCTGTTAAGCCGCTTCTTACTCATCAGGAAAATGGAGTGTCTTCCTGCTGCACTTGGTTATCGCATTCCCTCAATTGGAGCCCATCCGCAGTCCTCCTGGGGTGGCTAGGCTGAGATCAAAGCCGAGAAAACACAGGAAATTCATGACTTGAGATCTTGTAGCTCATGTCAATGCGGAACATAGCAATAACAACGCTTTGCCATTATTTTATATGATTTTTCTAATTCCCCATTCCGAAGCAAACGCATCGTACAGAAATGCCGTTTCTTGTCTTGCGGTTTTCTTGCTACTGGGATCATGGCTCACTTGTCCTTGCTGCATCCAGTATGTGCGCGTAGAAGAGACAACCGAATGCATCAAGAAAACAACGAGCTAGTCATCCAATCAGCATGTAATCCCAAAACACCAGTATGTACAAGATAGAACAGAGACCAGGTCAATCCGCAGGTGGATTCGTCCAGAGTACTTTGAGCGCGATGGACCAAAACCTGAAACGCACCACTTTTCCCCCCCTGTGGCCTCACAGCTTAGTGTGCCAACGGATCATTCCTTACCCTTCTTGGCCCGGGAAAAGCATCTGCCCAATGAACAAGATGAGAAACCATCATGCAGTGTGGATCCTAAGTTACTAGTTACCTCATGTTACCTCTACTACCCAAAAGTTCCATTATGGTGGTCACAACGAGCAATTCTCAAAATGAGCGTGGCTGCACTGCGAGCAAGAAGGGCAAGAAATGCTCACAGCCCACAGCAAAAATAGCAAATAATCGTGGCATTCAATTTGAATGTCCTCTGATTTTACGCCACCACCTTCAAGTCTGGTGGGCTACCATCAAAATACTGGTTGCCCTTTGCAGGTTTCATGACTAGACTATCATGACTGCTTTCAAAGAATTGTTGGATGCTTTGGATCAAAGCTGGAGGACGCATCCGCTGAAACATCGTCTGATTTGGTATAGAATCTGGTACAACTTGTCTTGACTGTACTCAATGACTCAACCAACCTAAAATGTTTTTGCAACACCTAATTTCTCCAAACTTGTATTCATTCAACCTTCTTCTTTTAAAACCAAACGTTGCACTCTGGAGCCAGCCAAACGTGCACACCTCAGGTCCATCCGTTGCCGGTAGACAGAGAGCAACGAAGCACCTGCACTGGGAATTCGGTCCTCTTTGGGATGGATATGTCAGAACCAAGGTCTCTTGGAACATCCAAATGTTGAATTATGTTTGGAGACATTTGGATATTCCTGATATTTCCTGATCCTGGTTTGTCCAATTCACTTTTCCTATCTTTTCCTATCTTTTCCTGCTTTCCCCATGACCCATAGCACCGGTGGCACCGGCACCGAAATCAGATTGGAAGCCTCAGCTGGGGCATGCTGCACCAGTTGGTAGGGTTGCAATGGTATCATTTGGGACATGATTTTCTTCATTCTGCTATCAAGTTGTTTAGATTGATGTCATGCTAATTTGATCCCGCAAGCCCAAAAAAAGTCTGTAAAGGCTCACCCGTATGATATACAGCTTTGTTTTATCAAGTTGAAACTGTTCTCACGGGCAAGAATCGGCCAAGCAACGGAAAGCGCGCTTGGGCATTCATTGCGACAGTTTGAGCCATGCTGTGGCCTTGATTCCCGACCAGGAACACGGCCGGCAAAACCAAAGTCGTCATAGAATCATATAGAGCACAGCCAAATGGGCCAAATGGAAGTCAATTAGTTTTCTGTCCTTCTCTCTGTCAGACTGTCTTGCATACGTATGGACCCATATGCTAATATCAGTGTATATATGTATATATATGTATTGTATATTTACACATATCGTATATATATACATATGACTAGTTATTAGCATTTATTAGCTATATTTCATCATTAGTTCATCATCCTGTTACAGTAATTCCCATTGATCGAGGGTGATCGGGGTGTGCCGGGCGCCTTGGCTGGGAGACCTCACCTCGCAATTTCTGACGCAGGCACTTGACCCGGAGAAACGTGACATGTTTAGTGATAATGTTTAGTGATAATGGGTTTACTAATGGGTATAGAATAATTACATATATTCAATAATTTATATACAATGTCAATACTTATATATATATATTTATTGTACATTATACTATCAATAAAATACATATAATGTGTAGTGAGTCGATGATGTTTCCAATTCATAAGTACAGGTTATTCCCATGAAGTTCCCATTTTCAGTGTACGTCCTCTCAAAAATCTGAAAGTGACTGTGTAGTGACTCTACAGTGACCCATCACTCTCTGCAAGTCCAGTTTGGTTGGCTGATGTGTCAACATCCTGACAGTTCGTCGAGGGAGCTGCCGTTTCTTGTTTGATGCAACGGGGCTTGACCAAACTCTGCACAAATGTCATTGGTTGTGGGATGTTGTGCGATGTCCAATGATTCAATGATGATCAAAGTCGCATTGAGGTACAAATGCTGGGTCTCCGAACAGGTGGCATAACTATCGCGCCCGGCGAGGGACAGGGGACGCCGAATCTGATGGTGCGGCACTACGGTTTGGTAGCCATCACAAATAGAGATGCAAAAGAAGGCTAAAAACATCTAAAAACATAAAAGGAATATAAAAGGACCGTAAAGGAACCAATTCAACACATGACGAGATATCTCTTAGACTTACTCGTTCCGAGCCGTAGAGTCATTGTAGAGTGACCGAGTAGAAAGTCATGTGTGTTTGGTGATTTGCAGTGAGTTTCAACGGTTTGGATAAAGTCGTCCATGACAATACAATATGCTACAAAATAAACATCACAACCACATCCAAGAACATCCAAGAACGGTTTACTTTCCTGTTTTTGAATGGTTCTGTACCTTGTGACCAATTTCTACGTGGCAAGAGTAGGATAGGCCAAGAAAGTTGTATGTGATCATCCCGCAAACAGCAAAGTATCTCTATTGCGCTTGACCTGCTGAAGCATTGATTCAAGCATCACCAGGTGTCTAACAAACCCATTTCCCAACATTTTCCCAAGATTTCAGGCCCAGTCGACCAGCTGCATGCTGCGTCATGCTGCGCCATGCTGCGCCTCTGTGGAGTCGCCAGAGGCATGGCTGTCCGCCTTGGAGTGACAGGTCATGTTTTTTTTTGGTGTGTTGTCGTTTCCCTGGTTTAAACTCGTTACAATGGTTACATATATCTTATCAATTATTATATAATATATAGATATATATATATATATCATGTTCTAAAGTCTTGTGACCATGTAGTGCTTTTGGGGGTTATGATAGTGCATGATATCGTTTTTTCAACTTAATGCTCCACAAAATGACATCTCGGACAAGTGTGTCTCGCATACACTTTGTCGGATTGCAGCGCTGCACACACCTACAACATCCTACAACATTGTCCAAAAGTCAACATCATACTGTCTAGGTTTATGAAGCTCAACAAAAACAAACCAAACGGACGCAACATGATACAATATGATGTACATACCAGACATCACGGTAACATACTTGTCATTTATTGTTCATCAAACCTATTGGTGGCCCCTGAGTTTCACCATGGCTCGGGCCGAGGCCCGAGCCCATCGAACGGCATGGCCATGGGCCATGGCTGGGGTGCCGTTGCCGCTGGTCCCGCTGGTCGTAGCGGCCATGGCGCCGTTGGCGCCGTGCGCGCCGGTAGAAGCATCGATACCTTGCCGCCAATGGCCATGGGATACCCCAAAAATATCCAAAAATCACTTCCTAAAAATGGGTCCTGTCTCTACTCTGACTGGAAAAATATGGATGGGAAACATTGGGAAACCACATTTCTCAACCATGAGATTCTACCAAAAGTTTCGGAGAAAACCACATGGATCATTCTAGTGATCAATGTGCTTTGATGTGCTTTGTAAGGCTGTTGCTGAACCAATTATAGCTCGACTTTTAGATGATTTTAGATGTTGACACTGGATCTGCTGATAAGATATGATAAAATGCTTCGAACGCCCGAGGTTCATCGAGGTTCTAGATTGCAGGAGGGCTCAAGGCCGTTTAATACAGCTCCAGGTCTCTGTAGAATCCCTCTTGCCATGCGACTGTCGGACGTGGAGCGACGGTGGTTTGCAGCGGATATGCAGCGTTCGAAGCTATTCTGGTCACTGCAAAGGCACCTGCATGGCGTGAAGTGGTGGAGTCAAAATGAATCAGATTGGCAGTTTAACCTCCACAATATTCCAATGGATTAGCCAGCCATATTCCAATTCAATTCAATTTATCGTATGTCAAGGAAAGCAATACCTTCTGTGAGTCAGATGAAATTTGGCTCTCGATGCATGATTCCTTTCCAGCCGCACCCCGCTTCAATCCTGTTCACATGGAGCCCAAACCAGCCTGGACTAGCAGCCCATTGGCTGGGCTGGCTGGGCCGGCTGGGCCTTACCTGGACACTGCCAGTGATCCTGCTACTTGTCGCAGGGGACCTGAGCGGATCACTTCTCCTCCATCCCAATTTCCGGCAGTGGAACGGATGGATGCTGCCTATTGCGGTCAAGGAACCTGACCGGTAGTGCCATGGAAGCTTGAGCCGGGGGTGTGACGACCACCTGTCCAGAAACGTCTAGACCAACGAATCAATCGCTGGAGGGTGGTGGATATGTAGACTGAAATGGATGCCAATGGCGAAAGGTAAGTGAATATTTCATGGTATTCAAAAGCAGTCGCAAGAACAGAAGCTGCTTTGATCTGCTTTGTGTTGTCGAATTTTGACAACAGGATGCATTGAGATGCATTGAGATGCATTGAGATGCAGCATTTTTGGGCCATCGGATCCTGGCAAGTGGTGGCTCCTCATAAGTGGAAAAAAATGCAAGTAGGACCCGGCCGGTGAAACCCACCTACACTTCGCAGCATCTATCCAAGAATGAACAAAAGGAACAAACAGTAATCACTTATCCTAGTTATCTTACAATAGTAGACGCTCATATGGCACGCTGTCTTGCAGGAATGTCTTGGACATCAACACTCAGTTCCAGCCTGTGTCGTATAAGTTCGACCTCAGATCATAACCAGACACCGATCCAAACCCAAGCATCTCATCCAAATCATCCAAATACATGGATTGGACGTGCACGCTGAAGAATTCTGGCTTTCGGCAATCTTCCGAAGTCGTATGTTAAATTTCTGCATGTGAGTGATATCCCGAAGTGTTGCATGACGCATCCTTTTCTTGGGATGTTGGTAGGCCTGTAGACCTTTCCTCCTGTTGGCAAAGGTGTTGTTCGGGGTTCATCAATGGTGCTTCTCAAAGATGCACACACCCTGGTCATGCGACCTTTTCAAATTCCCAAGATGTCGTAAAGGAAGTGAAGCATAGAATACGTCGTCAATTCATCGCAAAGATTGCTGCCGGTGCATCAACTCAAACCCAATCCCGTTGGGCACTCGGGCTTGGCAGCGATTTGGTTTGGTTCACCGATTGCACTCCCGCTGCTCCGTCCTTGTGTTCAATTTGCGATTCGGCGTTCGGATTCCGTCCGGATCTTTCGGATTCTTGTTTTGGAACGTTTTGGACAAGAGACGACAAGAGCTCGAACCATTCGGTCCTATGAGTCCTGTGAAGGTTGAATTGCTGTGGGGGAGTGCATGACAAGCCATGCCATGAGAAGCCATGCCATGAGAAGCCGGGATTCCCGACAGCTACTGCTCCCTGCACACTGGGTTGGCCTTGGCTGAGAAATGGAAGCTGGCGCACCTGGTTCTGGTTGAACTTGAATGAAAGTGAATAGGCTCTTGGATGTTCTTGGTAAGTTGAGTCAACTAGCCACAACTAGCCAATCTGCAACCATCTTCTTGAAGGAAAACCGGTAGTTACTCCTGTACACGCCGTCTGCAAGATCAGTGCAGAGCAAGCACTACATGCATCATCACTTTATGCATAATTATGTGTTACGGAATTTGTAACAACGTGATGATATTGTGATGTGTAGGAATTTGTATGGCTGATAATATTCCATGATATTCCTACATACAAACATATAATATACAAACCGTATTGTAGGAACTTTTAAGAAATCCTTTTTGGGACAAAGCTGCTGTAAGACGAAGTAGTGGCTGCAAGCGCCTCCGCCGTCACCGACAGTTCACCAGAGTTGGAGCGAATTTGGGACCTTTCCTCAAGTTCAAAATCAGAAGGTGCCTAGCAGCACTAGCAGTGCCTGGCCAATCTTGAATCGTCTTGAATCTTGAACAGGATCTATATCTATTCGGAATTCCAAGTGCATAGTTCTCCTTCTTAATTACATCTTCTTACTGATTCCATACTAAACACGTTCACTTGGGTCAACCCGAGAAAATCTCACCTGAGCTATAGAAGCTCAATTTCCTACGAGACACAGGTACAGCACTTGAGCACACCTACAATGATCATGCAAACATCTGATCAATGGATAATTACACTGTGACGTCACTGTGACTTGATTGAGACTTTTGGAATTACACGGCTACATCACGGCTACATCTTTGCAGGTCAATTAAGACTGCTTTCCTGACATCAACGCTTTGTCATGAGGATTTATGAGGATTTATATGAATATTTATGAGGATTCTGAGGTTTCAGAGTTCCACAGACCAGACCGTGGAATCCAATGGAATCCAACCCTCTGATGGCCATGATCCGCGGCCTTTGAATACAGTGGCTGCGCAGGTGGCAATTGTGTGGACTGCGACATCTGCACCTTGTGACGTGCCCCACTTAAAGCATCTTTAATCATCTTTAAAAATCATTTCTTTAATCATCTTTAGTCCATTTGAATCCTAAAATGTCCTAAAACATCTCAAAGTATCTTGCAGCATCCTCAGAGCTCAAAATGTTGCCGCATGTTGCCGCTAAGACAGCTGTTTTCTGATTCGAATCAAAAATCAACTTACGTAATTCATCCCAATGTCCGAAACGTGTGAAGTGGCCAAGATATTACTTCGACACCACTAAGGAAGCCAAATGAACCCAAGTGAACTGACTTCCAACTAAGTGCTGGAATGGCACGACGTTATACTGTGGACGCATAGAGAATTCCCTGCAGCCGGGAGCCGTGTAGAACGGCTGCAAGCCGAGAAGTTCTGATCTACAGTCGGTTTCTCATACAGAAAACTCTGGTTCAGATGCTCCTTGTTGCGTGAGAATTCCTACTCTTGACATAAGTAATTGACCATTCAAATCAAATGTAGTTCAGTGCAAAGAGGGAGTATGACGGAAGAATCTAAGCACTTGATGAGCGAATCTTGCTTGTCATTTCCAGCAAGTAGACTCAAGAACACACCTCCAGACTTAGGAACCCTAATTTTGTCTGCCACTACATGCCTGGACAAACCTGCTTGATTAGCAATGTCCAAATGTTGGGACGACATGGGACATAAGTGAGTTGTGGCTCAATTCTGCCTCCCATTTACCACCATGGTGTAGCCATAGCCACCTGTGGCTGAGAATCAAAGAAGTGCCATCTGCTCTAGCAGCGGAAGCGTCAAAAATGCCAAGGTTCGTCGGCAAGAAATTTATTTTAGTGCTGCCCTGCTGACCCTTAAGGCCAGGTAATGCTGAACTACGAAATTTGAACCGGCGAAGTGAAAAAAGAAACGAAACAAAATGTCATGCTTCCACAGCGCCTGAGACAACAGGTGCAGGAGATATCCTGCAAGACTGGCATCAATAGGAAGAACTAAGGTAGCTTGTGGATTTCAGTCATGCAGAAAAACGGTGTTGGTCCTGCTTTGAATCACTTTAGAAAATAACATCAGGATATACATCGGGAACAATGATCATGGATGTTCCTAATGCCTTCTCATCCTTTGTCAAAGTTCTTGCTGCAGCGTGCTCATGACGCTGTCATCCCACAAGCAGACTACTTGACTACTTCCATTCCCAGCACCCTTTCGCACCATGCAGCTTTGCGTCTGTCTTTTCCGCAGCCGAATGCCAACAAATCGCAAGACGGGGTACTTGCCCAGGTTATTGAATCATCTTTCAAGCTGTCTTGGGACCAAGGTTGCGCAGCACGCAAACCTTTTCTTTGGTGCCTGCGCTCGCATTTGGAACCACCAGCTTTCACCACTGTCACCACACAACTTCCACCATCAAGCTGGAGATCATCCAAACACAAAGGTCGCGTTGGGACTTTGCCTATGGCACGTGCTGATCTTCACGCGCCCTTGCGACACCTTGGCCCATGGTCTCTTGAAGAATCTCATGTCCTGGTGAAAAGAAGGCAACGACATAAATCGTTTTGGCTACGCGACAAAAATGTTTGGTGGGCACGAGGCAAAGCCGACAAGAATGAACCACACGTTCACAGAAAACCGTGATGATAAAATCCTGATTCAATTGACGTTGTTTAGACGCCTACTTCGAACCGAATATGTACTTCGCCAATAGGAGTTCTGGTCTTGAATGTATCAAGTTCCAACAAGGTGTCCGGCATCAAAGTGACACCACATGGACCTAGCTCACAGCAGAGTCTTGCACTTACTCTGCAGTGTGCCACGACCAACTCACAACCACTCCCCACAACGACAAACTGATTATGGAAGTATCTTCCAAGGTAATTATGCTTTTGCACTGGCATTATTTCAGGAAAGCTACAGCCAAGCGGCTGTCGATGTGGCAAACCATCAATCCGAAGGCTATGCAGCAAAGACTGCCAACAATTAAAACCTAAAGCGACAATCCAACTCTGCTTTGGCAGCAGTGGATGGACCCCATTGTCAGCTTTGCATGGTGACCACATATCAAAGTTTATCAAAGTTATCCGGCTTCAATCGATTCTTGGAGTCACAGCCCGCTCTGGTAGCTGTGCTCAAGTATTCGAATATGCCAAACATGCCAACCACAGGGTTGCAAATCTCGCTTTGTGTGCGGATGTTCCTTCTACAAAATATAAAACAAACAGATTAGTAGACAAAGAGTAGAGAAAGGAGTACTCCTGGTCTGCAAATGTACATATAAATAGAGATATGGAGACGACAATAACATTCAGAATATATTTGCATATATATCTGCGTTAATTATCGTATATCGATTTGTTGATAGGCCAAGAAAATGTTTCTGGAATATAGAAAGATATATGGGGTCTTGTAAAAAAAAAACGAGCCCTCTCAAATGTTTTTTTCACACGTTATTGTTTTTGTTCCTCTTATCGTTTTTCCAAGCGCTGGCTTCACACCTTGACCAAAGGATTCACATGAGCGAGGAATGGGAAAAGGAAAAGGAAGAATAAAGGAAGGGAAAGGAAAGAATAGGAAAGGGATGGAAAGGGAGAGGAAAAGGAAAGGGAAAAGGAAAGAAAAAGGAAAAGGAAACCAAAACGAAAACGAAAGAAAAAGAAAAGGAAAGGAATAGGAAAGGAAAAGGGGAAAGGAAAGAAAAAAATTAGGGACCCAAAAATCATCATCCAAAATTGGTAATGATTCATGTTTGATGGGAAGACTGCCCGCTTTAGGATACCACAATGTTGAGAAACATCCATGATATTGATAGAGAAAATACTCAGAAAACTTCATCAGAACGCCTGGAGCATCTGGCGTTCTTGACTTTGTGGAGTGGAGCCCGATGAAATTAAGCACAAAAATAGCAGTATCAGTATTTTTGACATATCAAGCGGATCCGTATCAGTATCAATTTGACCCTATCGACGTCTTGGAGTCTCAACCCTGTTGCCAACCGTTGCCAATGGTTGCCAACGGTTGCCAACGTCAGGGTGTCACATAGATCTGCATCCCTGGCGCCGTGTCAGTACCGGTGACCAACACATGCGCTCAAAAATAACGATCTGACCGCTGAAGGTTGACCGCAAATCACGAAGCTAATGGTCGGAGCGGGCCCAGAGCTGACTGATCATGGGACGGAAAAGCTCCAACTTCAAACAAAGAGACGAGTCGAGCTCGTTCCACTGCGCCTGAGACTGCAGCAATCTGGAAAAGTGTGCATTTTCCATCATTTTCCAATCCCCGAGAAAACTTGTCAGAGCTTGTCGAATTTTCGGAATAATGTAATCTGAAAGACACTGAAAGACACTGAATCTCCAAGTCTGCCAAGCCCTGTTTACAAGTGTAGATCTGAGGAAAACCATCCGCTGCCGCTGCCCTAACCTGCCCCATCGCGCCTTGCGCGTCGCGCACAACTTTGAGGCACGGAAACGCCCACTTAGGAGCGCGTGCCACGCAGGCGCCGACCGGACCTCACAGGTGACGCTCTTGAGATACGGCCCACGAAATGGAACTTGTCCAATTTCCAAGGAAGTTCAGCATCAAAATGAAAAGTGATGAATATGTAATACAGCGATATACAGTGTACATATATGACAAGTGTGGTAAAACTCACGGAGAAGCTGCTACATCATGCTACATCTTGCGGTAATATGGAAGCAAAAGACGCCAGGCTGAGAGCAGTTTCACAACTGTGTTCCTTTTCTGCAAATTTCTACAAGGCTACAAGGTACCATTTCGCCATTTCGCATGTGCGCATGAACCCAAAGACTTTCATGGGTCATCCTCTAGGCTTCAACCGAACACCCAATAAGCCAAGCCACATCAGGCGCCTCTCGTTGTCATCCTGTGCTCGCTGAAACAAGATCTGATCCCACGGTGGTGATTTCTGACGTATGTCAGTGCATAAAACAAAGGGACTTGCATTTCTCAGGCTTGACTTTTGTGCACTTGCAGCTCAGGCGGGATGAATCATGAATCATCATGAATCCATGTGATGATGTAAATCTCAATTCAACTCTGGTGAAGTATTTTACAAATCTCGGTATAATGAATATCTTCAACTTGACAACATCCAGAAATATCCAGGATCACAGGCCTCATTCACCACACGGCACTGCGTGCGGTTGCTTCGGCACTTGTATTCCCGCCACCTTCGCACTGGTGCGGAGCACCTCAGCTGAAGTTGATATGAAGTTGAGTTGGAAGCAAATTGGAAACAAATGAGGTGGACAATGGTGGAAATCTTGAAGTGGATAATCTGGAAAGATCTGGAAAGATCTGGAAAGATCTGGAAAGTTGATTTTGTTGCGAAAATTGCTGTCTCATGTTGTCGCCCGTGTGCGAACTGTAAGAGTCCACCATCCTGAAATATCCAGCTGGCAGCTCCACCAAGCTCCTGGCTTTTTGCCGTTCCTGGTTTCCTTTACACAAAGGAATTCGTAGCCTTCGACGGCTGCAAAGCTACTGGAATTGTGATGTTGGGGATGGCCAAAGTACCCACGGCACATCTACAATATTCGAAGCTATAAATAGAATATTTCATGTGCAGAATTTCATAGAATTTCCATGAATTTCACTCCATGCTATCAGATCATTCACAGACATCAATTGTGACTTGGCCTTTCATGCGCAGTGCTGAGTGCTGCCCCACAAGCAGCTCCAGGGACCCCCGCCGCTGCTGGAAGACGTACGTCCTGTGTACTTGTCGCAAACGTCGCTACCTCAGCGAGGTCTTGGGTGCAGTGTGCTAACGATCTTATATGTCTTGTAGATGTTACATCCTATGTGGTAATATTATTGGTAGGTGTATATATTCATAACATTATTATTTATCTTATTATAATGTATATCATATATACATATAACTATAACATAGATTGTAAACCATCTATATTCAGAATTCTTCTGAGATCACAGAAATCACATCAGTTCACATACTATTTCACCCAACACACAGAATATGCTGCATGCGCAAGCAGAACGAGCAGAATGTGCCTTAATAGTCGCGGCTTTCAAGAGGATGCAAAACACCTAGGCGGCGCATGTTTTCATCCTTGGTGCGCTGCGAAACTTAGCCAAGCTGCAGAGTGGCATTTCTGGCGCTTCTGTACTGGCTGTTGTCGTTGTAGTTGTGGTGGTCGTGGTGGTGGAGGAACAATGATCACAGCCGGCACAACCGCGCCAGGCCTAGACTCGAAGACACTTGGCAAATCTTGGCAGGTGGATGAAGTAACCGTTTCCTGCTGTGAAGGGTACTTTAGGTTCTATAATACTATACGTCAAATTACGTCAACAGGATTGTCTGTCCTAGTGGGCTCAAAGAAGTGGTGTTTATCCTGCTTCCATTGGCACTTCATGGCCTGCCTCCTACTATTGTATGTCTTCCCTTTTGTTGGTCTGATCTCCACTGTTCAAGCAGAGTTCAACACCAAAAGAAACAATGACTCTGCGCCTGTGGTCAGTGAAACATGTGCAACTTACCACAACGACGTAGAGGCTTTTTACATCTTTTTGCCATTTCGGCCATTTAGAGGCTTTGAAAGGAACCTGGAGCCTCTCTCTCAAATAGGTTTTGAACGGTTTTGATGTCCCAGAGAACAAAAAAGAAACCTGACCCCATTGACCCCATCAGGGACCCCATCGACACATCGACCCCATCAGCCGAGCATCACAGGCTTTCTGAGGCCTCCATCCTGAACCAGAGCTGGCGACCGGGTGCACATAAAATACGGATACCCGACTGATACCCGACTGATACCCGGGTTTCCCTATACATCCCTATACTAATGAAACATGGCTGGCCGAAAAAAACCTTATACCATCGCATTTCGATGGGAAAATCATTTATGGGATGTTCCGTTGCCATGTTTGACTAAAGAAGAATATGAATGTTATTCAATCTGTTATTCGTTGTTTCTGGGCTTGAGAATCCACCACCTTCTTGCAGTTTGGCATCCAATAAACCAGGAGCAATACCACTTGCATTCGCCATTGCCTAAACGTCGGCAGCAAAGGCTGGCTTTGGAAGCTTGTTCTTCAATTGACACAGCATGCCCTCATTCACATCATGTCCTCATATTTATGTATGTTTATCCTAAACTCAGAAATTCTTTCAATATCCTCCCTGTCAAGGAACTGGCTGCGGTAGTGGTTGGGAGCAGAGTAGTGGCACGGTCTACGGGGGCTGGAGTAGTGTCAGTGGCAGTCTGGGAAGTGGCTGTGCTTGTGGCAGACACTGTGGTATCTGTCCAAGTGGTAGCTGTTGCGGTGGTTGTCACAGATGTTCCTGTTGCAGTGTTCGTGGCGGACACTGTAGTTGTCACTGTATAGGAAGTGGCAGTTGCCGACGTCGTAGCGGTCACAGTCGTCTCAGTGACCGTAGTTTGCGTCATGGTCACAGTGTTGGTCACAGTTGTTGCAGTCACTGTGGATGTGACTGTGACTGTGGTCGGCGTTGTGGTCACAGTGCTGGTCACAGTTGTTGCAGTCACTGTGGATGTGACTGTGACAGTGGTCGGCGTTGTGGTCACAGTGTTGGTCACAGTTGTTGGAGTCACTGTGGATGTGACTGTGACAGTGGTCGGCGTTGTGGTCACACTGCTGGTCACAGTTGTTGCAGTCACTGTGGATGTGACTGTGACAGTTGTCGGCGTTGTGGTCACAGTGTTGGTCACAGTAGTTGCAGTGACTGTGGATGTGACTGTGACAGTGGTCGGCGTTGTGGTCACAGTGCTGGTCACAGTTGTTGCAGTCACTGTGGATGTGACTGTGACAGTTGTCGGCGTTGTGGTCACAGTGTTGGTCACAGTTGTTGCAGTCACTGTGGATGTGACTGTGACAGTGGTCGGCGTTGTGGTCACAGTGCTGGTCACAGTTGTTGCAGTCACTGTGGATGTGACTGTGACAGTGGTCGGCGTTGTGGTCACAGTGCTGGTCGCAGTTGTTGCAGTCACTGTGGATGTGACTGTGACAGTGGTCGGCGTTGTGGTCACACTGCTGGTCACAGTTGTTGCAGTCACTGTGGATGTGACTGTGACAGTGGTCGGCGTTGTGGTCACAGTGCTGGTCACAGTTGTTGCAGTCACGGTGGATGTGACTGTGACTGTGGTCGGCGTTGTGGTCACAGTGCTGGTCCCAGTTGTTGCAGTCACTGTGGATGTGACTGTGACAGTGGTCGGCGTTGTGGTCACACTGCTGGTCACAGTTGTTGCAGTCACTGTGGATGTGACTGTGACTGTGGTTGGCGTGGTGGTCGCTGTAGTCACGGTGGTGGTTGCCGTTTGGGACGTGCTGGTCACAGTCGTAGGGATGTGCAGAACTCTGGGAAAGTTTACCAAAGTTGCATTTCCGCCCTGAGTAGAAGAACCCCATGCCAGCCCGGTTTGTGCATTCAGGTCAATTGCAACGAACGCACGTGAGTTTGCCTCAGCAAGCCAGATATATACTGCTTCGGAAGAGGCAACCTTCTTGAACAACTGTACAAGCTGTAGCCAACTATCAATATCAATCGGTGCTTAGAGTGTATAATGGCGGTTGCAATAGGCTGGGAGACCTTGGTTATATAAAGAGGAAGAAAAAGTTAAACAGAGATATATAACTGAAGAAACAACTAGCCAATCTGTTTGGAAGGAGTCTGAAATCGTTTCAAGCAAATGTCAAAAAGGCGCGTTAACCATGGTGTCATGATCAAACTGGTAGACTGCGACGAGTTGCCCAGACATCGGTCGTTCCCAAGAAGTTAAGTCCTTCGCAAATTCCTCCATAATTTTCTTGTCCCCAGCAAAAAGCTGCTCCGCTCACCTGTGGATTGAGATGATGCCGGAATTTGGATTTGGTGAGTGCTCCTTAGAAACAAATTGAATAAAATGGCTTCCTTAACCCACATCAAGGACCATCGTCATCATCCGTCATCATCCATCACCATAGGCATCATTGCTGGCACAACAAAACTGTCACCGAAAATCCCTGGGCTGCACCGTGTTGATGGCAGCGAAAGCTCGACTCGTGGCGTAGATGTTAAAGCCTTGAAGGCTTCCACTGGAGCACCCGTCGCCTGAGACTGAGCAGCCAAAAGGACAGAACTACGGTAACTACATTTAAATAATTTTAAATATACGAACTGGTATTTCCTACATTTTCATATATTTTCATACTACCTCCTGGGCCTCGCGGTCTCACCCGCCCTCCACATATTTAAATGTCGTTCCCGTAGGCATACAGCAGTCTAGGTGCTGAATTTGATGCAAATGTGAATACAGTGTAATAAACTTAATATACATGTAATAAATACTCAACACTTTGGTCCGTGTAAGTATATTGTAGAATATCATTATCTCTTTGCAATTCAGAATCCCTTTATCATCCCAAGCTTAGCTGTGCAACGAAATCCGATTTTGCGATCAAACCCGTGGTACCCTGTAGTTCATATCAGAGCTGGTAGAATTTGATTCTCATGGATGTTAATCATGGATGTTCATCCTCCATCCTCCATCCTCCCACCTCCATAGCCAGATCGACCCCAGCACTGAGGAAGCTTGGCGTCATCCAAGAGAAGAAAGGCAAAACTGTTGCTGTAGATCCGTGAGACACTACTGAAGTCCACCTCGCTGTCCAGCGAAGATCGGGGATCATCTCCAACAGCCAAGGATTTAAAAGGGTGATGTTGAAAATCATTGAAAATCCACAAAGTGTGGCTGGCAATATGTGGCAATTGAAGGAATGCAAGGTTGGTGATGCTGAGAACTTGGAGCCACCTTTCTATCACTTAGACCTTTGGCCTTAAGTTAGTGCCTTCTTGCTGCGATCTGGTGTGAAAAAATCAGACACTGCTACGATCTCCTTTCTATATATATATTATATAATTATATATATTATAATTATATATATACATTATATAATTATATATATATATATATGATCTATAGTAATAGCTAGTAATACCAACATACCTAGACAGCTATAGATACTTAGATCCCTAGTATATCAATGTATGATCAATGTGTGATCAATGTATATCACTCATAGAATCTGATGCCAAAGGCACGCTGCTACAGTCGCCACCCTCAGCGGTGTTGCCCCAGCATTGACCGCTTCCAGGCTTCAGGGCCAAGAATGCAGACTGTGTGGAGAAAATCTGCACCTGGCGTGCATTTCAGTGATAGGTAATGTTAATAGATGTTTAAATATGAATGTTAATCAATGTTCGTAAATGTTAATTACAGTTAATTACCGTGTTAATAGACGTAAAATAGTTCACGAAGTTCAGTACCAGTGACATCCAGTGACTTCCTTGGAGAAAGTTCACTCCAAAACGTGCACCTCTCCAGAGAAGTCGATGGCACTGCAATCGCCTCCCGCCGTGTTGCCCCAGCACCTGGGGACAAATCAATCCGACAGCTGAGGACGTCTGGTGGAGACAATGGAGAGGAGAGGATGGCGAGAATGAATTAAAATGAATTAAATATAATTAAATTATTAAATAATTTAATTGTACATAATTGTACTGACAGTGGCAGTTGGATGTTTTCACTATGCACCAAGGAACTGTCCACTGCCAGTGTTCTTGTTCAAGGCCAAGAAAGCCACACCATTGGTGTACACGTCCGTAATGCCGGTCAACGTGACCGAGCTGCAATCGCCTGGCATTGTGGCGTTTGAGTTCATAAAGTATTTAAAAAGTGATTGCATTTTTGGGGGTGAAGTCAGGGCATCAACTTTTCACACTATCCAAGAGGGTGATCTAATGTATAACTGCATAACCTGCAAATGATCCAGGAACACCAGAGTTGTGGCAGGGTGCCTCCTTGGCTACTCAAACCCCAGCACGTGATGGTCCCAGCATTCTTGTTGAGCGCCACAAAGGCAGACTTTCCGGCGATGATCTGCGCGATGCGGGGCTCTGGGATCAGATTTCGTCCGATTTATTCTACCCAACATCTCTTCAGTCCATCCTGGCCCAGTCCCAACATCCGGACCTGGGTAGTGCCACTGACGTCCAAGGAAGTTCCAGTAAAGGCGGCACACGCACCACCTGCGCTGATTGAATCAGCCACAGCAATCACAAGCCACAGGGACAACTTTTCCCGCGCAAAAAAATCGAACCTGATATCTTGGTCAGCTCACAATATCATGTATATCATAATAAAATTGTATGTAATGGCTGTTAGATCCTGTTATATAGTCTGCATATGTCTGCATATGTCTGCATATTGTATCAAAACACGATGTGTTTTATTGTGGTTTCACATTTGCCCCATGTCCCCATGATTTTTCCATGCTGCTTCCGAGATCTTCCGAGCACCTCCAGCCGCCACTGAACCGCCGTAGCGGTCCGAGCCCCAGCACTGCATGGTGCCCGTGGAGGCACTGAAGGCAGCCTCTCACGCTGGACTCGGCAGTGGCAAAAACTGAAAAAAAAAACATGGAAAAATCCAAAGAGATCAAATGAGATAAATATCATTTAATATCCAAAGGGTTGCCCAAAAACCCATTTTGATTTGGTCTTGTTTCATCGTGTTTCATCTGATTTTCAGTTTGAGTTTAAGACTTCCATCTTATATTTTTTACGTTGACTTCAGAACGACATCTCTGGTCTTGTCATCAGGAATTCAGTACAAAATGGCCCTTTTTGGGACCGGAAAAGAAATGTTCGCGCATGGTCATGGTACAAACACTTCAAGAGCTACGCTCTGTTATCTGTATATTAGCTGGTGATATGTTTGCTGGGATTGGGAGAGTCTGCTTGCAGCCACGGTGCGTATGCAAACCTGTTCTGGGCGATCTGCGTCACATGACTGAAGTCAATGGTGGTGCAGTTGCCACCGTACCGGTAGTTCCCCCAACACACGCCTTGCTGCAGACCCAATGGCAGTGAAAGATAGTGAAAGTATACAGAGTGCATTTCCAACACACAAAGAGAGCTTCCTAAGACCCAATAATCTGGGCATGTGTATCTCAGCTGAAAGCAGCAAACTCCAGACCAAAAACCAAAATTCTACATACTTCATATTGTGATTGCAGGATCGTTGACCAACAACAAACTCGTCAATTTCTCCGCATTTTTCCTCAATCATGCAGGAGTTTTTGGTGGTGTGCCCATGGTGTGCCCCGTTGCTGCCCCGGTCCCATTGGTTTCTCCCAGGCTGTCCTCGTCCCTCGACGGGATCAACAGCTGCGAAGCCTTGGAGAGTCGACAAACAGCCACAAACAGCTGCAGTCATCCACGGTCATCCCACGGTCATCCACGGTCATCCACAGCGCCAAGCAGTGCCAAGCAGTGTCAAGCAGTGCCAAGCAGTGCCAAGCAGTGCCAAGCCACTGAAGTCTGTGTAGTAGAGGTCCTTCATACCCGACCTGGATTGAACTACACTCAACTTTGTGCTGGGATCGTCTCAAAATGGATGAAATAGGTAGGTCAAGAGTCTTGACAGGATGTGTTCGCACAGCTCAAATTGGTTAAATCTAACCGCCCTTCAAAGTTAAGTAAGGGCTCTGTAGAACCTTGGGTGCAGGGAATTTTGGGCGTGGGCCTCTGTAGAATCAAAATTCCCCCCATAGTTCCCTGCTCAACACTCCCGCTATTTCAAGCCAGCTGTCAATGCAACACCGCTGCAGTCACCTCGCGGAAAGAGGCACTTGAAACTGTGATAGAGACAGAGTGAGCCGTGATCTAAATGTCCAACCAAATCCAAAACACAAAATAAATGTGCGTGTATGCACGATTTCATCTCATGGATTTATAGATATATACATATATACATATATTATATATATACATATATATATATAACAATAGTGCCGCACAAGGCGGCGGCGGAAGCTTCAAGGATAGGACACTATAGGAGAGGTGAGTTGTTGTGATGCATGGATGGCAGAGCGAGTCCACTGATGGACCGAAAGGTGGTTGGAGTTGTGTTTTTGGGAGTGGTTGCAATGGTTGCAGTAGTCACATCACTCACAACTCCTGGATGTAGTGTGGTGTAGTGCAGTAGTTGAAGTTGCAGTTGTAGTTGTGGTTGTAGTTGTAGTGTAGTTGAAGTGTAGTTGAAGTTGTAATTGTCTCGATTGTATTCGATTGTAGTAATTGCCGTAGCTCCAATAGTTGTAGGAGTTGTAGTTGCAGCCGTAACTGTAAATGTAGTGTAGTTGTAGCTGTAGTGTAGTTGTAGTACCTTGTAGTTGTAGTTGTACTTGTAGTTGTAGCGTAGTGTCGTGGTAAATGTTGTTATAGCAGTAGTTGAAGTTGAAGTTGTAGTTGAAGTGTAGTTGTAATGTAGCTGAAGTTGTAGTTGTAGTTGTAGTTGCAGCTGTAGTTGTAGTTGCAGTTGTAGTGTAGTTGTGGTAGTTGTTGCAGTTGCAGTTGTAGTTGCAGTTGTAGTTGTAGTGGTAGTGGCACTTGCAAGTGTAGCTGTGGTTGTAGTAATTGTAGCTGAGGTTGTAGTTGTAGCTGAAGTGTAGTTGAAGTTGCAGTTGTGGTTGTAGCTGTAGTTCTTGTAGTTAAAGTGTAGTTGAAGTGTAGTTGAAGCGGTAGTGTAGTTGTACTTGTAGATGAAGTTGTAGTTGAAGTTGTAGTTGTAGTGTGGTGTAGTGCAGTTGCAGCTGTCTATCTATCTGTCTATCTATATAATTATATGTTTATCTGTCTATCTATCTGTATATCTATCTATCTATCTATCTATCTATCTATCTATCTACGCAAATCTGTCTATCTATCTGCAAGATTGAAAACGAATCTATTCTGCGAGACTTTCTCATTTTTTGAAATTGACAACATCAAAAACGCAGCAATTCTGCGAGACTTCCTCAACTTTTGAACTTGACAACGTCAAAAACGAAGCTATTCCGCGAGACTTCCTCAATGTTCAAGTTAACATCAAAAACGAAGCAATTCTGCGAGACTTCCTTCAGTTGAGTGCAGAGCTGACGGACTCGTACCAATGCGTTTTGCGATTTTTCCGCTCCACCTGTCTAAAGTGCTGCGCCTGCCACGAAAAAGTGATACCAGGTCATACGAAGTGCTGTCACGCAAAATCATCTTAGCAAATCTGAAGATCTGATGCTCCAAAACAACCTCTCTCAGGAAATCAACGCCCTGACCTCCTAACATCTCTGATGAACATGTCTTTTGTACTGCACCTGCCACGCGAAATGCATCTTCCAGATCCTCTTCAAATGCCCCACGCCTGCCATCGTTTTTGGAAATGCTACAAAACCCTCACGTTTTGTTCGCTTTTGGCAAGGTGCAGAATCCCTTGCGCCTGCCACGCAAAAACACATCTAAACCTTCAAAAGTGGTCCGACCATGTGGTGCTTGTAGCGTTTTGACTTGGAAATGTGCTTCGCGCCACAACGGCGTGCACCTTTTCGACATCTCAACTTCCAAAAGTGATCCGGAGCTGGTGTGTTCTGCACATTTTGACTCGGAAATGTGCTTCGCGCCACAACTCAACTTCCAAAAGCGGTCCGACACTGAGGTGCGTTGTCCATTTTGACTTGGAAATCTGCTTCGCGCCCCAACGGCGTGCAACTTTTCATCTCTCATCCGGCCAGATGGCTCCGCACCCGCCACTTTAGCGAGCCTACTTTTCGACCCTCCGGGGCCACAAATCATTGGAAAAAGACAGTGAATCGCGACTTTTCTGTCTTTTCGCGCGCCTGCATCTTCGTTCTTCTGACTCTTTCTCTTCTCTGATCTTCTCTCTTCTCTTCTCTTCTCTTCTCTTCTCTGACTCTTACCACCTCTGCTTTTCCATCTGTCCATATTGTCGGAAGTTTGACTTCTAAACTTCCTTCGATTATAATGATTTCATAATGTGCACTTCTCGAACTCCGTACACAAAATATATTCTTATATGCCATGTTCTCAAATAAGGAAATGCTTACGCCATTGCTTACGTTTTGCTTATGTGGGCACAAGGGCACAATTTTTGCTTCCGCGCATATCTTGTCTTACGCGGAGCCTACAATGGCTTACGCTCACCGGAGTTTTGCTCATGCCCTTGCAAGGGGCCCCTTCCGAAACATGAACACTACATGAACACAAGGGTTTAGAACGTGGCCCATATCAATTCTCAGGCTCAGAACCGATCCAAATGCCCTGGTTTCAGATGTTTCAGAGCATGCTTGCAGCAATGACATCTGCTGTGTGGCGAGCATCCCAATTCATGGGTCAGGGTCTGCCATCTGAAGTGGTGTGTAATTAAGCAAGATGACCAAAAGGGATGTCAAATGAATTCAAATGATATCAATCTGGAGAGGATCTGTTTTTATTTTGGGCCCACTGCCGTGATCTTCAGCCGCCTCCGTTTGAAAGGCCACCTGGGCCCCAGCAAACTCCGCCGCTGCTGGTCAGGGCAGCCATGGAGCGCGCGTTGGCGCTCACCTCAGAAAAGTCGCATCTCTTCCAACTGATCCAAGTTTCAAGGCTCCAACACCAACCATCGGACCATTACCTTAAATCACCTTCCTTTACTGGCTTAGTCTCGCTTTACTAAGCTTTTCTAAACGCTGACATTTCGACAGAATTCCGTATGATAGCGTGATATTGCGTGGGTCATCGGTCCCAAATACATGCACTCGGTGCGAAGAAGGATAACAACTGATAACAAGATATACCAAGCATATAACAAGCATATTCAGCTACGACGAATCGGCTCCGGCCTTCGTGACGCCGGTGAAATCCACTGAGCTACAGTCGCCACCAAAACGACTGTCACCCCAGCATTCGCCCAGGCCGGACGCCAAATTGACCATCGCGAACGAGTAGTCATTGTAGACCACCTGACAGCGCAAGAACACTATGATCACCATATAAATATATGTCACATTATGTCACCATGGTTCTGGACAAGGGAAAAATATGGGAAAATCATAAAATCAGGAAGAAACATGAAGAAACCTCCGCTTGGAGAGCATGTGAAAGACGTAAAAGCAATATCTCCGAAAGCTCATGGACGAGGCAATTGTGTTACTTGTGGAAAGGATCAAAGTGAAACTGTGCATTCAGGCCATGAGTATGATCACTCTCCACAGTCGCACCAACATACATGAGTTACTGCGAACATTGATAAATGGGTTTGTCCAAAATATTAATGTGGCTCATGATCCAATGTTCCAATGTTGTATTGCCAGTTCAGTTTCATCCAGTTTCCCTTTTGAAATGGCCATTGGCAAAGCCCATGTCCAACCAATTGGCCTGAATCTCACTCCCGTGGACCGCGAGGATCAAGCTTGAGATCAAGAGCCGTGCCATGTCCGAGCTCTTCGAACTACGAGGATTGGCCCCTTGACTTTCCGAAGGAAGCAGTTGGAAGTGACAGATGGAAGCCTGTTGATGTCAGATGCGAAATGCATCGAAATGCTATGTACTTGGTACAGTGATGTACACTGATGTACACCGTCCAAAGACCAAAGGTCAGAAACTTTTTGAATGCAGAAAGTCAAGGACAAACAGCACTCTGGCTGTCTGTAGCCCTACTATGCGTTTGGAGCTGTGCCAACTATACTGCAGTCGGCAGAGTGGCGCATGCAATCGAATGAGCAGAACAGTGGCCCTTGATCTTTGTAACTATACAGGAAAGTATCTGCACCAAGCCTTCCAACCCCTTCATGTCCGAAGACTCTGGAGTTGTGATAATTCCATGACAAAGGTTGCGGTATGCTGCAGTACTTGTCTTGGAACTTACTGTACAAAAATACAATTCCCATCAAATTTCCCTCAAAAACACCACAAGTCAATATCAATGTTTGGCCATCTCCATGGAAGGATCTTCTGCATCCTCTGCAATTGGTTTCTTGATGTAACAAACACCCACGGCCTACAGCCTACAGCCCGTCCTGGGACCCTCTGGTATCGAATAGAAGGGAGCAGCTTGGCAAAACGGCCTGATCTCGGGATCGTTTTACTCATGGTCCAAATGAAGGTCAGTCTTTGTACCACTTCTGAGTAAAGGCTCACTAGTACCTCATCGAAAAACATTAGAAAAAAAACTGAATGTTTTTCTGCTCAAAATCTGAATGGAATGAGATCCAAAGCTGCAGCGAGGAGTCGTTCCTGGCAAAGTCACTTGGCATGTTTTTTTCTGCCTGAAACCCTTCCCCATTCCCAGATATTCCCAGATTGACCAAGACACATTGAAGCTGTTGCTGCAGTGGCATTCGCCACCATTTGACTCGCTAGTGAAGGTCCCTGCAGCTTGGGATGCTTTCGTGGCATCTCGTGGCTAGTCCCTGGTTGTGGCTGAAAGTCTCCTAGCGACGATCATGTTGAAGCAATGATGTCTTTGGTCTATATATTTCCATGTTCGGCATCACACATGCAGTACGCAAGCTTTCTAGCCTGAAAGCATCGGTACGCACATCAATCCAAACTCCAAAGGACTGACGGTGACTAACAGTGACTAACATAGATAGCTTGGCAGATAGACATCCCACCAAACAGGCACCATCAGGCACCGTCTGGCACCGTGCCTGTGCAGCTGGCAACGCTGAGGCGATCACAGGTTGGGTCACCGGAGGCGCACTGCAGGCAGGCGGCAGGTGCTTCGGCGAGGCCTTGTCTCCGCGCAGAGACTTGTGGATTGGATATGATTTTTAAATATATATCTATATATATATATATACATATATTTATATTTATATTTATATTTATATATCCAGCGTTCCAACCGCCCCCGCCATGGTCATGGGTCAGCCATAGTACTGTCCCCCTCCCCCCCTGTGGTGTCGTGGGGGTGTGGTACTGTCCCCCTCCCCCCTGTGGTGTGGTGGGGGTGTGGTACTGTCCCCCTCTCCCCCTGTGGTGTGGTGGGGGTGTGGTTATATATATATATATATATCTATCTATCTATCTATCTATCTATCTATCTATCTATCTATCTATCTATGTATACGTATGTATTATATATATATATATGTGTGTGTGTAAACAAACGAACATATATATATATATAAATATGTATGTGTATATGTATGTATGTATGTATGTATGTATGTATGTATGTATGTATGTATGTATGTATGTATGTATGCATGCATGTATGTATGTATGCATGCATGCATGTATGCATGCATGTAGGTATGTATACAATATATATATATATATATGTGTGTGTGTTTTATATGCATATATATATATATGTATGTATGTATGTATGTATGTATGTATGTATGTATGTAAGTGTGTATATATATATATATGAGTAGATTTAAATGTGTGTGTATATACATGTATTTATAAACATGAATATGTGTTTATATATATATATATATAAGTTTATGTGTGTGGTGTGTGGATGTGTATATATATATATGTGTGTGTGTCTATAATAGAAGTATAAATATCTATATATGAAGTAGATACATAGCACGTGAATATATAACTATAGGTAGCACGTAGGTATACTTTGAGGGAGTATGTGTGCTACGTAGGTCGTCTAAAAGGTAGCATGTACCCAGTAAATGCGAGACTGGTAGTCAGAATCGCTGCAAAAACCTAGCAAACACGAGGCTGGACCTCAGAAATGCTGCCAATAGCTTGCAAATAGAAGGGAACGGGGTGCTACCTGGGGACCCATACCATTGGGGGGGTAGGAACACGGAACACGAGACCATACATATATATATATATTTTTTTTTGAAGCCCATCTATACATCATGTAAATATGTAAAGCATATATATATAATATATATGCCACCTTAAACTAAATTTGGCTAAGTTTGAGAAGTTTGCAATTCTTGACTGTGTCGCGCAGTCCCAATCAACCGATTAGACAGACCGAAAACACGTGAGCCACCTGGATCCACGCCAAAAAAGAGCAAAGGAATCATGGACCGTTTGTCATACAACAGGATAGATACTGCAACCTTTACTGGATTGTTATTTTCCCCCATTACCGTTCTCCCGAATGGGAATTTGGGGTATATCCCCACTGTATTTTTTTGGTTTACCGGTATACCATGGCATGTCTGCGCAAACCCATGGTTTTAGGCCTTTGAGTCAACACATTCCAATCTTGCCCGCCTCGGCCCGTGGTGCTGTCGAAGGCCTTGGTGGTGGATTTGTCAAACTGCGCATGCCAATGGACTGCAAAAATGCATCAACACCTCGAAGTTTGAAGAGTGCAAAAATATATATATATATATTTATTTATTTATAAGTATAATTATCGTAATAATAATAATAATAGTTAGTAATAATAATAGTAGTGATGATAATAATCTATTAGAATATTCTACAAATAATATAATGTCATGATGTATCAATGATGTCGTATGATTTTTGCAAATCTGTTAATGCACAATGTGTTCTTGCATGTTTTTACCTTCACCAGTTCCATCACGCTCCAAAAAAAGTCTCTCGCCTGCACCTTTTCAATCTCGGTATCCGAGCTTGGCCGTCTCAGAGACTTCTTTGGTCTTCAAGGGATCCAACCTCAGTGAAACCATTGCACCGACCACATGGGACGCAGACGGCAGGATGGGCTGCCGGACATCATGAGGTCCAAAAAGAGCTCGGAAGGCTTTATCACCTCTGAGCTGGATCTCGGCCTTGGTGCTGGAAAGTGGATGTCGCAATGGAAAGTGAAACTTCAGCAAAGCATGATAAAGCATGATCGAAGGAAATTTAAAAATCAAACTTCCGACAATATGGACAGATGGAAAGCAGAGGTGGGAAGAGTCAGAGAAGAGAAGAGGAGAGAAGAGAAGAGAAGAGAAGAAGAGAGAAGATCAGAGAAGATCAGAGAAGAGAAAGAGTCAGAAGAACGAAGATGCACGCGCGCGAAAGGACAGAAAAGTCGCGGTTCACTGTGCTTTTTCCACTGGTTTGTGGCCCCGGAGGGTCGAAAAGTAGGCTCGCTAAAGCGCCATCTGGCCCGATGAGAGATGAAAAGTTGCACGCCGTTGTGGCGCGAAGCACATTTAAGTCAAAATATGTCAAAATGTACAAAACACACCATTCTCGGAACACTTTTGGAAGTTGCCATGTCGAAAAAGTGCACGTCATTGTGGCGCGAAGCACATTTCCAAGTCAAAAAGGTACAAAACACACCATGCTCGGGCCACTTTTGGAAGTTGAGATGTCGAAAAAGCGCACGCCGTTGTGGCACGACGACGACAAGGACGACGACGACGACGACGACGACGACGACGACTACTACTACTACTACAAGCTGCTGCTGCTACTTCTACTACTACTGCTACTACTGCTACTACTCCTACCACTCCCACTCCTACTACTCCTACTACTCCTACTACTGCTACTCCTACTACCCCCACTACTCCTACTACTCCTACTACTCCTAGTCCTACTACTCCTACTACTCCTACTACTCCTACTACTCCGACTACTCCCACTCCTACTCCTAGTCCCACTCTTACTCCTATTCCTACTGCTACTGCTACTGCGACTACTATTACACTACACCTACATCTACATCTATATCTAACGCTACAACTACAACTCCAACTCCAACTCCACTACGCTACACTCCACTTCACCACTTAACACTACCACTAGCACTACCCCTGACATGCGTGTCCTGGAAATACCTAGGGATGACAAAAAATGGGACTTACTACTTACTACCCACTATCTTGGTTGAGGATCAGCAATATACAAAGCGCATCGGCTCTGCCTTTTCTAAGGAGAAAAACAGTCAACCCATTGCTGGTAAAAACCTACCAGCCAAACCTCACAAGTCAGGAGTTTCAAAGAAAGAGGGAAAGACTGCCAAGGTCCCTAAGGCGAAAAAAAATGGCAAGAAAAAATAATGGTAGATGTCCCAGACATACGCCCGACACCCAAAAAATGACTGCCTTCAAGCCTGATTGCCTCTGTCTTTGGAGATTGACCCGCACTTGGCACATAACTTTGAGACGGCTTAAACCACCAAAGCCTGCATATACAGTATACCCCATAGGGGTCAGACTCATGGGGTTCGGAGGATTCCCCTATAAATGATGGGTCTTGGTGGGTTCTGAATGGATTCACCTGGTCCCCGCCGGTCACCAGCGGTCCACATGGCGCCTTAGCTTCTTCCTGGAACTCTGGGAGGCGTTGCTTCACAAGGCTGTTACGCATGACCTGCTTCAAGATGAACACAATGGCTGGGAGATATGAAGTCATGTATGATGTATACGCATATGTATATTTAACAATGATATATATATATAGTATAGATGAATAGGTTCACATATTACTTTATAAAATAAATAGATATATATATATATATGTGTGTGAAAGAAGATCCAGGCCTGCTCCAGTTGCGCCAGGCTGCGGCCTGGCTGATCGTCTTATTTGATGTGCTGGGAGGTGGTTCCTTCATAATCCTCTTGAAGTAATGTCAAGTTAGGATTGTAGTATCAGACCGAAACTTAGAATATGTTTTTGGAAACGCAACACAAGTACCCGTTTAGTGCGAAGTACCCGTAGCGCAAGATTCGGCGAGACTTTTTTTTTGCTAATCTTCACAATTTGCCGCGTATGTATATACATATATATATATGCATCGAAACGGCTTTTTCGGTACTGTGCAGTTGGAGCAACCACCGGTGCCACTTGTGGCGCAGGCGCCAGCGGTGCCACCTGAGATCATTTGTAAAGAAGGAGGGGTGTTTGCGAAGATATCTATATGGGAACCGAACTGGCGTCGGATTTGAGCTACAAGGACAACCACTTGGGAGATGTATTCACCTAGATTTTTCCTGGTGCATCTTTTTGGGGGGGTACGGTCACCCAAATGGTTTTCAACATATATAAGCATGAAGAAGCTCAAAAAAACATTAAAAAAAATTAAAAAAAATAAAGGTTGAGAGCACTAGCACTAGCACTACCACCACAACAACAACAACAACTCCTCCTCCTTCTTACTACTACAGCTACTACTACTACTACTACTCCTACTACTCCTACTACTCCTACTACTCCTACTCCTACTACTCCTACTACTCCTACTACTCCTACTACTCCTACTCCCCCTACTCCCCCTACTACTACTACTACTACTACTACAACTACTACAACTACTACTACTACTACTACAACTACTACAACTACTACAACAACAACAACTACTACTACTACTACTACTACTACTTACTACTACTTACTACTACTTACTACTACTTACTACTACTTACTACTACTTACTACTACTTACTACTACTTACTACTACTACTACTACTTCTACTTAGGACGACGACGCCGACGACGACGACGACCACCACCACTACCACCAAAAAAAGAGCTACAGCTACAAGTACAACATTGCAATTACAAGAACATCAACAACAGCTGCAGCTTCAACAACAGCTGCAGCTTCAACAACACTACAATACAACTGCAACTACAACTACATCTACAACTTCGCTACACTACACTCCACTTCACCAAACTGCAGCACACTTCACCACCATTACACTACAACTACAACTGCAACTGCAACTACAGCTACAACTACAACATGATAACTACAACTACATCAACTACAGCTACAACTACATTACAATACAACTGCAACTGCATCTACAAATAATACTTTGCACTACACTCTACACCACGCTACATCCAGCAGTTGTGGTGGAGGTGACAACTGCAAGCACTCCAAAAAGCACAACTCCAACCACCTTTCGGTCCATCAATGGATTCGTGCATCACAACAACTCACCTCTCCTATAGCGTCCTAACTTTGAAACTTCCGCCACCGCCTTGTGCGGTACTATTGGTAAAGTATGATAATGTATGATAAAATGCTTTGATTCAATATGTTGATGTCGATGGATGGATTTCGTGGCTGCGTGTGTGGTTGTGTTGTCTGGGCAAGTGCATGTTCCATGCATGTGTTTCACAAGCCCTGCTGAGTCACCCCACACCGGAAGAGCAGCAATCATGTCTTCTGATTTGATGATCTCAGCTCATCAGCTCAACTTCAACATTGAATGTTTCTGGGCTTTCAACATGGTCCATGAAGTTGTTCAAAGTCTTTCAAGCGAAGTACATCGAAACAATGTTTGTTCAAGCACTGCCCCCCGCTGTCTGGTCTCTCTGGTCATCAAAAAGCTTCCAGGATCTTCCAGGAAGTCAGAACTGAAGCAACCAGATCACAATGGGAGGTACTTGACAAATAATTGTACATCTGAGCATGATCTAAACAAGATGAAATCATGATGATCAAACAACTTATTGTGCTGTGTCTTCTTGCAATTTCATGTCAGAGTTATTCAACGTTTAAACCTTGCCTCAGGCCCTGGCATCCGTGTCTGCCCGAGGGAAGCTGGCAACATCCTCAAGGCGCTCAAGGCTTGGGACATACGATGCAGTGGTATAACTGGTATGGCCATTAGGAAAAAAAAGGAAGGCACGTCAGCAGATTTCAGGAACTGCAGAGAGGACTTTAGGTTGAAGATGGTTGAAGGTTCAGAAGCAATATTGTCAAATCTAGGGGGTGTTCCCAGTCCATTGTTGGGTTCTTTTCAGACAACGGCTTTCAGATTCGGAACCCAGCCATCTCCACCCTGTTCCCTCCTTCTTGGCCATGCGAATCGATCCCCAACGGCAAGCGCCGTTGGGTACACGTCGCCGTCGATGTGCACAGCTGGACGCCCTCCCCGGAATGCACTAAGTTTGGGTGGTTCTGTGGTTCTGAAACTCCAAACAAAAGTGCAATCCGCATGGAGGTGGTGCTGATGGCGTGACAGCGGTGAGTCCCAAATCAGTCACAGTTAAATGCTCTGCTTAATGTCGGACCTCATTCATCCCCAAAACAAGACATTTCAAGTCGAGCACACACACACACCTAAGAATACCATGCATCCATTCATCAGAAAGAGAACGAGGCAAATTCATTAATGTCATCGCATTTTCAAAGCATCATTTAGCACCATATAGTCCCACAGCTCTCCATGCGCCTCCACGGATCAAGCCCACTTTAAGCTGAGCCAAAGAAGCGGACAGCTGTCCATTTTCCACAGCGGAACGACATCACATCGCATGACATCATTTGGCAGTTTGGAACGCTAGTCAGTGGATCTTGTATTGCAATCTGGCGGACTCTATACATGTCGTATTTGACATGTTCAGGCTACTTCTTTGCCTGCCTTGTTGCAACATCAAGTCGTCCAATATGTGCAAAGATTGTTTTGTGACGTCTGTCTAGACGCGACGTTTTGTAGTTTCCTGCATTTGAGGTCATGCACGTCGATGGAGTCCTGATCTGCAGTGTGGGCTCAAAGAGCAACTCGTACAGCATTTACATGAATATTCTACACATGTCTACGCTTATACTAAACAAACGTATGCTTATGTGTTGTATGTCTAGATATATTCTATAGCTATGCTTACCAATAGAGCCCGGGCAAGCCGGGTGACAGACGTTTCAGAGGGGGAGACCTACAAAGAAAAGGGAGTTCCTGGTTCACGGCCGTTGACCGCGTCAGCTCTTGGAACTCTCTCTCTCTTTGACGTTTCTTCCTCTGGGCATCCTTCACTGATGATGCCACTTCTCTTGATCCGGTGTGCCCTTGACATCTCTGAATCTTGACAGCCCTTCTTGTTGACAGCTCTCTGAAGCCCAAGACTTGACACACTCTTCTCTCCTGACACTGTTGTTCTAATGTCATCACTGCTTCTTGACACAAATGTCTTGTCAGCCGCATTCCTTGACGTCCCTTTTTCTTGGCATCCCTAGCTTTTGGCATCTCTTTCTCTTGAGACCTTCTTCTCTTGACATTTTCTTCTCTCGAAATCATATTCTCTTGGCATGGTTTTCTGTTGACACCATTTTTCTTGTATCCTTTTGTTTCGCATTTTTTTCTTTGAGACGTCTTTTTGTGGTTTTCCTTGAGGCCTTCTGTCTTGACACCTGCTTTGGCACCTTTTTCTCCTGGCATCCCTTTTCTCTTGACTTTCCCGGTGCTATTTTGTACTACAAAAGCTTGCACAAAGACTTCCCAGCACTACTGTCCACTACAAAAGCTTGCACAAACACTTCCCAGAACTACTTTGTACTACAAGGCTTGCACAAAGTACTTGCCAAAACTACTTTGCGCTACAAAGCTCCCACAAAGCACTTCCCAATACGACTTCGTACTACAAGACTTGCAGAAAGTACTTCCCAGCACTCCTTAGTACTACAATGCTTGCACAATTATTCCCAGTATTACTTTGTACTACAAGACTTGCAGAAAATAGTTCCCCCGTACAACTTCTTGCTACAAAGCTCGCACAAGCACTCTCCAGTACTACTTCCAAGTATTACTTCCCATGTCCACTTTGTACTCCACAGCTTGCACAAAGTATATATATAAATATTTCTCAGTACTACTTCGCACTACAAGACTTGCACAAAATACTTCCCAGTAGTCCATGTCTCTCTAGATTCCTTGCACACAGAAGTTTTTTGCACACAGAAACTGTTGCACACAGAAGTTTTTACAGACAGAAGCTTTTGACACACAGAAACTTTCAAACAGAGAAGTCTTTACATGCATTCTTTACTCAGAGACGTTTTTACACAGAGAAGTCTTTACACACAGAAACCTTTATATACACATGGAAGCTTTCAACACACAGGAGTTTGTAACACACAGAAGTGTTTACACACAGAAACCTTGAACACACAGAAGCTGTTACACAGAAAAGTTTTTACAAACAGAAGCTTTTACACACAGAAGTTTTTACACACACACACACGCTTTTACACACAAAAGCTTTGATACACAAAAAAGATACATGCAGAAGCATTTACACACAGACGCTTTTACACACAGAAGCTTTCGCACTGACAGAGAATCTTCTACACAGAGAAGCTTTTATACAGAAGTTACAGCTCCAGAACGGGATCTGGGCGCCAAAGCAAATCCTGAAGCATGTTTGAAAAGGATTTTTTAAAGAAAATAAATCATCAGCGCCAAAATGGAGAAAAATCTGCTGACAAATCACCATCGCAACCTTGATGCGGCCACTCCAATACGATTTGCGACGCTCAGCTGCAAAAGACAAAAGCATTACGCACACAGCCGCAGCAGCAAGGAACCTTGACGCAACCACTTCACTGCCATCTACAGACACTGAGTTGCAAATCACAATAGAACGGCGTCAACCAAGACCGCACACACAAACCTGAAGCAGCCCTTACTTAATTGCAGTCTTTTCCGGACCCGCCCGAACGCAAGCCGCACCCATCGCGTGCGATTCCACCCTCACCAGCGTGTCGTTGATGAAGCAATTCGCCTGCGATCTCCAAGCACCACCTTGCAAATCACAATAGAATTGCGTCGACCAACCCAGCATTCAGGACCATGGATGGAGCCATTACAATGCGATCAGCATACCTCAATTCAACTTTGTGCGAGAAAACATAGGGTTTCCTGCGATCCTATCCTCATCATCAGCGTCACCTTGACGAGGCAATTCGACTGCGCTAAGGAGTTGCGGTGATGCGGTGATGGTGTGATGGTGTGGTGATGTCGGGTTTTCTTCTCTGCCATATTTTTCGATATTTTTCGTATAACAGAGTTTAGACTTCTAAACTTCCTTTGATGATCAATATACGTCTGTGAATAATGTATATACTCTATACAGGCTCTGCACTGAGCTTTTTGTTGAAGAAAGTTGAACATGAACACTACTGCGAGACTGCGCTGTGTTGAGCAACACAAGTTTGGAAAGTTCTTTTTAACAAGGCCCTATTCGATGTATATATTGTAGACATTGCACTGATTAGACGGTCAAAAAAAATTGATAGGTATTTCTCTGCAGCCTGCATTCCTATACTACAGCAAGGGACTCCAGGGAAAACCTCAAGCCAGCGTGCCATCATCAGCCACAACTCACAACTCGGAGTTTGCCGATGGTCTAAAAACTTCTGCTCTTCGCATCTCTTGGCCCAGCACCAGCCACCAACTTGGTAGCAAGACATGGCTGTTCAACGTCTGCGCCCATCTCTGGACCACAGGCCCGGTTTGCTTGGATCTCAAGCTATGAAAAGGTGCCTCAGCCAAATGTAATCCAATTAATGTGGTCTAATGTCTAATGTGATCCAATTCCCATCGAATGTGATCCAAATTTGCTTGCACGTGTCCTCGCAGATGCTGACACTTCGCCTAAGCAAATCTTGAGGCACGATCTCTGGCTGCTAAAGCATGCTGAATCGACATGTAATTCAACAGCATTGTCTACATAATGTGGTGGCTTCTGGGGTAGGCCGTGACAAGGCCTAGTTCGTTCAAAAGACCGACAGGCTGATGTTGTATATACATATACATATATACTAATAATATACTAATAATATTTACATATTTCCATAATATGCATTCTCATGAGTCAGAAGCACGAGGAGGTTGAACCTTTTCCCCGGCCTCAAACAAATTGTGTCAATCTTTCAATAATGTTTCCTCCAGCCCTACAAAGAAACAAAATCATCTCTCGCAGAGGAGACTATGTGCTAATTCAGCAAAGAAAAGGATGGAGAGCCGATTATATAATCATTCATTCCTATGTATTCCTATCAAACTTCCTTGAAAAACAACTGGTCTTGTCAGGGTCTACATCACTATACAAAGCCCAAGGAGATGCTCACTGATCTGCACGGGAGCAAGTTGAGCAAGTCGAGGGTGACCCTGGCAGTTTTGGACACTTTGTACCAAGAGGTACAGTGCGTGAGACAAGGGTTGAAGATGTTGAAGATGACAGTACAAGGAGATGAAGGATCTTCACACCTTAAGTGCTGCACTACGCAAAAATATTCATTCCCTGTCCAAACCATTGTTTTCCGAAATGTGGTCTTAGGAGTGAAAATTGGAAGCATGCGGGAAAAACAACGGTTCACCACATACGGCCCGCGAGAAGACCAGCACTTCTCTATAATATAGAAAGCTGTTTCGGCAAAGTCAGCAATGACTCAGCAGAAGTGATGAATCTGTAAGAGAATTCGAAACTGCATGCTTGGTCCGTGCATGCTTTTGCTGCGAGTGATTCCTAAATGTTCGATTAGCTTCAGCCAGAGTCGTCTTCAATTTCTTGAACACTAAGAAATTGCTGAACGGTGATCATGTTTCAAACACAGCTAGCTTCTCTAGTCAGTAAATGTGCGTTCTTTGTTTTTTCCTTTTGTTTTATCAAAAAAGACCCTGGTTTTCCATTGTTTCTTCCAGGTTGATAAACCTTTGAGTAGTCCAGAGATTCATCAAGGATGGCACGCTGTACGCTGTGTGAGTGATGTGGATGTGCACGTCCTACCATACAGATCCGCCCCGTACCTGCAGTTGGGTGATCCAAGGCTGGAGTTCACCATCCCAACCTTGACGCCAGAGGGAACAAACCAGCCAGAATTCTTGCAGAAAGGCCTGTCTGTGATTTTCATGGATCTTCAGAGCTACATTTTGAAGGGTTTGGTTTTGAGAGGTTGTCAAGTGTTGAAGGCGAAGTATCACGGTTGTAACATGAAAAACGGGCAGAGTCCAGACCGCATTCAACGCCAAATGAAATCCTCGGACTCGTGGGACTATGTGGGACTCTGAGACTCTGGCCAGCTCAAAAACTTGTGGCCCAAGCGGCCTAACAAGCCCGGAGCCTCCTGAGCACCGGAGTGTGATCGTAGGCTCGGCATTGTGGCAGCTTAGAACCACGTTTAGTCAAGAATCAAGATCATTCAACATCTATAATCTTTATAGTCTATATTCTTAGGAATGACTGATATAAACCGAATAGAATCTATGATCCCTCCCAGAATCGCTAGCTGAACATTCCTGAGATGCCTTGTATGCTGCAATCCCAAGCAGGATTCCAAAGGAACAACTTCCCTGCTGCGCCCTACAAGTAATCATGGCTTCTCACAAGCTAACACATTCACTGGGGTCACTGGGTTTTAAAACATACTTGAACAAGTTCGAACATGATGCTTGAATAAGTGAAATGCATACCAGTAGTGCCGCACAAGGCGGTGGCGGAAGTTTCAAAAATAGGAAACCTATAGGAGAGATTGGTTGTTGCGAATCACGGATGGCAGAGCGAATCCACTGATGGACCAAAAGGTGGTTGGAGCTGTGTTTTTTGGAGTGGCTGCAATGGTTGCAGTGGTCACCTGGTCGGTCACCTCACCCAGAACTGCTGGATGTAGTGTGGTGTAGTGCAGCTGTAGTGGTAGTTGTAGTGTAGTGGAGTTGTAGTGGCGGTGTAGCGTAATTAGTGTAGCGTAGTTGCAGCTGCATTTGTGGTGGTGTAATGAGTGTAGTGTAATGTAATGTAATGTAATGCAATGTGGGGTAGGGTAGTGTAGTGCAGTGTAATTGAGTGTAGTGTGGTGTGTGTGGTGTGTGTGGTGTGGTGTGGTGTGGTGTAGTGTAGTGTAGCGTAACGTAGCGTAGCGTAGTGTACAGTAGTGTAGTGTAGTGTAATTTAAGTAGTGTAGTGTAGTGTAGTGTAGTGTAGTGTAGTGTAGTGTAGTGTAGTGTAGTGTAGTGTAGTGTAGTGTAGTGCAGTGCAGTGTAGTGTAGTGTAGTGTAGTGTAGTGGAATGTAGTGTAGTGTAGTGTAATGTAGTGTAGTGTAGTGTAATGGAGTGTAGTGTAATGGAGCCTAGTGGAGTGTAGTGGAGTGTAGTGTAATGTAGTGTAGTGTAGGTGTAGTGTAGTGTAGTGGAGTGCAGTGTAGCGTCGTGTAGTTGAATGTAGTGTAGTGTAATGTAGTGAAGTTTAGTGTAGTGGAGTGTAGTGTAGTGTCATGTAGTGTAGTGTAGTGGAATGTAGTCTAGTGTAGTGTAGTGTAGCGTAGCGTAGTGTAGTGTAGTGTAGTGTAACTGAGTGTAGTTGAGTGTAGTTGAGTGTAGTGTAGCGTAGTGTAGTGGAGTGTTGTGGGGTGTAGTGTAGTGTAGTGGAATGTAGTGAAGGTGTAGTTGTAGTTGTAGTGTAGTGTATTGGAGTGTAGTGTGGTGTCGTGGTGGTTGTAGTTGAAAATGCTACAATATCCTCACATTTTGCTCACTTTTGACAATGTGCACAATCCCTTGCGCCTGCCACGCGAAACGACATCTGAACCTCCAAAAGTGGTCCGAACCTGGTGTGTTTTGTACATTTTGACTTCAAAATGTGCTCCGCGCAACAACGGCGTGCACTTTTTCAACATCGCAACTTCCAAAAGTGGTCCGAACATGTGGTGTTTTTAACGTTTTGACTTGGAAATGTGCTTCGCGCCACAACGGCGTGCACTCTTTAGACATCTCAACTTCCAAAAGTGGTCCGAACGTGATGTGTTTTTAACTTTTTCACTTGCAAACGTGCTTCGCGCCACAACGGCGTGAACTTTTTCGACATCGCAACTTCCAAAAGTGGTCCGAACCTGGTGTGTTTTGTACATTTTGACTTCGAAATGTGCTTCGCGCCACAACGGCGTGCACTTTTTAGACATCTCAACTTCCAAGAGTGGTCCGAACCTGGTGTGCTTTGTACATTTTGAAATCGAAACGTGCTTCGCGCCACAACGGCATGCACTTTTTCAACATCGCAACTTCCAAAAGTGGTCCGAACGTGAGGTGCTTTTACCTTTTTCACTTGCAAATGTGCTTCGCGCCACAACGGCGCCACTTTTTCAACATCTCAACTTCCAAAAGTGGTCCGAACCTGGTGTGTTTTGTACATTTTGACTTCGAAATGTGTCGACCCTCTGGAGCCACAAATCATTGGAAAAACATGGAAAAACACAGTGTTTCGCGACTTTCCTACCTTCTCGCGCACCTGCATCTTCTTGCTTCTGACTCTTTCTCTTCTCTGATCTTCTCTCTTCTTCTCTTCTCTCTTCTACTCTTCTCTTCTCTCTGACTCTTCCCATCTCTGCTTTTCATCTGTCCATACTGTCAGAAGTTTGACTTCGAAACTTCCTTCGATTATATATGAGTCACACCACACCTATTATTTCAACATATTTTGATGTTCATGTTTAAACATGTTAAAAACACAGGTCTGAAATCGGCAGATCAACCTGCATGCTCCGCTCCAGGCATCCGGGCACCGTAGAAGCGGCCCGAGCGCGCTCCCGACAGCAGTCGAGCTTCTAAGCTGCGTACCTTGCTCGCACTATGTTGCACTGAGACGTGAGGCGATCCGGTGTTGCTATGTGTTGCTATGTGTTGCTGTGGGGATACGGAATACCAAACGATTTGTCACTTGATTCCTATCCTAGCTTAAGCTTCATGCTGTATTGGAAAACATTGGAAGCGATCATGCAGAATGAAAGGCCCAGCTTTGCCCTGAGCTATCTTTTGGCTTTACAGTACCAGGAATTCACATCCTCCACCCCAAACTGTAGCCCCGTGCAGAGTCGTTGAGACGGATCAAGTCATCCAAACCTCGTCAGTTGCTGTTGCAGTGCCCGTGTTATTTTGCAAATCGTTCTCACATGTTCTCACCATTCTCATCTTGGCAATGCGCTGGGAGCCAGGCTTAAATTTAGTGCTTCTAAGCGCCATAAGACTTCATGGAGGTCCCTTCGGGCGAGCTGACAGAGCTGGGGCGCCAGCAGATCTGCCGACGTTTTGCCGTTTTCACCAATCTCTTGGATGGTTCCAAAATGTTCCATATAAGTTTGTTGAATCACCACAGAGCCAAACAACCCACTGGAGCTCAGTACCCGAAATCCGAAACACACGAGTTAGCAATGAAAACCGGAGATTCATGATCAAAATGATCAAAGATCTAACATTATCTAACATTCAACATAATCAATATTGTGTTTCAAGGACATTCGTCTTCATGGAAGCATACCTTCTTGGTTTCTCTGAGTCATGCTGGGCAGGGCGAACAGCAGCCACCAGCTCCAAGGCCAGCAAGAAGCCCAATTTAGTGTACTTCAAGCTAGCCATGGATATGTTCACAAGACATGCAAGACATTGCAAGACTACAGTATATAAAATTATATAAATAGTTAAATTCAAGCTAAATGGGAAACAATATGAATCAAGTCAGACTTGATGTGCTGACAATGTACATTATTGTTTTGTGGGTGACCTCATTCCAGGACATGAACCCACAGCAGCTGCACCCGGAGGGAGACTCTAAGAGTATCCAGCGATTCTCTTTCGGCGCAGCCAGCTTTTGGCTGTGCCACCTGTGCGGCACCAGGAAGCTGGGATGACTCGGGATGACCACATCATCTGCATCCATCATCCAATCATCATCCTACCGGTCCTACCACCTTTTCAGTTGGGCAACTCATAAGTGGCTCGACTGGCTAGACAGGCTAGACAGCTGGGGCTCCCCAACGCTGCTTGAAACGTAGGTCCAAGTGCAGCCTGTCGTGGCCACCCTCTCGTCCAACCACTAAGCATTGTTGGTCAGCCCAAACCGCGAGCAAATGTGGAATATCTGGCCTTCAAGGATTGCACTCTTTCCAATTCCATTGTTGCTGCAACTCGAAGTTTTGGATTGGGCAATGTCTATAACTTAAAACTATACAAGTGTCGAAGAAAAAGAGTTGCTGCAAATGAAAATGAACGTAGTAGTAAAATCATGTAAAATAATGTGGTTGACACTTTCGATCAATTCAAGTATATATACCTAAGGTTCCATGACAATAGCAAAAAACACCACCACATGCTCGTCCGCAAACACTAACGAATGAAAAGCCTCGTGAAATTCCATTCCCAAAGCATGGCTGAAATGATCTAAGTTCTAGTTTCAGGGCTATGTAGATGCAGTGTCACAGGGGACCAATATTAGTAAAGGCTCCCTTGGTTGACCCACTGCATCCATCTCCCTGCACCTGAAGTGTGCTACAAGCAGATTCAAACTCACCCAGCCAAAACCTTACAGCGAAGCAACAGAATCTGAACAGAATCATGGAGGCACTTTTGCTTTTGGAACCCTGTCTAAAAGACATCTCCCTCGCATCGTGAAGACAAACCTTACCGAACTGAGACCTACGGTAATCCTTAGGAATGCACTCCAGAGGTCCGGTTTCCCGGTGCTGCATCAGGGCGTGCCACCTGTAGAGCCAGGGTCGTAGATACACTTTGAAAATGTAAACATGACAAGACACTATGGGTATCTGGATGTATCAAGAATGATCTTGCGGGCAAATGATACGGGAAGAAGAAGGTGTACTTGTTTAATGTTCAGCAGACAGCAGACCTTTTATGTGCGGCTGAAGGTGAACAACAAAATCTACACTGTATCAATATATGTATCAGTATCATGTATGTATATATCATATACATATATACTATTAATATATACTGTTCCCTCGATTCCTTCATGGAACGGGCCGATGCCTAAAGACACAGCAGCAGCGCATGGTTCTCCTTGGTACCCACTGCAATCACACGCTTTTTGATGAAGTTAGCACAAGCTGCGACCTTTCAGATGATCAAACCTGATGGGCAAGTCTCTTGCAAAGGGGTACAATTGACAAGCTCTAGGCATGGTTAGGCCACAGCTAGAAGTCCAAAAGATGACCTGAGAGTTTTGTAATGTTTTGTGGTTTTGAACACTCTTCAATCTTAAAGACTACAGAAAGAGAATCTGGGACAAAAAAAAAGTGCACCTGCCTTCACAGCTGGCGGAATTAGAATCATTGGAAACCAAAAACAAATATTTGACACGGGGGTACACGGGGGTACACGGGGCCTACACGGAATTTGCCATTTGGAAAAACTTTGACCATCTCAGCAATCTCAGCATGACTCGACAACGGACCCATCGGACCCTTCCCATGGCAAGGCACTGTGCATTGACCAAGACCTCCACAGCCTCACGAAGAACTTGCCTGGCGCCACAGAATCCGAGTGATCCATAGTGATCCGTTTGTTGTCGAAAGTTTTTCGTTTTTTTTGTGACATCGAATGAATATCGAATGGTATTGAGAAGATGTTCAATTCCGGCATTAACTGTTGAATCCTTCCCTCTGACGGCATTTGTATCAATATTTGTATCAATGGTCAATACGCGGCAGCTTGGCGACACTCTTGGCTCTTGTGCCCTCCTCATTGGCAGGAAAACTTGGCTGAAAATCTAATATGCTCATCATTGGGGGTCTGGATCACATTGATATCTTATTATTATTATGCATGTCCAATCTGTGATACTGTTGATAGTATTTACTCCAACAAAAGGCATTTGCCCAAATTTGCTGAAATTTGAGTGACATTTGGGCCGGTAGCCCTGGCTTTGTTTGCAGAATTGGAATGTGCAAATCTGTTTGAAAATGCAAACTATGCAAACTGGAATGTGGCAACATGTAAGCATGAAGTAGCTCGTTCGCTGCCACTGTGCATTCTTCCATTGGCTAAGGAAGCTATAGCATGAAAAGGATGGCCTTAATTGCATTAATACTTTGTAAGAGCAAACTGCAATTTCTCAGTTTTAGATCGTCTGATGTGTCATGATGACATGATATGTCTGGGTTTTCTTTTTGTATCGGATGCAGCTTCTCTAGTGAATCCTGCACCGGAGCCTGTTATTCAGCATCAATCGCAAGCTCCAAAATACTCGTGCTGAATGACATAATCTCATGAATGGTTTTTGGATGTTTCATGTTGTTTCATGGATGGCATAATTACTGTAATCAATGGCAAAAAGCAACAACCAAGCGCCACCAAATGAGCGTATCAGATCCGGCAGCATTGAGTGCTGGACGAGGACGAAGACTTTTCAGAGTATGGCACGACGTGATGATAGGCCTGCCACATGGCTCTGGTGGAGATTAGTCACTGAAGCTCTGAACGCATCGGTGAAGCGGCAACGACTCAAAAAAAAAAAACTAGTGACAGGATGTCTCAGGTGCCTTTTCTGCTTATCCAATTGAAATAGATGAAATAGATTGAAAGTCCCAAGTCAGCACCATTTGCCACTCATAAGCTATGCAGGATGTGTTCATCAGCCTCCACCAAACCGGTAGCTTCATCCACCCAGCGCCAAGCACTAGCTTCGTTCCTGCCATCCCCAGTGATCCTTCTGGTTGCAGCTTGGCTGGAATTTTCCCCATGCGCCCTTTGAATATCAATGGCCATGGTGGACAACAGATGACAACGGAAATGAGATACGATGAGAATGTCACGTATTCGCTAGGGATGTGAGGAAAATGCCTGGGGAGGTGCTAGTCAGAGATACCTCATGGCATTCACAGTTGGTGGTGTGACCTCCATCCCACCATCCTAGACAAATCAGACAAGCTCAACCGATTGCAACTTCTTATGAATTTCTATAGATGATCTTATCAACTTCTTATCAACTTATCAACGTCTTATCAACCCGTTTCAACCCACTTACAGTGCCCCATGTTCGTTCCATTTTCAGTGCACTGCGCGCCCGACCTCTCCAGCGCTTCGAATTGTGCCAAAGGATCCTGGGCACAGATCCCAGAACTGGGAGTGGTTCAACCGTTTAAATTTCTTTAGATAGCAAACAGTCAAAAAATGTCAAAAATACCTGCAAAATATCACAGAATGGTTACAAAATTGTTATAAAATGGTTACAGAATCAATTGAATGGGTTGAAGTGCATATTTAAGCTCACTATTGAAGCAAGTAAGTACACATTGGCTTGGTCCAGCAGACAAGGAAAACTGCACAACCATGAATCTTTGCAGGGCCCATCAAAATATCGGTTCAAACAGTACACATGACACATGTATCATGCCATCGCATTGCTCATTCATATACACATACACATATTCATATACATATATGTATATAATTATAAGTAGTTATTGTTATATCAAAAAGGCAATTAGTTTGAATTATTTCATATCGTTGATATTCTGCTACACCTGTGTAATCACAGTTCAGTTTGGAAAATGCACAACCTCCGATGCTCCGACTCTGGCCCCAGTCGTGTCCTGTTGGAAATCCTCCAAATCGGCGGTTTGGCTCCGACGCTGCTGGCCCTGTGGGTTCATGAAAACTGGCCAGTGAAGCTTTAGCTTGTACACGGCTAAACGGGCTTTCGAAAGGGTCTCAATCTATGCAAATCAATGATGAGACTTCTTGGCCAGGGAGGTGTCAACCGGAAATTACATCAAGGGCGCACCAAAGTGTCCAAACATGTCAAAAGCGCCTTTGGCAAGCGGCATTGGTAGTAATTCATACCCCCGCGCTGCATTTCGTGCTCCTGATACACAAGTGTACGGGCTGTGATGCCGTGATGGAGGGACTAACATGGCCAGCCAAGGACAGAGATGTTCACTGTTTCTATCTGTTTCTCTAGCTCAACCCTCTCGATTTTTCTCTTACATCACACTGATATCAACCCTCTCTGGATCATTGCAACAACTTCAACTGTGCACTTTTCTCGTTGGAAAAAAGGAAAACACCTGCGAGGCGTGCAGTCATGAAACATGAAACACAGTCAATTCCCCTTCTATGTTCATGTATGTTCATGTGGTATCTAGACGCTAAGGGAAAGACAAGTTGCATTGTCCAAAAGCCGAGAAATCCAACTTCCTGCCACCACAGTCCTCCCACCGTCGACCGCACACGTAGCAGAAGTGCACACCGCAGCGGCAGACCTGTTGGCGATCAGCGGTCTGTTGAGGTGAAAGTCTGAAGCCCACCATGACAAAAATACTCCTTCGGATGTGAGATGTGTGAACAAGCGAACAAGCATTTTAGGCATTGCGTTTCAGAGCAGCTGGCTAGGATATATTGCTTACAACCTAAACTACGAGTATGAAAGGGGTTCTTGTTCGAAACGATTTGGACATGGACTTGCCCTTACTTTTTGGGCATGTTTTGTCCTAAGCCTCCGGACCATGTGGTTGCAGCCACCATTGCGCTGCACAACACCTGGCTGCGTATGATCGCTGTGCAGTGTTCCTCTGAAAAAACATCCTCTCGGCTAGAGCTTACACAAGACACCATAAGAATCCACAAGATACCTCATCTTGATGGTCACAATGCCCACCAGGACTGAAACAAGAATCATGCGCACGAGAACTGGAAACAGTTCTACCATGTCCATCCTGAAATACAAAGTCTTCTCTCCAAGGTTGAACGATCTGTTTTGTGCCCTCACAACTGCACCTTGACAGCCAGGACAATGTTGTGCATTGCGATTGATCCAGACTTCGTTGCGATCCTCGCAACTGCTACTGGATGCACATGATAATATTGGCCAGGGGCACGGAAGAGTTCAAATTGTTGTGAAATTTAATACCAATAAAACTGCGTCGGCTCCATTAAAGACCAAGCCCAGGAAAATGATGTTCGAGAACACCAGAGAGTGCTATTCTTTGCGTGTTGAATTCAATCAGATTATCTGGGGTTCGGACCCCAGGCTTAGCACTTTGAGGGTGAAACCACCAAACCCCTAGTGTAGCACCGCCTGATGACTAATTCCAATCAAAGTATTCTATTAATTTCTATTATGACTATGACACGTGCATCGCGCGAATGTATTCTCCAAATGACATTTTTCTTCGCGCTGACAGCGCATCGACATAACAGCTGCTTCATGCTTCGTCTTCAGCTCCACTTGGTGTATTTCTGGACTCGGGGCATCTGAGACGTCTGACATCGTCTAACATCATGTTGCAGGGCCGCCAGGAGTCACGTTGGGTCGTGGCACGTCGTGGCATGTCGTTGGCCTTGCCCTGGACACTCCACGGCACCAGCTCAATCTGTCCAGGTCATGAGTTGGCCAATCTCTGAGCGGTGCGATCTCAATGCCAAGAGAATCAGAAGCACAAGAATTGCGGCTGCAAGCAGAATGTAGATCCCATACAGGATGCCTCAGTCTATCCATTTTCCAAATGCATTCACAAAAAAAATACTGAGGATACTCCATACCAATTGGGTTTCATGTTCCATCTGCATCCATCTGCTGTAGATGCGGGACATGTCTGTGCGTACTCTGTTTGTTTAATTATGTTTGTAATATTTTGTAATTATTGTAACAATATTCAATAAGCAACACAGCAACACACATCGAATGACCGGTTGCGGTTTCGCGTGCAGCACAGCGATGCCAGGGCATAAGAGCAGGAGGAGCACCTGGACAACATGTCACATGTTGTTCCCATGAAACTTCAATCATGAAGACAGCAACAATGGAAACTAGATGAAACCAGATGAAACTAGATCCTATTGGTCTCCAATGCGAAATTCATCATCGGTGGTGCTCTGATTTCCATTGTCCGACAATCTATGGCTCCAAAGCCGCGCCTGCGCCAACCCCAGGAAGCTACTTGAGAGGAGGAACTTCGCAAACGTCCAATGCTGCTCAATGCCATCGATCTGGGCAGTCCATCCAAAGTGCGCTTGCATCTTGCAATACTGGCATAATCTGGCATAGCTTCCAACTTTTTTGGGTCCATTTCTTGCATGTCGTTTTCAAGTTTTCAGGTCCATGGTACGATACACGATGATTAGCAGAGGAATTTCCTGGAAACAACTAAAGTTTGGCAAAGACTCTGCGGGTTCCAGACTTCCTGTGAGAAGATCAAAGGCCCTTCGCCCGTTGAACTGGAGAAGAACACGTCCACTCTTTGGCCGTTGCCTAAGATGTCAGGATGCTGAGGTCTCGTGGTAGTATGGAGCAAAGAATCAAGAAGTCGATTAAAGACGAAACAAAACATGTTGTTATCTCTGTATGAAGGAGACTTCAAGAAAACCGAATCATGTTGTGGGCACATTGGATACTCGCATTCAAATGGCAGCAGGATTGCTTTCATCAGCTACGTTGCTTGTGGAAGCGGCGACGTGCTCATCCAATCTTAGGCAAATCTCCTGAAGGTGCAACTGGGGTTCCATGACCATGTGGTGTAGCATCCCACAGACCAAAGGTCCATAGCCAGTCTCGATCCAGTCCATGGCTTCATCTGTTCTTGATGACCAGAGAGTGGCCCAAGGACCCATCAAGCCATGAGTGCAGGACTGCTGCAAGTTTGCATCGATCAAACTGTGACCTGGGTCCACGGAAAGGATTCGAACGATCAAACTAAGTATAACAATGTTTTGTGTGGATGAAACAGTATGAAACGAAGGAAATCTTCCAGGCCATCACCTCCCGAAGATTTGTCATCTGATTTCATCTAAACCATCCGAAACCGGAACGCAATGAACAATTCCTGAATAAAACACATGCTGGTAGGACATTGAACATTGTGGCGGATTGATCGGATAGTGTCGATTCATGTCGACTCTTGTCAAAGTGCCTGCTATTGGAATTGGGGTGTGGAGGCTATGGGGAGATGTTTGTGTCATTTTGTTTCCAATGTTTACTGTTACGCTGTTACTCTATGTTCCGGTCGGAAATATGCTGTTCTGTTTACAAATGCATAATTGTTCGACTTGACATGAATGTTTCTAGTAGTACAACGGAAATACACTAGGGTCGGAGCGCATGCTGTCTCTTAGCGAAAGAACAAAAAGTTTCCCCTACCACCAGCCAAGGCACCTGCGGCGTCCTACATTACAAACGAGCTCTAACATGCCAATATGCTTTGCAACTCCGGAAACATCCAAAACATTCTAAAACTGTTTCTTTTTGGACAAGTAGCCACAATCCAACACAGCCAACACAAAGCAATTGTTTCGTCTGGTCGGCAAGCGAAGCATTGAATCCATCAACTCGTCGACTCCAATTGTTCGCCCGGCATCCACATCCTCAGGGTGCTGCGCCCGTTGCAGCTGCAATCGCACACGCGAACTGCGGCCGGACATGGCATAGCCTGCGAAGTAGACTACGATCACTTCCTTGGGCAACGCTTCATTTGATCAAGGCAATACAATGGGATCCACAATTGAGAAAACAACATCATATAATGTATACACATTTATCATATATCTATAATATATATATATGAACATATACACCTACTGAGACATTTACCTACTCTTTTTTGGGGTGAAACACCAAAAGATATCTATTTTTCATCTGGATAAATAAAAGAAAAAAATATGTGTTCCTACATACTGGCCAGGTAAACAAAGACGTCTAAGATACGTCTAAGATTCGGTGCTTTCATCAACGCATTGCCGGCCAAAGTCCTCAATCTGCCTGTCCAGTGCATCACGATCCGGTGAATTGCAAGAAATTTGCGTTCGATAATTGCCTGGCTGGAGCATGCTGGAGCACAACCATTGAATACAACATGGAGAATTTACTCAAAACATATTGTAAATTATTGAAACATATTTGAAACATATCGAAGCACTCAAGTCTTCGTGTGGCCTGCAAGGCTCTCAAGAAAAGCATCACCAATCCATCCTGCCCTCCCAACCCAGCTGAGCCACGAGTTTGAAACTTGAAGGCAAGTACTTCAGCATCCTTTTCTGCATGTTTCAATGGTCGAAAGGCGTAATCTTCAATGCCAATGCTCAAGAAGCATCTGCGACGAGCTCCATATTGAAGCATGGACTATTGCAATCAGGGCAGTAACCTAAAAGCAGTACTGGCAGGTTGGCCTTGTGGCCACATCTAGGAAACCTCATGATGACAATCCGTGCTGTTGGGATCTGTTGGGAAAGCAATGCATTAAAGTAGCAAGTAGTTGCATGTCTTTGGTTTGCTTTCAAATCTTAGCAATATCCAGGCCAGCACTTTGGCACTGCTGGATACTATGTGTTGCATTCTGCTGGACTGCCAGCGCTCGTGGCGTAGAAAGCAACAAAAGTAGAAGCCGTTCTGTCTCAAAGCTTGTTGATGCCTCTGCAGAGCCAAAATCATTCGGCGCAGCTATCCACTCCTTCCCTCAAGCTACACTGATTGAGAAGACCACAACATTCCACAACCTGTTCCAGTTCGTTCCAGTTGAGGAATCTCAGCACTGCGGTGATCTCGTTGCGGTCCTGGTGTTTCCTGCGCTCCTTGTGTCGCTGCTCCAGTTGAGGATGCGCTTCTCTCCAAGCCTCGGAGACTCGACCGGGATATCTGTGCCGTTTCAATTTCGATGTATCTTGAATATTCATGAATATTGATGAATATTGTTGAATTCTGAATTAATGATGGTGTTTATTCTGTTGAATACCTTTCTTATCTTTCTTTACTATTGATATGTTCGCTTAGAGCTTTGCATATTGCTGCGTTCCAAGTAATTGCAGACAGCAGGACCTCCACTCACGGTATCTGTCCCCGGTTTCCTAGCTGAACAAAACTGACCTGGAAGCAATCTTACAACACCCTAGTTGCAAAATGGTTGTAAAACGGACAAGGATATGCAATGATATGCATTCATTCAGACATTATGTGTTTTTTGTGTGTATGCAAATTGAGAGATGAACATAGTCACAAATCCTCTATAACCACCTGAGATAAGATGCATACGTCATCATACGTCACACGTTGCCTTGAAAATAGGCTCTGGATAGCTATGTGTTGTCACTAGGGCCAGCGGCTCCCCATTGCTCACAGCTGCAAGGATCGTGGCCTCGCTTCGACATGCGGTCGACCTTTGGACCATCTTGTCTATCTGTCTGTCTGTCCAGCAGTGCGGGGTGCGTGAGCAACTCCAAAATTTATGCACAAAGAAACTCACGCGCAACTAAAATCATCTAAAATCATCTAAAATCTACAATTGGAAAAGAGGGGGGTTGCAGCCTGACTGGCTGGGCCAAAATGCGCTTTCATTGGCTCAAAAAGGGTCGGCACCACCGCTGTTCTTTCTAGCAAGTGACAATGTTTGAACTTTCCCCGAGAACGGCAATGCTAAAGAAAAAGTCTCAGCTATCCACTCTTTGCGGGACCGGCCTATTCTTCTCAAATACCGAAATGCAGCAGCGTGTGTACCATGTGATAAAGAGACACTTGTTGAAGCGGGTGGTTTGGGTATGTTTGGGTTACAGCACAAAATCTTCCCCAGGTATAGCAGATGCTTACGTTCAAGAAGTTTGGCCGCTGAAATGTGGCAGCTCCTTTGCAGTCTTGTCAATCTATTGCAAAGGAATGCAAAGGACATCTTGCCAGATAGGCAAAAGGATACAAAGACATCTGCACGTTATTCAGAGCTTCCTATATCTGGGTGTCAAAGACATCATGTTAGAAATTCCAGCTGGCACTGGTGGAGAGGAAGGAAGTGACACCTAAGATCAACTGGCGGTCATTCTGCCCATTGAACGCCTCCCGGTAGCTTGCAGCTGCAGCAAAAGCCTCATGGTTCGTTCTGTGATGACTCACCAACAGCCTTCGGTTCCAGAGGATCTCAATGAATCTCAATGCAACGATAGCAGATTGAACATTATTGAACATGATTGAACCCCATGAATTCTGCCCAGATGCGATAGCCGCAAGCACATCCTTGGGCCACAGAAATAGCTAAGACTTGACCGAGCCAGTTTCCCACAGGCCCTGACACCAGGGAACTTATTTTATTCGAGCTTAGATGTGGTTTCGAAAGCCACCGCAGTCTTGCAAGAATGACAGAACAACCGTACGCCGCTGAAGTGTGTGTATATATTTATTATATACTTTATAATTCTAATACTTTATAATTCTAATAATTGTATAACAAATATAGTACAGTAAATGCTGCAAGTCTAAAGAAAGGGAAAGGATGAAAAAACACGTTTAACAAATTCCATCAGGAACTGTTTATACTATATATGATTCTTATATTAATTGGGGTACTAGAAATACGGTCGAATCTCTGTCACCGGCATCACCCAGTGTCGGGCGACCTCTGCTTCCGCCAAGCAGCTGACGGTCAGTCCAGCATTCTGGTCACGCGCCACAGCCTTGCCACATCCAGGCTCCGGACACCTGGGAACCACGGAAGGTGTCCGTGGGGCTTCAGGTGTGCTTCAAGCCATGAGTTCTTCACAAGACTCACGATGTCACTATAGCACTATGGGCAACACTTTTAAAATCTTTCAAACATGATGAAACATCTGGAACCTGAAACTTTGAGATTTCATTGCCAGCTGTCAGCCCAGGCCACAGACTTCCACCGAGGCACCAGGCAATGTGCCCAAGAGCATCCACATCTCTTGCAGCTGCCAGGCGCACAAATTTGGCACGGGCCGTTTTTCCTTGGATGTTTCGCAAGGAGCGCTTACATCTGTCATATTCTGTCATGATACAAGGGTTGTGGCATGGTGTAGCCGAAATATGGCCAACTGGCATGAAGCTGCTAAAAGAGATCAAAGGCCAGGATCGGCGCCCTGGCCGCCCTGGCCTGTGAGTACCGGTAAGATCCGGTACGAAGGCAAGGATCCCAGTATCTCTTCCACGGCGTGTTCATCCAAGGGAAGTCTGCAAGTTGGCTCTGGACAAATCATAGCGGTAGCCTTGGCATAGAGACGGAAAAAGTGTGAGAAGCACGCATGTATGACCATTTATGGCAAGAGGTTTGAGAGGTGGGAGGGATCTTTTTCATCCATCTGGAAGCCGTTAGTACCTGAATACATTTGAGTACCTTTTTCACCTGAATCACTGAAGGATCATCTGTGAGCCCTGAATTCCTGGTGCAAGGGTACCTGTTCAGAAAAACACATTTGAAGTGGACATGATGTGAAATTGTAAAGACTCCTGCAAAACATGCAGGTCACTTGGGAAAACAAAGCCTTGGTTTCGCACACATGAAAGCAAATTTTTGTAAATATGTCCCGCAGTACGTGCACTACGCCCCACAGGTACTTCACTATATACACTTTCATACGGTTTTTTCAGGGTTTCTTTAGGGAAAGTTTAGGGTTTTTCCTAAGGTTTTTCTAGGTTCATTTTAGGGTTTATGTGAAAAGTGCTGAAAACCAGGATTGCCGGACAGCAGATTCCCGCAGAGGGTCATCAAACACCTCCCTGGGTTCGCAACCCCAGGGACATCAAGTTATAACATCTCAACATAGAAGGCCACAGAGTACTGTAATGGTCACCAAAAATGAGGTTCCCGGCAATCATCCCGAAAGAGTTTGGGGCATAGCACAAGTGCTGGCCGTAAATATTCACCCAAAGTTGGAAACATGTTACGCATGTTACGCACAGCTGGGGTTTGAACCGAGTTGGAGCCAAGACGAACCCTGCTGGGTACTTTGATCCTTCTGGTGCCAAGCGCCATTCTACCTTCTCTACCTTTGTAGCCTCAAGAAAACAATACCGAAAAAGATAGACCAAACAATGACCAAAGTTCACAGTCATGGCCAGAGTTTGGCACAATACTTCTATTTTAGATTGCCAAACAATACCACAGTTTAAAGCAAGACAACGCAACAGAACAAAACAAAAATAAGAAAAACACAATTTATATAAATATATAATACAATATATATATAACCCAAAATCCTGCCCACCTTGTTTTCGACAACACGACTGTCAATTGCCAAACAATGCCCACTTGAAAATAATGACAAGAATAATGATGATTAGTCCTAGCCACATTTCTTGACCAAATACTGAAAATTGCCCAACTAATATATATAATATATATATAATTATATATTATGATCTAGCAATAACAACAATAAGAATGATTACAATGACAATGAGAATATTATGTACTAATAACACCAGAACAAGTTAGTTTATGCTATTTTATGTTTCCCTCATGTGCATCTTTTTGGTTTTATTTGGTACAGTTCTGTTTATATTTACGTGGAATTGTTATCTCCCTTATGTGTAATTGTCATTGTCATTCGTTTTGTTTTTTGTGTGTTTTGCTTTCGTTTGTCCATTGTTTATTGGTTGGTACCTTCCATTATTCCAGTGGCCCCCAGTTATTTCACCCCATAGCTGAGCCCACTACATTGCCACTCTCCAGTACACCGTGCAGATATTGTCGTAGGCAATCGTCACAGAAGGGATGCTGTCCACCGCATGGCAGCCTTAGTTGTCAGGATAGGAGCTGGTCACACAATTCTCAGCTTTGGTCAAACAGTTCTACCATATTCTAGCTTGAGAACTGCAAAAGCTCCTTGGCAAACAAACTCGTGGAGCACATCATGCACAGCAAGCACATGTGGCAATCTCTAGGGGCAGCAAGACCAAGGAGAAAACTTGGTGCACACTGCAGAATGTAAATCTGGACTGTAGTTTGAAGCGCACGGCCGCTGGCCGCTGGACCATTGAACTTTTCATAACACCATATAACATCCTCCCAGTTTGACGAAGGCACAATTTCTGCATTTCACCTCGAGATTCATCGAAGCAAATGCCTTGGTCAGGATTGCAGGGCTGGGCAGGCAGGAGAAAGCAAGTGTCGAAGCACCATGAGCGAATGTACATTCTCTCAATTTCTCTCATATAGAGAAGCAGTCAGTGTGCGTTTCCCTAAGAGTGTGCTCCGGAAAAGTCACCGCAGACTTGAGGAATGAACAAGCAGATGTTGATCAAGGAATATCAAATATCAAGGGCTGTTCCCAGGCAAAAATGCAAGACAGTGGCCACAGGGTCCGCTTCTCATTCGCTGCATGCCAGATTCTGCAGTCCGAATCTGGGCGGCCGCCAGCGCTGTCTTTGGGTCTGAGCGGAACCTGAGATAAAGTGAAGATCAGTGGAGTCAATAGCCTCAACGTGTCAGTTATAGTTATAACATGCTGTAACTCATGTTTAGTCGATGCGCCCCAGGAAAACATAGGAAAACTGTATATCACCTGATTATCGCCTTCCTGGAAGAATTATGCACACATGACTAATTACACAATATTACACACCTACATGCACTATAAACAAGTACACAGATTTGTACAGTACATACTGTTTCATTCATATCAACATCTATAATATAATCATATCTATCTGTCCACAAATTCCGCCTTGGCCATCTTTTAGCTTGCCAAGTCACCGTTCAATCGCAACAGATGGTTGACCATAGTGTCGCAGCAGAAGCGTTGCCACTGGGGCGGATAAGCCCGTGCCATATCGAACTTCTTCGACTTCCTCAGATTGCACGGGCCCGTGGCGGGCCCCGTGGCGCCGGTGGAATGGCTGTGGACTACCAGTTGTTTAAGAATTGGCGGGAGACCGATAGCTTATAATTGTTATAATAACATGTAAGATCTGTGGCCAAAGCCCATGAGGCTCATGAGGTGCAGGTGCCCAAAATCAGTGAAACGATTTTCATCGCTCGGCAAGATCTGGCAAGATTCCTTCTGCGTATAGTTGCGGATGTCTTCTGGATTTTCCAAAACAATCCCATCCTCCTCCACGGATCGGGATCCACTATGCGCCAGTGTCCCAACAGTTCGAACGAACCAATGTGGCAAGCCTCCGTAGAGGATCCGGTCCAAAACCTTCTTCTCTTCTGTGATTTGGCCATGGCTGATGTCACATATGTCGCATCCCATGCGGCCCAGGGCACGCACCAGGGCCACATTGCCCTGACTCAAAGCCAAATCCAACGCAGTTTTGCCTTCCATTGTCTGCCCAAGCAAAAATGCTGCTGTTGATCTTGCAGATAAGGCATCCTTAGATGGTCAGCAACTGTTCCAAAACAGGAATAGAAAATCATAGAAGCAGACCTTTTGTGTCCCCTTAAAGCCGTATTTCCCTTGTGCAAGCATGAGTGCACCGTTTCATGGCCGTTTGTGAAGATCTACTTCAATTGTTCCACCCTTCACCACTAATCGCCACTATTCACTAAACGCACTAAAGCAAGGTGGGAACCTCAATAATTAAAGTATATTAAAGTGATATCAAAAATTATCAAAACATAAGATCCATTAAGATCCCAAAGGAGCCATTGACTGCTTCACAGCCATGTATCAGGTCCGGGTGCCAGATGAAGTTCAGCACACATTCGTGTCTCAAGGGAATTCGTCACTGCACGGCGAAAGTAGGCATAGCCTGTGGCATGGCGAGCCCTTGGCACTGCTCCAGCAACGGCAAAGTTGTTGGAAATCTTTGTGGGCAACTACTGAACCATACTGAACTTGCAGTGCACAGTCATTGCTGGTCTCGTTGATAAGATTAGTAAGTGAGTAATTAAGTGGTTTGAAGCGATTCCGCAGAGGACCGTGCGAAGCCTGCCACCACAACGAAGCCACTATAGCCAAAACGGACGCAGTAGTCCCGGCAACGACGCAAGTCCTTGAGAAGTCACATCGAGGACATCGAATATTCTGCTGTCAGCGCTACTTTGAACATGCATAATACATCATAATACATAGCAACTGCAGAATACTGAAAATGTCAATGCAAAAGGATGATCACCCAGACATCGCAAAGTCCACGCAAGGCTGCACTACGTTCCTTCGTATTTTGCTTTACTGTGGACTGCGGGTGCATGCGGGTGCAAAGAACCGCTAGTGCCATGTTTGCACCAAGACACCTGTAAGTAGTGCCAAAAAGAAGAAAAAGAACGACAAAGTGCATTAAATCAGCTAAATCAGCTAAATCCTCCTCTCGCATTTCGCACGTCCTTGGGATTTTTAAGCACCTTGGCAGCCAAGTTTCGGTACTGGGCATGCAAACATCATCCCTTTCTGGTGAATCATATCCCGCGAGCACCCTCCAAGGATGCCAATGGGATGCTTCTATGAGCGCATTCAGGATTTCTGCACAGCCTGAGAGAATGGCTGACAATGAGAACTTCATCTGGACGCGCCTGAATGTCCTGCGTTTATCACAGATATGTTGTCTACTGATCATTCTCAAAAATATGAAATGAATTTAATTGCTTTGGAAATGCCAATATATTCTTCTTGTATTATACATACTTGTTCATGTGTGAATTATGGTGTTTAGATTAGATGTGCAATTCTCCCCTACTTAACTTGATGCTGAATCCCTGCCACCTGGAAATTCACTATGTCTCTCTCGCCCTTCTTTGCAGAGCTCCTCAAGCCAAGCAACCCAGGGTGGCGACTCTATGAAGCGATGATGGCACCATCAGTTGCAGTTGAGTCTCCTGGTGCCATGCAATTCTGCGGTGTGAGGGAGTCGACTTGGAGATCCCCAAACACAAACTGATCAATTTGGTAGGGGCGATGGCCGGCTACCACACCATCAAGGGCTTTGCTACGATGGGACACACAGCTCAAGAGACCCTTGAAACAATCACCGGAACCATTAGCTTGCTTTCACACGTATCTGCATCTACGCATCGATTCCCTTGTCCGTCTGTAGGCCAGCATAGTTTCATTTGACTTCTTAATCTCAACTTTATCTGCTGTCGACCAAACCACAAGCAACATACACAAACGCAGATCCCCTAGAGTCCCCTAGAGTCCCTAGAGTTGCAGGAGAACATGTTTTGCCAAAGCGTTCTACAAATTTATGTTTTGACTCAAAGAGCAAGGGAATTTTCGTTGTTGAGACCGGCATGAGTCCCTTGACTGCCTGTGGATCCTCCGCCGGCAGGATTGAGAAGATCACACTCTCCAACCTTACTGAGCAGATACGAAGCAGTTTTCTGGACTGATGGCTATTGTTTGGCAATGAGATGATGGGACGGGGTAAACATTTTGGAGGACAAGAATCCAAAAACAGCCGAGAGTGCCTTTGCCTGTTTGAAACAAGCCCTTCAGAAACATGCGCTGGGATACAAGCGCAGTTGAAGAACGGTTCGACTCTGTTTGGTCAAGTTTGCAAATCAGATCAAATAAGTTTAAGTCTAAGTTGCTGTTGCTGAAGAACCTGGCTGTAGACCTCAGCAGAACTGCGAACGTTGCTGTATGGGAAAGCATCAGTTTCGTCTAGAGGCTGAAGTAGTTCAAAACAAGCTGCCGTCATCAGAACACAAGAAACTGGCAAAGATAGCAGATGCGCAAGTGCGTGACAATGCACTGCTGTTGACCTATATATATATATACTTTGCAGCTAGCTGCGGCTTGGAAGCCGAGCCTGTTCCAGGACGAAAAGAAACATAAGTCATCTTGCCATTGGATGCTATTGGTGTATCATCAGATATCCAGCATCTTGCGGCTTTCCACTCAGGCTGTCAAAGCATGATCATCATAAATCCGTTCGTTTAACCCATGTTGATCCATCGCTTGAACTGACAAGGCACCGGGTCTTTCCACAAGCGCTTCAACAGTTCGCTCCGTCTCGCAACAGAATTCCTTGCCCGTCGCTTGGAGAGCATCGAGTCCAACGAATGAGAATAAACACCTGCGCACGGACATGGTGAGCTGCAAGGTATAGCCACGGAATAGCCACGATGTTTCAGTGTTTCACAGCGTTTCACAGTGTGTCGGATGATGTGGGATGTTGAAGTCGGAGAGCTCACACGATGAGATCTAGCTGTGCAGGTTGAGAGAGCTGGAAATGACATCAAAGACTCAAGCCAGGTATATTCAACATGTCACGTGCTAAGGATCTATGTTTGAACTGGTTTGAAATCAGCCTTCCCTCATCATGCAGAAAGGGAAGCTGTGGGGGATACCACATTGATCTTGCATGATTTTGCAGCATACCGGTACCAATTAAATGCGTCATTTTGCAATTTCGAACATAGATTTGGACAGATTTGAAGGTTGCGGAGAATCTTCTGGATAATACTCCCAGCATCTCCCAGCTGTGTATGGATTCCACACCTTGGAGGAGATAGTCTAGAGCAAAGGTCTCAAAGCCATTTAATGTGTCGTCCTGGACTCAAAATACTCAAAGAATCTGAAAGACCAAACGTGTCGGTTGGCAGCGCTGAAAGCTGAATGGTTACGGCATGCGGAATCGAATGTTTCCAGCCTCATCCCTTTCTACCAGAAAACTCTTAGAGCCGTCACGGCGACGTGCCAAGGACCAAAGTGGAAGCACATCCCGAGGAAGACTCAGAAGACCAACTTGATCCAACTTGATTGTTTTGTAACGAAATGCATGTCAAGATATGTCAAGATATGTCAAGATTCCCTTGCTCATATTCGGATTCAGATGGTCCAGCTGCTTTGTGCTAGACTTGAATGTACCAAGTGATGCGTGCATTGTGCGCAGTTTGCATATCTCTTTGGGATTTCTTTGGTTGTCTAAGTCTCACCCTCGACATCCTGGTAGCCCTTGGAAATGTCAGCTGGATTCTGCTGTTGGCAGCGGCGACGCGTGTGAAGCGCTTCCGTCACCAAGATCCTCAACGGCGGATTGTGAGATGATGTGATATGTTGAAGCATGAATTTCCGGCATTCTTCCCAGACTTGGTTTCAGGGGAAATCTGAAGAAAAAAACATATCATATATTATCATATTTATTCATATTTCATATTAATATTGAATCATGTTTGAATATGTTTGAATATGTTTGAATGGATTTGAATGGTCAAAAACATTCAAAAACCATGTCATGCGAGATCTCGCAAGTAGATTTTCCCCCAAAGCCAGTGACTGAAAGCCCCAAGCGCCAAGCGTCTCATCGCCCAGGAGAAGGCCTCCACGAAGCTTGGCTTCCGACAGCGACACGGAAGATAGGGATGACCTCAGGGTAGATCAGATCTGAGAACGGATGATGAATTTAATAGACTAATATAATCTACTATAGATGTATATATATATAATGATATATATTCCTCTCAATTATTTGTTGCTTATATACAAAATTATACAAATATATATTAGAAGATCCAAATTTCAATGAGTGCGATAAATACAAACACACTCAAACACAACACTTTGAGCATCAGTTGTGGAGGAAGGATCAAGATTGGAATTTCCTTGAAAAAAACTTCGCAGGAACTTGACTCGCAGCCAATTGCTGTGGCCGAATCCATCCTGCACGTCTTTCAAGAGCAAAAGCTTTGCCAACAAAAATTGGTGCAATTTGTGAGGCCACCCAAGGGGTACAAGATGGTACAAGATGGTACCAGTGTTGAGCCTATTGGGTGGCTCCGCGTTTTCTGTAGCCGAGTCGAGAGTCAACATACTGAGAGCCCGGGCGCCAGCTTCGCTTTGATTCGCGAGCCCCAACGACGAAAGGTGAGACGAGCATCCTCGCGGTCCTCGCCCATGGACGCGCAATGGCTGCCCTGGAAAGGTCGCCTTCAGCGGCCGAAAATGTCTAGAATTGCTGATGCTATAGGTATCTATAGGATTCTATAGGATTCTATAGGTAGTTCATGGGCTTGTTCTCATGCATCAAGGATCATCAAGGTGTCTCTGGGCTCGGTCAGTGTTTTGTCTGCTGGGTTGGGCTCTGGGTCTTTCGGGACAAGTCATTATTTTCCCATTGGATCGAATTGGATCGATGGTGTGCAGATATTTCAACGGGTGGACTCACCAAGTGTCCATCCACAAAGCTGGAAAGCATGGTGGCTGTTGCTTTCTGGTGTTGCGTGTCTATGAGCTCATACAGCTTCACGAGCATCGAGAAAGTCCAGAAGAACTTTGGGATCACGTGTTCAGTGCTTTATTTCGTCATGAAGCATTTCGAGTCTGGGTTAGAGTTGGCTGCGGTGCTTGGGTTCGGGAACATATCATAGCATGCCAAGCCAAGCTGGGTTTGTGTGAAACCTGGAGAGGAGTGTCCGTGTTTCCACCGCTGTTTTTCTATGAGGCTCCCAGGATAAATCTGGATTGACTGTGCTTAATACTGACACAAACCTTTGTAGAAACTTCAAGCCAAGCTGCAACACAATGCAACACATCTTTCTTGAGGACCTTTGGGCGAGCTGTTTCGCTCTGCCAGTCTTTGGCATGTACGTATTTCGTACTTCCAGTGTTCTGACGCGAGTTGCTCGCCATTTGGCTCTACTTCTAGTAGTGCAAGCATCTCGATTATCAGTGCGGGCTCGTCCCCAAACAGTTTGTCCACCCTAAATGAAATAAAATGAAATAAATATATAAGGATTGCCTGGCTATGGAGGACAAGCACCAGGCATGTAATGTACCATTTCACTCACTGGACCCTTTGTCGAATTCCTCTGACCATTTGGGGCGGACCAGCTTTTCAGCATGCAAGGCATCTATGTACAGCTTCGTTCATATTACTTTCAGAAAAACTGCACCTTTGAATGATTTCCTTATGTGCGGACGGTACTAGATTCGTCCAAGATTCTGTTGCAAAGCAACACAGCGTGTCATGTTTCGCAATGGAATTTCAGTTCTTAATGCCTGTAATTAAATCTATATACATATGCCATCATATGCCTATATTCCTATACATATTCCTGTATTTTTGGTCTGATTATGTGTACATGCGCTTTGTTTACAAGTTTGAACCGTAATTACTAGGCATTCTGTTTACAATGAGGCATTGCTGCCAGAAACAAGCAGCAATGCTTCTGCTGCAAGCAGTCATTGGGTCTTTGGGCCACTAAAATTCTATTTGATCAGAAATCAATGTACTGAATTTCACAGTGAACACTAGAATACTTAGATTCTTCGAATCGACCTTGCATTGAATGATTAAGATTCTGAAGATGCCAATATAACGATTCAATCAGAATCCAATGTCCGCTTGCAGCTGTGAAAACACACAACGCCTATTCTTGGGTCTCACCGCGTCGCCTCAGGGACGTGGCGAGGCACGGCGAACTCCGTCAAAGTCCCATAGCTACAAGAATCCAGTCCGGATCAATCCGGCCTATGAGATGCCTATCCGATAATCAAATGCAGGGCTAAAATGGGCTAAAACATGCTAAAACTATCTTGAAATCTTGAAATCACAATCTGCAAGTTCGTGAAATTATCAATTTTGAAAGTGTTAGGGCCATTGTAGGCCCCAGATGCACGTGCCATTTCTTGGGCGCACTGCTGTCGTAGTGCTCGCGTTGCTCGCGCTCCGAGCAATTTCCTCTTTTTCCTCCTTGTCATCACCCTGAGAACCAGGGATGCATGTTAACCAGCTTGAGTCCGGAAGTAGCACCTCTTACGCCTTACGCAGAACCACGGCCATGCAAGGACAAACTCATACTACATGACTAATTCGATATAAGTGCAGGTGTAAGGGAACGGTTGTCTAGCAGGCTTCAGTCAGGCTTCAACTGCATCCCCCAGGTTCTTGAAGTACAACATGCATATCTATGCATATCTATGCATACTGTCCACATCTGTCCACATTTGTGCCTGGTGATCCAGCTTGACGGATCTGCCAACCTGACAAGATATGACAAGATGCACAGTTTGAATCCAGGCTCAGTACACAGAGGCGTCTGCCACCGGGGCAAAGTATAGATGTAGCTATTTGTAGCATGATGTAGCCAAGTTAACTACCCAGATTTGAGAAACTCCTGGGTCAGGATTCAAAGAATCTGACTACCAAAACCATCCAAAACCGTCAAAACCTACATTAGCTTGATGACGCGAACATGTAGAATTATGTGCAAGTAGAAATCAAAACCTGGAGCCGAAAACAAAACAGAAGGCGCAAAAATCCCAGAGAGCGGTCACATGCAGTCACTTCACCGAAACAGCAGCACACCATGAATCTCAATGAAGGTTGAACTCTAAACTCAAAACAATGAAGAATGGCATGTGGTAATGCTATGGTAAAGGATGACAGCACGCTGTAGTTCAAGAAATGTTTAAGAAGTTGGTAATTGGATGTAACATGATGTAACATGATGTAATGTAACTGGTTCCGTAAATGTTGCCAGTGCTGGGATAAACGACACCATGGCATACCATGGCATCGCCTCCAAGTTTCGGATCAGCTCGATGGCATCTGGTGGCGGTGGAGGGGGCTTCAGCATCTCCTCCTGGTTAACCCCAGTCCGGAAACTAATTACTGATGCGTCAATTGATTATCAAATTGACTATCGAATTGATGATCGAACTGATGTTCAATTGATGATCAATGAATCAATTATCAACTTGTTGTCAATTTAATGTCAAGTAAGTATATAAATATAATATATAAAACATGTTAAACCAGTAGTTGAAACTACAGTATTTGTGTCAAAGAGAATGGCTCTGTTCCAGTCTTTCCGAAGGTCCAGTTTTGAATCTTCAGAGCAACGACCAATAACTGCCGAAAGGTGATCAAGAAACATCAAGAAACACCTCCCCATATCAGAGCACCATAGAGCACCAGCGCTGCCAAAGTGAGCACAAGTTCGGTTTTGTCGCTGTGTTGAAGATTGTTGTAGTACAGTTGAAGGTGTTGAAGCTACTCTGTGTTTCATTGGTCTTGCATGGTCTTGCTCTGAAATGCTCCTCATCGTACGGCAACGGTGTGGAAGAACCTTTGCTAGCTGACAACTTGACGGGGCTGCTGTAGATGCGAGTTTACAAAGCATTTATCTGCCATTCTGGCATGCCATTCTGTGCGGAATATCGAAAAGTATGTCCTTCAGCCAGGCAAAATATCTGTGGTCAGAGGTCATGTCACTAATCTTTCCAGATATTTCCAGATCCCAAGAGATGTAACACATGTAACACAGCCTTTACATGTTTTATCAATTTTTATCATATGTTGCATCCCTCGACTAGCGACATTCCGTGTCTCTCCGTGTCTCTCTTGGCTCCCGGGCTGTCAACCTGGAATTCAGCCAAGACCCAATAGTTGGGCCTCGGTGTGCTGCCTGGCAGAGCCGACAGAGACCCAGTCCTCTGGTGGTCAAGCTACGGATAGCTACGGAATACATCCGGATGCATGCTGCAACATGCTGCAACGTGCTGCAACGTGCTGCAACGTGCTGCAACTATCGCCACCGGTCGAATTAAATTCATTGACTCGATTTGCATGTGTGCTGCATATATTTATGTACACAAGATGTTATGAGATTTAGCATCAGGGACGCAAAGTACAAAGCAATGGCTGAATCACATCGAATTGCATCTTTGGGAATTCCTTAACAATCTCTCACCCTTGATGGATCAGCTTCTGCATACTGGGATCTGACATCATCTGACCATCATGCTTGCCCAGCGTGCCTAGCACTGGGGCACCCTCGAAGGGAATGTCTTTCCTGCCCCACAATGTCGTGGCAAATGTGGCTTCCAATGAGTTACAGTACTTGTCAATGTATAAATATATATAATATATTATATATATAATATATATATACATATACATATCACTGCACTCCCATCTCGAAACCGATTCAACTGTTACAGCCATCCAACAATGGGACAAGATCAGGAGCTACCTGCCGGCTGATGTGTGTACACGTTGAAAGCACCACGTGCAGAGTTGAATTCAGGGAGGGACTCATCACAAGGACAAGGATTCAAATTCATGCTTTTCCACAGCTCCTGAACCCAAACAATGAAGGCTAGAGGTAGTGCAGTGTTGCCAACTTGCCCACTGGAGAAGTTTCTGTCTCCTACTCTTCCTACTGTCTTGACAGAACAGAATCTGCATTCTATCGCAACATCATACTAGTCACATGAAGATGGTCCAGTGCGTTCGTCATGATATAATGAATGCCCAAAAAAAACAACAAAAAAACAATGTATCGACTCAGTATCGACATCATACTATCATATATTGGACTATCCTCATCTATCCTGCTGCGACGTTCCCAGCCTGACAAATGGTTCCTTGTCTTTGGCCTTCTTCACTCGATCGGCCAGCAACTGATCCAGGACTTTGTCCGAAGCCACCTGAAAGCGAAGTAAGCGGCAGTAACATCAGCAACCACGGCCACGGCCAGTTGAGAATCTGAGGGATGGGACCGGAATGGACCGGAATGGACCGGATGGGATGGGTTCGATGTAAAAAGTCACGCTAGAATGTTGTCACATGTTTCCCATGTCTATATTCTCAAGTGTATTTTCTGAAAAGCATTCTTCGCGCAAAAGCATATCTGTGTCTTTGTATATTGGTGTAGATGCGTATCTGCCTGCATACGTGCATGCATGTCTATACATATATAATCTGTCCGTACAAGCAAAACTGATGACTCATTGGATCTCATTGGCATATTTCAGGCATCAACCATCCATCATATCCATCTGCAAGCTTCCCTATCTTCCCTCTTCATCCATATGGTTCAATCATGTGCAGTCTCTGTCTTTCGCCTGAAAGACAATGAGCTGCAAGGTTTGGGCCTTGTCCTGAATGTATCCGATGTATCCACATGTTGGCAATTTGGGAGTACTTCTTGCAGAGAATTGTCAAATGGCTGATCGTGGCTGATCAAGCTGGTGTACGATGTACCGAGTATACTGTCTATGAAAAAGGGCATTGGTCCTCACAAACAAAGAGCAGCGGGTGACATTAAATGATTGAAGTGGTGCCCAGCTTTTGATAGACTTCAGTTCATAGCAACATCCATCACAGCATTTCTGCCAACACTCGGAATTGCTACTTCTACAGTTTCCAAGGCTGGAATCAAATCCAAGAGGGGAAGCACAAGCAGAATCTCCTCTGATGTCAGACGAACCAAACCTTCATGCACCTCAAGCGATGTTCCAAGATGTTCCAAGATGTTCCAACGCTTCTCAGTTTCTCGCCAAAAAAGTCTCAAGAAGTGAAAAAGCGATGAAAGGGGTGGGGATGGGTGGGGTTCGAGGTCTGAATCGCTTCTCATCGTCCATTGCAGTAAGACACTCCAAGACTGCCTGTTGAGGGTGAAGATGCAAAATTCGATGAATTGGTCTTTATCAAACTTCTGTTTAGGAGGTGCTAAAAATACGTTTGATCAAGGTTAATCAAATATGAATAAATTGTTGCACAACCCATCCCCAAAGTCTGCCTCGGCTCTGGCAGAGACATCTGTCGACAGCAACCGCCTCCATGGCAATACTGCCCCCCAATCACCAGAGAGTGCCCAGTCGGTACAGTCGACAGGTAAAGATCTACCATGTTATGTTATATATATATAATTATATATTTTATATATAATATATATAGATAGATAACATTGTGTCACCAAGGTGAAAGTTATCAGTGACATTCTGTGACTCCTCAGATTCTCTCAGACTCTTCCATTATCTTCCCACCTGGAGAGGACTTGGACTCGTTGCCAGTTTCCAATGACCACCACAATACGGGCCTTGGGGCGTGGTGCCGGCATGCCCAGTGTCTAAGAGTCTAAGGTCGCTTGCAAAGCTTGAAAAAGCGCAAGGAAGCAAGGAAATGTCAGAAAAATGTGCTGAAATTCGGGAAAGGCCTCAACTGAAATGTGATGAGAAAAGGTGTTGACATGTGTTGATCGTCTGGATGGCAACTGTCTTGAGAGCTCAAGTTTGAATCTACAGCCATTGCTGTTGACATTTTCACCATTCGGAGCCAAGGAAAGCCAAAGCTGAGCTTTTTGCAGGGCCTTTGGCAGAACCGCAACGCATGCACAGCTTCAAAGCCGAACGGATCCTCACATCTGTCCAAGATTTGTTGGCAAATCACACAGGACATCACATAACAACCGCAGTAAGGACGGGGGGTGTCATGAAGTGGTAAGGATGTAAGGGCTCACAAGGCTGAAATGGTCAAGCATATATCCAAAGGTGGCCTCGTTCATTGACCATCTTGGGTTTTCACACTGCGCGCTTCTGTGCCGTCATCTTATGTAATTAATCGCCAGAAATGAGTGAGGTCACGATGCAGAAATATACAGAAATATCAGGAAGCAGAGATTCAAACCGAGACTTCCATCAAACATCATCGACCCATATACTATGGCTACTATGGCCCATAGTATACCCACATATCAAGCTTTGTCCCGTTTCCCATCAAACCTATGGCGCAGCTCTTCGCTGGTTGGCTTCTTTGCACCTGTGGGAAAGGTGTTAGCATATGTTAACATGCACGAAACCTGATCAAATACGAACTTCGAGTGCGTTTCATCTTAGTGCAACATTACAAATATTACAAAACAAACCGCCTTCTTTCCCACAAGATGTGGGGCTGAACAAATCGCACAATGGAAAACATATCGCTTCACTGTCGGTCTCAGATATGCCCGCAGCTGCGCCCCGTACCATCTTCAGAGATCACTTCCTTGACATGGCTGCCACGACGATTGACTCCTTAGTGAAGGATGACAGCCACCGAATCGGCTCGTGGCACACGCAATCTACCAAGGAATTAGCTTCTCTCCATATACAGTCCATCTACCAATATATGCGCTGCCTTCAAATACCTTTGTAAAGTTGACATCTGGATCGAGAGGGGCGAAGAATCGAGACAACCTATGGCTTATGCCAAAGAGATGCTGAGAGCTTGTTCTCCAGGCAAGTCAGACATATCCATGTTCAATCCTGTCAAGGTAACACTGGCAAGGGGATGAAAATCATCCCCAGTGAGGTGCTAAGTTAGCAATCGGTGGCTAAGTAATCCACATTAAATCTGCATTATATGCACACATCTACCATTTGAATACAATCCTTCTCCATCCTTTTCTCAAGGACCTCCGACCTTCATGGTTGAAAAAAGGATGTTGCGTTCAAAACCACAGCAGCCACTCTTTGAGGCCCCGTCTTTCAGACCCGGCCCTGGGAAATGGAATGCACTCGACACATTCGAGAAACATCTTGGAGACATCGTGACATCGTAGAGACATCTGGAAGCTGGGGTAGCCACCCGGTCTCTGCTGCTAGCTTCCGCAAATGGGAGCTATCCACATCAGCCTGCCATACTCGAGAAATTTTCGTCTTTATGGAAAGACATATTGACCAATCTTACGGGCGTTCTACCTACGATATCTTTGGGTTAAAGGGCTTCACGCATTCCTGCATCATTTACGCCTAGCATGAAAGCTTGATAGCTGACAGTATGTCTCGGGTTATGTCTCTGCACCTGCGTGGAGTAGACCAAGAAGCGGCTCTCTTGACCACTGCGCAAGCGATGCCTCCCGGCCATCTAACGTACTGGGGTTCAAGCATAGCCTGTGGAGCTGCAGACCATTGCCTGTGCTTCCATACATTCAATCAAGGTACTCTGCAGAAACCCAAGGAGGTTTACGAATCTTGCAGATTGCAAGTAAGATTCAATCTGTCTGGAGGAACCACCGCCGAGTTTTCTGGCTTCAATAGCTACAAGACGCTTCAACACGCTTCAAAAAAAAGGCAGGCGTTGTCCTTTCAAAACAATCAGTGCCACTGTTAGTTTCCTGCTCAGTCTAAGAATGAAGGAATATGCATGTATAAAATTATATGAATATTGTATGAATCACGAAGTGAATGGCTGCACTACAAACAATATCAACACACATCAACTGGTCTCTACTGGAATTTGTTTAGGTAGGGCCCCCTTGGTCCCCTATTCCACGGATCTGTAAGCAGCTGGCCTCAAGGGCTGGAGAAGGGTCATTCCAAATTGTTCCGCCAGCGGATGCTTCACCGGAAAACCATACCTGAGCTCAGGTGTCTACGTCCAAACCTCATGGCTGTCATGGCTATGAGCAGAACATTGAAACGTGAAAACCAGATTGCCCCCTTGCCTGTTTGGCCAAAGCTAAGGATATGTATGATATGATGCATGCACCATCTAAGTTTAAATTCTATTTACTGTATGTATATTTTATATTTATAAGTATATATAATTGAAATCATTATGATTCAGCGTGCGGGTGCTGGTTGACCTTAGTGAAGTAGATTTTGTATTTTATCAAGGTGGTAGGTCCTTTGAGAAAGTTTGAACGGATCAAAGCTGTTGTGACAGGAACGGCAGCGTCCCGACAAAATTCCGCCTCTGCATTGAAGTATGAAGCAACGAAGGAACCTGACCACGCGCCGAACGGATAATTTGCAGTTCACAACTGCTGCAGTGTAGTTGGTGCTGTACATAAACATGTTCACTGTTGTTGCAAACGTTGACTAAAAATCACTAAAGGGACCAAGTTCTTCTCATGGCAAAAATGCTCGGTTTTGGTCCAAATGTTTTAGTCTAGAGTCTAGATAAATAATGATAAATATATAATATTATAATATATTATATAATGAATTATAATGATTTGATATATTTTGATATGATTTGCCTTGATGACCACCTAGCCAACCCGATCGTACACTGCGGTACACTGCTGCGGTGTGAGCTCTGCACCAAGTGCTTGAAGTCGGGATCGGGTCGGTGACAACGCACTGGCAAAAAAGGCACGCAGAAATCGCAGTGGCTGACAAGGTTGAGACATGTTGAGACCCACTGCAATCCGCACCCTCCTGCAAAACTCCTATGCTGGGATGGGCTGGGCGGAATGCACATCTACATATATCTACATCATGGCGAGAACACTAGCGTGTCATGCTTCCCATCCGGATCAAACATGTCCAGAGCCACGAGATATGCGCAAAGGATGATCCATCTGTGCCACTCCACAATTCACCCTGTCGCGGTGTGGCGCATTCCATCCATAGTGCTACATCCAGTGCGGAAAGACTATGCTGATGAAAAACACTCAGGAACAAGGACCCTCCACACAGCTGTGGGTAAGGATGGATAATGCTTAAGGAAAAAGTGTGGGTCAAGACATTTAACATTCAAATCACGACTGTTGTCTGTGTTGAGACGCAAACATATTATCCTTTGACTTGTGCGAATGTTTGATTTTACCGAAGGATTGTCAGGGACTTTCTTGTCTTCAGCATGACATAGTTCATCTCAAAGGTAAATCCCTCTCCCTCTAATGATGTCAGCAGCGCATTCGACAAAGGCCAGCATCGGTGCTTGTCAGCGGTACCATGCCCCACTGGAATCGCAGCTCGTACTGCCTTACTGCGGGCACCAGCGGACAACAGCTTTTGAATGTCTCCACATGTCTTCGTGGTGTGTCCACGTGGACAATTCCCTATGGGCCACCCTGAAGTGCCAATTTGCCCCTCTATGTTTGATGAAGAGCCAACATCAAATGCCTGGAACCGGCGCACAAGTTAGGCTGCTGGCCCCAAGGTTGGCAACATCACTGTCAAGACCACCTCAACCAGCACTGGATATGTCAAAAGCTGCATAAACCTGGGCTACTACAGCTTGGGTGATTGACAAGAAGGAAATGTATTGAAATTCGGAATTTGCAGTCTTGCAGTCTCAACCTGAATCAACCCAAGTACCAACATGTGCCAACAAAACGCTTGAGATATACAAACATGTATGCTGTATGTGTGTATATATAATATGCATGTATTACCTATATGTTATGTGTACATATATATATATATATGGGCCACGGTCAATATTTGGTATATAGCTCCAAGTCATCAATTTTTGAAGAGTGTATTATCGTTTTTCAGGTTTTGGTACATAAGTAAATGTTATCGTTTTTTGAAGAGTGTATTATCGTTTTCCAAGCCCCAGCTCAATTTCCAAAAAATAGAGACCGCTCGAATACTTCTCTCCATTAACCTAAATTTTGGCTGTAGCTCATATATGTATACATATTATCAGCAATCTTACTGCGTATATGCGTGACTCCGCTTCTTAACGAGATGTAAACCCAACAAACCTGAGTTCAAATATGTCATCCTGATATGTCATCCTGATCCAAAATTTGTGATCATGACTTTAGATATTGATGTTAGTCGGGGGTGGCCACTTTGACCAATGACCTGTCTTCTCGATGTTGTTCTGTGGCCCGGACTCTAGTCTGCCGTTTGTGCCTTGCCTGATTCCATGTTGCGTGCAGATCTTAATGAATCTCACATTTGGTGGGATGGTTGTTCATACTTTCATCAAGTCTTACTTTTGAGACACACTTCAAGCAACATCAAGATATATCAAGATCAAGAATCACAAACGGTCCACAGTGGAATTTCCTGCTGTGAAAGAAGAAGTGCTACACCATCGGGCTCTTCAGAAAAGAGATTTAAGTGATTAGCGCAAAAGGATGCAAAAGGCACAACGAACATTCCAACCCCAAAACTCTTTCGGTCTGCCTCCGGGCCCTCTGATAAGTCCCTGGCATCGCAAACCAGCCCAAGACGAATGAATCAAAATCTGGATGTTTCATGCGGGATGTCGCATGATGTCACTGTCACTACAAGGCATATCCCTCCAGTGGCGACTGCCAATTGTAACAGATCAAGCATGTTGAGAAGTTCCACACTTCAATATGCCTCGCAGGTGAGTCTGTTGAGAAAAACGGGTAAAGGTACTGAGGTTCATGTGTGATAATCATAATTTGTTATCAACCAATAATAACAAATTAATTGATCAAACAAAATAACGAAAATACAATAACATTATATAGTATAGTCTAGTATATTATTAATTAATGACGACAATATCAATAATAATTAATAACAATCATCATCAGCATCACGTCGTCATCATCATCATCATGATCAGAATATATCATCATTGCCGTCATGGAAAGCTTCAAGCAGCTCAACTCCACTTTTTGACCACCGCATGGTCCAGCCAGCACAGGATTTGGAGTGCCAAAGCCAAGGCGACATCGATTCCTTTCCCACTCCCTGAGAGGAGTGCTGAATGATTCGAGTGGGATCTCTGATCAATTGCATCAAATTGTGGTCAAATCGTTGACAAATACGTGTTCCACTCATAAGCTCATCGCACGCGAACGGTGCAATATCATGCAGGATCCAAGTGGATTCGACTGGCCTAGTGCTTTGGGGTTGGGGATGTTGGGGGGTTCTGGTGATTCTGGTGACCACTGGTGACCACTGGTGACCACTGGTGACCACTGGTGATTCTGAATTTTGTTTTGATTTGTTTTTGGCTCGACTCAGGTGACTCACTGTGACGAGGGCTGATTCCAGCTACGTCCTGTGGACTGAACGCGGGAGAGCGCTTCGGCCCTGAAAAACAAAACGCGACCGGTTGCAACTGGGAGGCATGGAGGGGGGTCGAAGAAATACAAAAGACGGCTGCTTCGAAGCAAAGACGTTTTTTGATATGTTCGGATATTGCTTGATATTTCTCAAATATGTTTTGTCTGAATTGACAGTTGTCTCATGGCTTCACTGCAATTCACATCAATTCACCATGTTCCCAGGACTGCCACTCCCAGCCGAAACGGCAATCTAACAGCAAAAGCAGATAAGAACAGGTCCCCCAAGGAACTGAGATCGTTGATCGCCAAGTGAGTGCTCGCAACTCCAAAAACTCTGTGTGCTTCTGGGAGGTGATGGCAGTGACTTGCCAATTCTTTAGGCTCAAATGCCACCAAATCACTTCATGATCTTCATGTCTCTAGATGGTTCTGAGAAATTCCAATACAGTGCAGTCCTCTGTACACACTTGGTATCTTAAATAATCCCAAAGATTGCTCAAGACTTCGGCTAAAGACCTTGCATTTGCCTCACTTCATCTGACACAAAGTCAAAGGGGTCGCGTGCTCGCGGCAATGTTACCTAGCTCAAGGCAGATGACCGCAGCGCCCATGGTCCCAATTATGTTCAAACACCGATTCTTGCGTTTCAAACAAACATGGTTGTATAATACTGTGATATAATATTAGCATATATATATATTATATATATATTGATACATTCTGATAGAATTGTGCAATGCTCAAAACCAATCAACAAAGTTAACAAAGTCTCGTTTGACATCGACCTGCCCAACACGAGATCTCGCCTGGGCTGTCGGTGGGATGTATGGAATTGGAGCTGTCGCTCGGGCAGGGCGCACGAAGCTGTACATGCGCTCCAGGTCCTGCAGTGCTTTGGTTTGGCATGGCTAAGATCCTCAAGGCATGCTGCCTTGGCAATCAACTAAAAACCCGCAACGATATTATAGATATATAAATATAGAGAAAATATGAGAATATATGAGAATTATATATAGTATATGAGTTTTACATTTTATGATATGATATAAGTACAATGTCTATCGATCGACATTTACGATGCAGTATTGGGACTAAAGTGACTTTTCAATACACCATGCAACAAGTGGCCTTGGTGGATTGGTGTTTAACTTGTTTAACATGTTTAACTATGTTTAACTATGGTGATGTTGGCTCAGCACCTCTGAATTCTTCTGTCTTGGGAGATCTTGGAAGATGGCGTCAATGCTGCGTCCTGGTTGCCGCGTTCGTCCTCATCCACGCCCAGTTGAAATCTCTCTGGTGACGGCTGCCACACCAAATCCTGCAGGCTATCGCTGGCAAATCGACACTACCACCATGCACTGCTGCAATCGTGTGACTGCAATGAGGGCCGAAACCACGGGTTTCCCCATGAAAATGATAAGGATGATTTGGATGGAATCCCCAATTCTTGGAAACCCTCTTGTATCCTGAACACCGGGTTTGTTCAAGCACTTACAATTCGCACACTCAAATTCCAACAGGAGATAACAAGAGATATGATAACGTATTTCTTAGAGTCAGCTTCTGCACCGGACTGACCACGGCTGGTGTTTCGCCAAGGAGCCGCCAAATCATTTGCGGACCCTGCGCGAACACAAGATTTGCAACAGGCTATGGAGATTTGTGGCGCTATTCTCAGCGCCCAAAGATTGCCATAGATTGCCAGTTGTTAGGGGATGATGGTTGCTTCGAATCAGCTGGCGCCACACCGCAAAATTCCGAATCATCGATGCCACCAAATGTGCCTGTGGACTCTTTGGACTCTTTGGACTCTTTGGACTTGGCAGGTTGACTTTCCTGCGCCTTGGTGACGTCGAGAAGGCCGTTTTTTCTGTCAAGTTGCGGGGTCAACAAGGTCCTTTCGAGAGAATGCTGCCTGCCAGACTTCTCAAAACAATAGAGCAGAGTTGGAGCAAATGTCTTTGATAGTTGTAGCTTGTTGTAGCATGTTGTAGCTCATCTGACCATTCAGTTCAAGATCACAGCTCGCAACCTCTCCAGAACCTGGATCAACATTTGCTACGCCCCGAGTTCCCTGCCACAGGAATCGCAGGCACATGCTTCGGGGATGAAGGCCTGCAAGGCAGATCGAATTCTGTCAGCAGCTCCATGACCTATTGTTATCTATTGTTTTACTCTGTTCAGATTTACCATCTGTGTGTACAAATGCACATGCTATTATACATGTGAACGTGTACATGACAGATGATACAGCGAAATTTATTTGAATCTAGTTAATAGGCACTAAATGGCGAGTATATGATATATATATATATATATTATATATATATACATCATTGTATCATATCTATAATATATATATATATACATACATAACATACATACATATTTGCTATTTTTTTTACTTGGGCCTGTCCCCAGTGCCTCAAATCCAACAAGTCAACAGGCGCTTGCGGTTGCTTGGTCGGATATCCCAGCTGCTTGGCCCTGTCAAGCGCGTCAAGCCGCGGGTGATCATATGGGTGTCCAAAAATGGCAATTTTCATAGGTTTAATAAGAAAGGTTATGATCAACCATCAAATTTGGGGTAGCTTAAGTTTTTGAGAAACCCATATGGTTGCAAAAGCGTTTCTATCTTCCCTGAATTTGAAAAATAAGATAGACTCTAAGACAAGCTGCTAGCACGTGGCAGTCATGGTTCATGATTCCATTTACGGATATGGCATGTGTGTTTTTGAATGACCATGCATAAATGAAATCTTTCTGGGAAAAGCCTCAAGTTCAGAACTGATAAGTCTAATTCGACTCACCAACTCTCCATCAAAGTGAGGGCCGCAGGTGAAGTGAAAAGGCAATGCTGATACCTCTTGGCATTTGATCAAATGATCGTCAGGTGATTTTCAAGCATTGTCAATTTCCTTCATTCATAGTAATGGAATTAGATTAGTCATTTTTTTGGTTTAATGACCATTCATTCGATTCAACGACATTCATTTGACATTCATTGAATTGTTATCAATGTGGTATGGCCATACTTGCCTGTGCTTCACCTGGGGGCAACCCTTCCCATGGTGTACGTACCGACAGTCTTAGAGAGAATGGGCAGTTCGCATTGCTTGGCAAGGCCTGAAGCACGGAAAATCACTTTGAACCATCCCCAAGATCAAAAATGGATGGGATTGAAGTCGCAGTTCATGGCATTGGGTTTACCACATTCTCACTATTCAACGTAGTGATGCCGCTATCCTATCAAATCCAAATGATATTCCCCACTATTCTTGGTATATTCCCCTTCTATCCCCATTCCCCGAATATCAAATTCCCTTATTGTATGGTCCCAAATATGTATGAACCCCCTACTAAACCATGGTTTATCGGGTTTTTTCAATAATTATTCCGGGGAAGGGATAAATACCATTTTATTTTTTGCATACTTGATATGCTGGCTATTAGCCATGATTACCCGTATTATTGATAATATACTCATTGTATATACAATTATGTATATATATATATATGTATATAAGTGTATCATTGGTAATATACCCATTGTATAGGGAATATGTATATGATACCCATTGGTATATACAATATATGTGTTCTACACCTATCATTTTCCCCATCCCGCTGCGAGACCTCTGCACCGGTGCTGCACTCTTCACCGACGTCGACGTGGAATTTGTGGTGCAGGCAGAAGGCTCCGTGAAGGCGAGCAGGCCGCCTCTGGCGTTAAGCCATAGCAAGTATAGAATACGCATCTTTAGCATTCTTTAGCTACATTTACACATAATATTTCATAAAATACATATAATATATTATAATATCATATAACCAAAGGAAGTTTCGTTAGCAAACTTCCGGGTCACGGACGATTGTCATGGTCTGCATTTGCATCATCATGTCAACCACATCATCATGTGAACCATCCATCATCAAGTTGCGACGTGTAGCAGTTCAGCCGCGCACGAATTCACGGGTGAAAACACTCTCGGGCGCGAAACCCTATGTTTTTTTTCGGGTAAAATGACTTCCGTGGTCGCCAAAGGAGGGTCTCTGTTTCCACAGGTTCGGGGCTCGAACTGCAAAAGCTGTCGACGAAAAGCGCAAAGGACTGTAGCGAGAGCTCGCTTTGCACTTCAAAACGCTAAAAGACTGAGGTGCGCAGAACACTTTTGGAAGATGTGAACGAGACTGTAGCAAGAGCTCAATTTCACATAGAAATCACAAAATAAACTGAAGGGATCGGGACACTTTTGGAAGATGAGGTCCGCAAAATGTGCACCAGACTGTAGCGACAGCTCGGTTTCACATAAAATCGCAAAAAACTGAGGGCAATGGAGCACCTTTGGAAGATGACGTCGGCTAAATTTCTTCATTCATTGATTCATTGGTTCCTTGGTTCACTGATTCAGTGGTTCATTGATTCATTGATTCACTGACTTGCTGAACCATTGATTCATTGAGTCGTTGTTTCACTGATTGATCGATTCATTGGTTCACTGGTCGCTTGATTCATTGAGTCATTGCTTTGTTGCTTCATTGATTCACTGATTCATTGACTGACTGATTCATTGATTCATTGGTTCATCGGTTCATCGGTTCATTGGTTCGTTCACTCAGTTGTGCACGGATTCTTTCATGTCATGTCATTGGCATCTCAACAACCATTTGCTCATTCGTTCATGCACCTCACAACTTCAACACTTCATAGGCAATTGATTTCCTCTAGCCATTCAAATTTTCCAAACTTCCGCCCCGGCGCGGGCCGGGCACTACCTGGTGTGCATATACATATATCGCTTCGTATCATCATCTCAGATGGTTGCCTATCATACCAGGCTGCATGAGTCCCTGGGTCCCTCACAACCCCAATTTGTCATGCTTGACTTCACTTCCCAGAACGGAAATAATTGTTGCTTCAGTCATGTGGCAGCCTCGTGTATGTCGTGGCAAGATTGTGAGGGAGTGGACATACTTTGAACATATTTAACCTTCAAGAATTACAATGTTTGAAGTCACTCTCTGGGCAGGACCTGTTCACCATACTTCAGTTCATATAGATCTGAGATGATCTGAGCAGACAATAGAATACTACAGATGCACATAACATAAATCTAACATGATATATATATATATTGTATTAGATGTGCATGCAGTATATACATTATGATATGATATGGACCGCACAAATGTTCCAATCATTCATGTTGCTGTCCATGATTATATAGCAAAGAAGCTCCATCCAAGCGATGTTTTCACCTGGGGACCAATCCCTGGGAATTCTGAGACTGATACTCAACCTACAAGTGATTGTACAGAATCATAGGGCACCGATTGTCTTGCCTTGCTTTGCCATTTGCAATGGGTTCTCATTGGGCATGGACCAAGAGAGCTCCAGCAGCTGCCATAGTTTTGCCTTGCCAAAGGTTAGTATGTTAGTGATTCGAAGGTCAACAGTGAACATCTCTGTCAAATGGGCTGGGAAGTTTTGGCTACAACTGATGCGTTTGGTTGGGCCATTCTCCGGCTTTTCTGCAGAAACCTGGGCCTGGCAGCCTGTCGTTGGGTTTTTCTTCTTGTAACCAGCCCTCCAGTAGACTTCAGCATCCACTCTCTTACCACCACCCCCTCCACTGCTCCCTCTCTGGACAGCAAGTGGCAGCTTCTTCGCTTAGTTCATACACCTCCAGTGGTGGTGGGCTGTCGCAATACTACCTCTCCTTTTCCGTCATGTGATATGTCAGATATAGAGGTGTCCTAAAATATGGGTACCCCAAACCATTGGTTTTCCCATTGACAGTAACCAATTTGGATGATTTTGCGGTCCCCCACTTTAGGAAACTTTGATATTGACATCAAAAGGGTGTCTAGAAGAATGCGACTTGCAAACTGGTGGAAGGCAGATCAGACCAGTTTGACCTCGTTATTGTGTTTGCAGATCAGATAGATATATGTACAGTCATGCACGAACATGTATTAACATCTACGAATATGTGTATGAACGAGGGGTGGTCAAAACTCTAAACATGAATGCACTGGTAGCACTGCTACCGACAGGGACCAAATATATTGTATAAAGTATATATTATATTCCTATGTGCGCTTTGCTGTCTTTCTGTGATACTTCGTGCAACTAAAGAAAGAAAGTCGGGCAATGCAAAATGACGCTCCGAAGCCAAGCAAGCCAACAAAAAAAACGCAACAAAAGCAAATTAAAAAGAAAAACACGGGAACCACTTAGAATAATTAGAAACGATGTTGTTTTCCGCAAGCACACGCTTGTCCTTTTCGTTGCTCTGATTTTAGTATAATTTTACAAGGTAAGGCTGTTCCTGTTTAAGATAACCCAAAAACCAAGGTGGGTAGACCTGTTGACAAAGCGCGTGAAACTTTCAAGAATGATCCACTCAACCCAGACCCCTTTGCACGCAGCACCTCAGAAGAACGGAATTGCCTGAGCAATTCTTGCCCCTGCCCGTTGAGGGTCAAAGAGGACAGCCTGCACCAGGTATAGGAATTGGCTGACTGTGATGTGGTGACCCAGAAAAAGCAGCCAGAGTAGCTTATCTAGAGCATGGAACACGTATTATATACGTATTCAAGGGCTTGTCTCAGTTTCCAGGATGTAAAAATACATCCAATGAAATGGTCAGCAGACCAAAACTGGAAAACGCTCAGTGGTTGAGGGCCTTCGCATGGCATTCCTAAAATTCACCCTATATCCAATGCATTATTTGCCTTCTCCCGAAGAACTCCACTTATCCCAAGGTGTCCCAAGGTGTCCCAAGGTGTCCCAAGGTGTCCCAAGGTGTCCCAAGGTGTCCCAAGGTGTCCCAAGGTGTCCCAAGGTGTCCCAAGGTGTCCCAAGGTGTCCCAAGGTGTCCCAAGGTGCCCAAGGGCAAGGTGTGCCTTCCGAGCCACTCTTGTCCGAAAGCTGACAGAATGACTCGCAGTATTCGCGCCTGGAGCATGATAAAACGCTCTGAATCTAGTGACGGGACGCCCGGCGGACGCCCTCCTAAGAAAGAGTTGGTCTTGAAATGGCTGGATAGTCTGCACATGTCTGCACCATAAGCAATGACACACATCATGGGCAGAAAGAGTTCGTGTCTACTGTAGAGTCTACAGAGGGATTGGCTGTGTAGAGATGTATCGTCTGTGGTGCTCTCCTGACACTTCGGTAACAGCTACCGCGGCTAGGAATGCACCTGCACTTGCCATGAATCTCTGTGACTGCTTTCGAGACGATTTCTCAAAGCAACCAGCAATCTCACCTGTCAAGGCGATTTGGATGTGTGGCGTGCGGAAGTTGCTCTACCGGAAGTCTATTGGTCCTGTATCAGTACATATCAGTACCAAATAGAAGCATGGTGAAAACAACTGGACCAAGACCAAGATACCTGGCAGAGTGTTTTCAGGACACGGAGCAAGAGGTTTATCTCAATTCAGGTATTGCCATTCCCAGATTACAGGGGGGGCCGCCGGGTTTTAAAGTTCAAGCAATTCCACAAAACAGCTCCTTGTCAAACAGCATTTGCTGCTTTCTTGGCTCTCCACCCGACCCGAACGACTCACTCCCTGCCTTTTCCAGCGAGATACACCTGCGCAACCATTTGAGCATACAGGGACAGCAGGTATCGCAGTGATCCGCATTCAAATTTGTTCACCCACATCAATATATCCACATCTCAAATACTCATAAATACTTATAAATACTCATAAATACGCAAGATCTAATCAAGATCTAGTTCCAAAACTTAAGGTCAACCCTCCTTGGGGCTATGACTCGTTCATTCTCAGCGTGATCTCAGTAGCATCACCTCCATCCCGCGGGCCTGCGCCAAAAGGATCGGAGTTCGTCCTCTGTTGGAAAGACCCGCATGGCTGGGACAGCCTCGACGAAGTCTGAGATCAGCCTTAAAGGGACATCGGAGATCATCGGAGCATTGGGCGGTCAAATGATACCAAACGCAAAGGTGTTCGGAACGGCCAAGATTATCCGAGATCTAAATTTGGAAATACGTTAAACTGTGTTAAACTCACTTTGGGAGATTCTGAACAGATCTTGAGCATTCTTGAGCCACTTTGAACCTCTGAAAGTTTGGAATGCGTGATCAATGTGATCAAGCATGGGAGTCAGGATTCAAAGGAATTCAACTAATTCACCGTGTGCCTTTGCAAATGTTCTGTCCAAGTCACTTCTCTTCCTGGCCAACAACTGGCCGTTTGAGAGCCTGCCACACAGGTCATGGAGGGAGGGAGAGCGAGAGAATGTCAATACGCACCTGTGCATACTTGATGGTTTAAGAGCACGTGAATGTGGCCACTTTCAATAAACACAACTTTGTAAGAGTGTCCTCTGAATTTTCTCTCTGCCATGTATAACTCTGGAGCGGAAAGCAGTGTCACGTGCCCCACAACACTCGACAGGACTCCATGTGGTCCGAACGCCTCAGGGCTTTCGGCTTTGAGCTCAAAGCCGCTCTGCCACGCTCCTTGCTGCTGGAGTGTAGATGGTTTGGACATGTTCATTTCTCATAAAAAAAAACCTAAGGACGTGTGACAACAGCCTACTGGAAATCAGATTGCGTGTTCACATCTCTGAGACTGTGAGACCAATCTGAACTTGCTTCTCCTTTCCGGAAGGAAAGCTGCCGTGCATTGCAAGTCAACGTCATGGCAGCGAATACAAAGCGTTAAAGGTTCTGAATGCTCGTACTTGGGTTGGGCAAGTGTGGCTCGCAGAATCAAGATTCCCTGCGAGTACTGTACCACTTCTCGGATGTCTCTGCTATCCCTCATGTCCACAAAAAAATGGATCCGAGCTTGCTTGGTCGGTAACATTTCCCCTGGATGGAGTGCCAGAAGCTGCAAAAAACAAAACAAAGTCTGCCAGCTTCTATATCTCTTGGCCTAACTCTACTCCCGTGTTGAGTCTTTGAGAGGAAAGCTGGTGAGGTTGCTCAGTCATGGTTGCCTAACACTACATTGGGTTCCAGCTGTGAGCCAAGAACGTGCAGTGGCAGCCAGGGTGGCCTCTGCAAAAAAGAATAGAAAAGGAAAGTTCTGGATTCTGTTTCAAACTGGAGTTTCCAACTCTGTCAAAAAAGCGCTGAATCACTGCCTTGGATTTTCAGGAAAAGTATTTCAAGAAAACCTGGAGCTGAAAAACAACCAGCACCTCTGTCATCAATGCATCCATTTGCCCTCATTTGCCAAGCCTTCGAAAGAAGTTCAATCAAAGCCACCAAAGACCCAGCAGCCCGAACGGCCCAAAACGGCCCAAAACGGCCCAAAACGGCCCAAACGGCCCGAGCCTGGTCGTTTCCATGGATGGCCTGGGACACGGCCATGGCATTCGAATGCCACATCCGATTCCAGGTCTGGGCGGTCTGGGCGCCAAACTCATCGAAGCACATTTGCCACACACCGTGGCTGATGCCCTGAGCAGAACTCGAGAACTTGAGAACTTCAAAAATTGTTTCGATGTTGACTTAGACGGTAAATTGGAAACGTTGGAAACCGAAGCTATCGGCAACCTCTTGGCAACATTATACCATTCACTGGCTGCAGTTTGAACATCTCTATGTATCTCTATGTTGCATAGACTCGCATTGCATCATGCGCTGGAACTATCTGCAACTTATATACGTCTTGCACAATTACACTGTATGTCTGCCTACACAACCTTCTTTTCCAAATCATACTGTAAATGTCCGGGCACCAAGGCCACACATGCACACAGTGTAAGCGCAGCAAGACTGAGTCTTCGTTTGAGATTCATGTCCTATACAATTACCTGTAAGTACAATGTCATTGCAATGTGCGTTTAGGGATGCTTAGCATATGCTTGGCTTCAGGTATGCTGACACTGCCACAGGTTGCCTGTGGACTCCGGACAGGCCGCCTCCCACTTGGCTTGAGACTTGAGGAAGCACGACAAGTTGGCCTACGCAAACGTGACCGACGCAACAGGAGACTTGGCGAGAACAATGAGATTTCAGACTCTCCAACTGCTGAAAATATACAGAGAGTGCAAGAGAGAGCGAAAAGGGAAGGAAGATAAAGGAAGGAATGAGATTCAAGTGACAAATTCTACAAACTCTTACTTTCAGTGACACAATTCTGCACGCCACTTTCTGGCCTTTATTGTGACGCTGCTTGGATGGACCAGCGACAGCATGACCTGCGAAAGATTGAAGTTCCAACCATATTCAAACAATCTACTGTATATCATATTATCATATTATGATAATATGATATACAGTAGATTGTTTGAATAATCTAAATATCTAGGTATCTAGATATCTCTAGATTGCTCAGGGAAGTTCAAAGCCAGTGAATAATGTGACCCTGTTCCCAGTTGGAAGTTGTCGCAACGATTGAGGGATTCGGGGTGTTTTGAGGAGTCCCCACAAATGCAAAAATGCAAAGAACCTATAGCGTCTTAGAGAAACTGCCATCGCTTTGGGTGTGTCTCCTCTCCCACATGCAGCAGAGCTCTGTAGAAGACTTTCTCAGACTTTATCCTAAACTTGCCTCGTTCCGAGTGACCTCCAAATGATAGCCCTGCCAGAGTTTTGGGGCAAGTGATTGCTGCCAAGATCATTTCGCACAGATACTGAGCTTCTGCATTGGAGATTTTTACAGCACACTTTATTGGGAAGGTTCGACTGACTAATTCGGAGTCACAGTCAATTCAACAACCAAGGCACCCTGACATCCATAGAAAACCATAGTGTCGTGTTTGATTGCAATTGTGACAAGCGTTTCAGACCTGTCATCTCCACTTGCACAGTAGAGTTGCTTCATATTTCTATCAAATATATCAAAATACTCAGATTTCTGATTACATCTGACCCCACCTGACGAGTTCGTTCTCCCTTGGGATGTCGCACAACGCCAATAGGAGGTGGACGCTTCTGGTCAAACCTCACACATCACATCTGTCGCACTGCCACAGCATGCCACAGCAAGCTGCGAACGCAAGGGTTGAACCCCTTTGATAGCCATACTGTGCACTTTAGCGCCATTTTGCTCCAAAGATCAGCACCAATTCTAGAAAGCGCAAAGCAAATCTTTGCTCGCTTTGCTCTTACTCCCTCTGAAAACACGCTTTTGATTTGTCGGGTTCTACTCTTAGATGACAAACATCATTGAAATTCATCAGTCTGCTGGGTCCCCTACGAGGTGGGGGCAGTTTTAACCTCTTCAAAGCGCAGCTGGACCAAGCGACCTTGTCTTCATGTGTTCAGTTCTGCCTTTCTTTCAGTTGGTTTTCCTGCTTGCATCTTGTCGCTTGTCTGGTAGCTCTAGTATGCACCCGTAGGATAAATAAGATTGACAGAAAGGATTGAAAGGATTGAGTGAAAACGAGTGAAACATAGAGCAGTATCCAAGAAAGATCTCAAATGATCTAAAATGATCTAAGATTATCATATTTATCATTAGATTATCTAAGTGTCTCACCAGTTTTCGGGTTCTTCTCCTTCACCTGCCATTGGCAAAAACACATGGAACTCATGGACCCCACGGAAAAGGATGTCCAATTGGATCAATCTGAAGGATTTTTAAGTCTTCTTTCTTGCACATTCGAAGCAGAGCTGAAGATTCAACTCTGCCATGAAATGAAAGCCCTATTGGTCTGCAACCAAGTGAAACGCGCCTCTTCCAACCTCAACGTTGATTCAAACCCACCCAGAAGAAATGGAGTTTCAGCAGACTTCTTCAACGTTCTCCCTACTCTAGATCTAGGATGGGAGTCATAATTTCAGGATTGGAAGATGTTGATGCGATATATTCAAGTCATTCAGTCTGCGTCTGCAAAGCTAGCCTCAACATGAGTCAACTATTTGTCAAGCAGGGGGACAGGCACGAAAGCAAAATGTATTCGTGCCAAGAAGAGAGCGTTCTGTTTTTAAAAAGTCCACAAAGAAGTCTTGGGGAATCCTAGGCCAACCCTGTCCGCTGCATTCCGTTGCCTTTCCCCTGTCAACTCAAGTATCTACTGTATCGAATCTTTGCGAATCTTCCAAGGTTTCAATCTCTCAGCATCTATGCGACCATTGGGCTCCCTGACGCACCGTCCATGATCTGGCAAATGCGAGTCATTACGGATAACAAACAAATGACAAAACCTCAGGGCAAACAAAACGACAATCCGATCTTTCCTAGTGAAGATTAATGCATGGCCTCAGATGACCCTGAGACACACGAGAAAGCTTCCTAGCAGAAAGTCGAGCTGTCTAGCGATGTCTAGCGTGTGTTCAGCGTAGATCGTCAAGATTGCATGGGTTGGAGATACCATTGGCCAAACTCCAACACAGAGTTGACGAAGTGAACCTGTGGCATAGATGGATGCCTTTAGATTCCTTTGACATCTTGGGTCCTTGTGTTTTCTCGGATCAGTTATAATGTGCCACGGCTTGTTTCACCCAGGACTGAGTAGGCACACACACACACACTGGAAACCACAGCCAATCAGCTGGAATAGGCTATCATGTGTAAATCCTTGTCTACCATTACGATATATAAAATATACTAGAATAAGATACAATATATACAATATAGACAATGCATATACTATGTGACTCTCTGGATGATCTGCCGCAATGAATCTACTCCCACCCTCAATCTCCCTCTGGAGCCTGGCTCTTCAAACCTCGAAATTTGGAGAATTTCGGCCCACCAAGCACTCCAGCTAGCTGAAAGATGCTGAAACTGAATTTTCCGAGTAAGGGAAAAAAAAAGGTGGTAGATGCTAGTCACCGGCCCAGACTGAATCTGAACTGGAAAGGACACATTCCCTTGGCTGTACTGCCTAGCGAGCATCTAAGGCATCCAAGGCACTTGATTTCATGCCACCTTTCGCAATGGTTGTATTCGTTCTGACCTAAATTCGCGAATTTCAGCTGTGGCACAGCTGTGGAACAACAACGGTATGCCATGGTACAGGAACTTGGCTCAGCTGATTTGCAGAGTGGGCTCATTCTCAGCAATTTGATTCAAAGCCAAGTTGGATGATTCTAGAATTTGCCTTGCTGTATGGACCTTTGATGACACATATTGTACATCAAAACCTTCAAAATGTCTTGTCTCCAGCACTTAACAAATGGAAGAATGCGTAAAACGCAACCAGCTTCTCTGCCTGTGCGATATTTCAAGGTCATAAACTTTCAGAATGAATCTCAAATAGACATTAAATCAATCATCAAATCCCTTTCCACATCGATCCATTGGAATTCTCCGGGTTTCCCTGCTCGTTTGGCGGATCCAAGGCGCTCGTCCACTGCACCTCAGTGTGAAAGTCAAGGAACCATCCAGGATCATCCAGGATACTCATATATACATATATACATTGTACATGTGTGTATACATATATAATGTGTATATATATATATATATGCATATTTGAGATTTATGCGCGTCTGACCATTTCCGATTTTGAGCACCTGGGACCTGATCACATACCCCCAGTTGAACTCCTGTTGAACGAGAATTCCCTTTGCTCCGCCGCGGCTGTGAACAGCCTCTATGTGCGTGCAAAAAAAAATACATGTACGTATATTATATATATATGAATATATGTGTGTATATATTTATAAATATATATATATAATTATATATATATATGTATTATGTATATATATTGATTATTTTTGCATGTACAAACATATCACTGACATTGCCCACAAATTATATATAAATCATAATGAACTTTTTGTGCATTGTTGAAATTGTATATATATAATCTTATGCTCAGGCTATTTTGCAGAAAAAATAAACTGAACAAGCGTTGCAGTTTGAAGGCAACTCATTTGATCACAGAGATATAGAGGGGAATCTGGGGCTTCATCTCATTTTAAACCTCTACGTGGTTCATCTGGGACTATGTAGTAAGATTATAACGCATTTGCCTAGATGTTACAAATCCACGGGAATCAGAGATGTCACGCCAAAGAATCAGTTTTTTCCGTTGTACCATAAGTTACACAACTTCAGGTACAACATGGTACAACCTTTTTTGAACAATAAAGGTCGTAGTGATGCTGCATGATGCTGCTACCTGCAGAGAGCAGACAGGGAAATGTAGTATGATCTGTGAAACAAGTAGGTGCGAACCGGAGGAAGAGCTCCACAACTACTCAGATATATAATCCGGCATAGCAGTGTGAAGCATATAAATACCAAGTCTCCGGACGATCGGACCCTTCATGGCCAGATGTGAATTGAACCTGTCGGTAGTTAGTCAGTCCCCAGGTTCAGCTGTAACAACCCTGAGAAAGTGAATTGCAGGAAAATTCAAAGCAAGTAATTAAACAGAAACACCATGACAATTGGAGCTTCCAAAGGACTCAGCCCAAATTCAATCTAAAGTGAACTTTTTTTCATGCTTTTTCTGCACCTAAGATGAAAGGTTGAAGGATGTTGAATGTAAACTGCGGCCTCCTCCCAAATGGAAGGCGTTGACAATTTCTGTTGCCAGGAAGCCTCAGCTTGGAATTCTGCATTCACAGAAGGGGCTCGTTCCGCATACATTGGGCTTATATAATTTCTATGCTGAAGAGATCGGATTCGTACCAATACTATAACATGTCCCAACTAATCTCGACCCCCTATTAATAAAGGTCCCCCTAATAAAAAGAATGCCGGCGCTCGGGACCATTTTTTTTAATTGTTTTTCCATTCCGCCTATTGAAAACCAATACTACATGAGCCGAGAATAAATTAACACGCCTCGTCGAGCTTATTAGGGGGCATCCTAGCAGCAATCGAACTTTTCGAGGACTCCATCCGTGTGTGTGTGCACACCGTTATCACAAATGGTTCCATTTTCATCTAAAGCAGGGCTACTGGAGCCAATTTGCCTATCCAGTCCAACGAAGCTATGGCAGTACCCGCTTGAACTGTTGAATAAGCGGGCCCGCAATGCCCTCAAGGGGTCAAAAAACATTACTGCTACTGCCACTACGACTGCTACTACCCCTACTACCACTCCTTTCGCTACTGCTACTGCTAGTGCTGCTGCGACTGCTCGTGCTACTGCTACTACTACTACTACTACTACTACTACTACTACTACGACTACGACTACGACTACGACTACGACTACGACTACGACTACGACTACGACTACGACTACGACTACGACTACTACTACTACTAGAATTGTTTGGTTCTTTACTGCCAATTGTGTCAAGTGTTGTGCATGGCCAGAAAAGGGTCTGAAACAGTCTGAAACAGGTCTGAAACATCCACATCTCCAGGATCTCAGCCCGGGTCTAGCTTTTACCAATATTGTCCTAGTTTCAGTCTTCCACACTAGCCTTTGTCCCTTGGCCGATAATACAAACGACAAAATTGGTTTGAAGGGGAAGAATGCTGCATCGAAGGGGCGTCATGGCAGTTGTGATCATCGTCACGAGGATGGTAGTCGTGTAATCAGCATTGTGTCAGTGGTGAAATCACAGTTTCAGTTGTGATCATCGTCAGAGTCTTTCAGGCTTTGCATGTGAAGGTTTGGGGGCATGTAAGGATTTTGTAAGAGTAGTAGCCATTGTCGTCGAACGAGAGAAAAAATATATAATTCGTTGTGCTGCTATGGCGAGGGTAGTGATGGTCGAAGCAAGCGTGGTAGTAATCGAAGCAGTCGTAGATCATGCCAATGCGAGGCAAACATGGCCAAACATAATATGGTATCTTGGTAGCTTCATCATAAGAACTCCTGCAAATTCAAAGAGAATCAGTCATCAGGCAACATAATTTATTACAACAGATAGCGCCACTCTGAAACACCCCCCTAATAAAAAGAATGCGTTCCCAAAATTTCGAATTTTATTATTAGGGGGGGGGGAGGGGGGGGGGCCCGTTTATTAATAGGGGGTAGGGATTAAAACTAAACTCAGCACAGTTCTGTCATGTTTTCTTGGAAGCTTCGGATTGCTAGGCACCATGGCAGTGTGTCAGAAGTCAAAGCACACGTAGGTCACTACCTCACTACCAGGGCCCCCCGGCTGCGCGGCGCGCGAGAGTGCCGAGGTCCTGATTGTGACGCCTGGGAAAGTCCGCGGCCATTTGCTTTGGCTTCGCTTCAACATAAGCCCCAGATTCCCCAGATCTTGGTGAAATATGGCGAAATCTGATGAAATATGGTGAGATGCTGATGCTGGGTAAAATTCCTTGTCGTACGGATGGTCCAAAAGCTGCCCAAGTCCAAGTTTCGCAAAGCTGTTGAAGGAGAGAAAGTACTGCAGGCTGCATACTGCCTTGGGACAAATTGTGCACTGCCACGACAGGACACTGGCCAAGTCTTAAAGCTTTCACTCCGTCGGAGAAATTACTTGGTGCCCCTGCACCCTTGGGAGTCTCCTGATCTCTCAGGCCACTCAGAACCACCTGGGCTGTTAAATCAAGACTCGTCTCGGATCCAAGCTTACTACCTATGCAATCCTGTGTACAGTGCAAAAGACGCTCAAAAGTATAATACAAATACATTAATCGTAGCTCCAAAGCTGATGTGAAGCGGTCATATCAAGGGCTGCTACCCGAAGACCAGGTCTGAGTGTTTCTGGGCTGGGGAAGCTCAAAAAAACGGTCATCCTGAACTAAGACATCTTCGGACAATTATTTTTATATATATTTATATCAAACTACCAACGGGGTCATGGCACAGATATGCAACTCATGCTCCCACCTCGAAGTTGTCACCGGGCTTCAATCGCAGATTTGGCGTGAAGATCTGCGACACAACGATCAACGAGAATAAAAATGAGGAGACATGTTCACAGACTTCACAGCTTGAGATATTCTGATAATGTAGTCCGGATTCTGGCGAGACTGCTGTGCTTCTCTTGTCGCTACCAAGATCTGCAAGTGCCAATATGTTGCTCTCTGAGTCTTATGGGTACAATCAGATTTGACATGACTTGACTACTTGGTACAATATGTTGGACCATTCTGTGCCCCCGCACCACACAAAAGCCCAACGACGTGGTGGAGTCGACCTCATAGCACTGCGCGAGAGGACTGGCAGCAGAGTTGATCTGCAAATGGACTTGGTAAACGTGTAAGAGCCACCCATTAATGTCTTTTAAACTAGTTCAAACTATATATTTCAATACGTAGAGGTTACAAGTTTTAATATGTTTTAATATATGTATTCATACTTGGTTAATACTTCTTTTGTCACTCTTCCAGTGGCCCCCAGACATCCCTTGACAGCCCAGTGGCACAGAAGTTGCACAGACTCACCTCACTGAGACGTTCCGCAGTGCCAGCTTCAATGTCAAGCCGTACCTGGAGAGGACTCGGAGGGCGATCAGAAGCAGGATACGCAATGGACACGCAGGATATCACAGGATACGGTGGCAGCTGAAAGCTACAAATCTGATCAAATCTGGTGGATAATGGAAATAATGGAAGAAAATGAGAGAAAATCAGAACTGTCCATGTCGCTTCAACTCGTCCAAAAGCTGTGAGAATCCATGCTCCACATCTCACTAACTCGTCCCAGGTAATTTTGATGTAGTTCTTGAGGTGAGTGCCGCATCTGGGGCACTCGATACACATCCACCCTGCAGTCTGAGGTGGGCCTTGGCTGTCACTTGGGTTGTCATGCACCGCAGAAGTCCGGACATATACTGTGTGCTCTTTGGAAGCACGTATGGGGCTGAAACATGCTGAAACGACACGTTCAACCAGCTACCTGTACTATTGTACTCTATTGATAGACTCTATATGACTCTATTGTATTCTACTATCAACATCTACCAACATCACTTCAAAATGGAGATTCAGCTGCCAAGCTCGCGGTGCTGCTATGGTCTTATTCGGAAAACATTGATTTGTCGCCAATATTCGCCAATAATGCTGCCACCTGGTGAATGTTGCGTACTGAGCTGTCTGGTTACTGTGACATTGCTAGGATTTGCCATGACTTCAGGTCCAATGAGTCCAATGTATATCCCACACGTTTCAGAATCGTTGAGCATTGTCGAACTATGGCCCAACTATGGCCCAACTATGGCCTGCCCCCGGGGCTTCCAAGCGAAAGCCGGTATGGATCTGGTGAGATTGTCCAGGGCATCATTTCCGCCTGCGACGCTTGACCCGAGGATCTCCCTTCGCTGAAATTTTCAGCATGCCTCACAGAGGATCTCCACTGGGACGATGCCGGGTGGAGGGAAGCACACCTCAAATGGACAAGGGAAATCAATTATTAGGAAATAAATGGAAAAGATAGGAAGAAAGTATTTGAAAGGTAAGAGATGGTAAGAGAGAAAAAAAAAGGAAAGCACATGAAAAAACATAGCAGAGTATCGATCAACTCTGAAATGTCCCTAGGGCTCGAAGACTCAAAGTGGTGCCAAGGAGCCATGATGGGCTCGGCCAGGTCTTCTTCCTGCGCAAGCAGCTTGACATCTTCAACATGCCGTGGCTTCAAACGGTCGCATTCGACTTTTTAGGATTCCTTTGCCTATTTTGCATTTTTTGCCCTCAAATTCTCTGCATGTTTCTCCTAAGCACTGCAACTCCAAAAAGAACGGGCCTCCACAAAGTGCTCGAAACGTGTTTTGGCTGCGTTGGATTCCACCAGCTTTCCTTCCTCAGGTGATGTAGTTCAGTTGAAGATGGTGTTTTCCTCAATGAAACATATTAACATTTCTGTCAATATGGCTAGGAAGGTGTCAATGTGAGGATGATCGAAGGGTTGAGGAATTGTTGGATCAAAGGGAGTGGAGCACATTAGACATTTGAGCACTTATCCCACATGTACTTTTTCACTGGTAGCACTTGGAGCACACATTCTCAGTGGCTTCGACTGACACTCTCAATCGTGGCCAAAACAACAACTTGATAACAGTTTCGGACATTGAATGACAACCATATAAGTCTAGATACACGATTCTACATGACTATATATATTAGTATAGTCATATAATGTCATGTGTGTAAATTTTGTGCTATAGTTACAATGGATATCAATGGATGCTATACATTATTGTTATTTATAAAACCAGGGTGAATTGCATGCTGAAACTGTTTTACTCTGGGTAGCCCCAGCACGACGAAGCACATGCTCTGTCCGCATTTGAGCATCCAAATTGTCCTGCCAGAGCTGCATGCAGCTTACATAGAGGTATCTGGATGTATCTGGCTAAACCTTCCATGAAGCATCCAGCAGGTGAATTGAGGCACCGAGCCGACCCCGTGCCTGTGTGCGACGTGCGTAGGGGATAGGATCTGGATGATCCTTTTCCATGAAGGTACCACTCAGGACCTCGGAATCACGTAGGAATCACAGGGGTCAAAGTTGGCCCATTGGGATGATTTCGGGCCAAAATTTGACCCATACCATCCCATACCCGTTTTGAAGGGTGTGTGTGTGTGTAAATATATAATATATATATATATATATGTATATATATTATTATATAAATTATATATTATATATTATATTGTATTATATTATATTATATTATATTGTATTATATTATATTATATTATATTGCATTATATTATATTATATTGTATTATACTATATTATTTTATATTATATTGTATTATATTATATTATATTATATTGTATTATATTATATTATATTATATTATATTGTATTATATTATATTATATTGTATTATATTATATTATATTATATTGCATTATATTATATTATATTGTATTATATTAGATTAGATTATAGTATATTATATTATTAATTATATTATATTATATCATTTTATTTTATTTTCTATTATATTGTATTGTATTATATTATATCATATTACATATTATATTATATTGTATCATATTATGTTGTATTGTATTATATTATATCATATATAAGCTGGAGGTGCCAGCACGGTTTCGTGGTCCTTCTTCAAAAAAAAACGATGAAATAAGACTAAAGCAAAGGGGCGCAGAAGTTGAGAAGTTGAGAATTAAAAGTTATTGAGTTATATCATTCTCTGCCTGCAGCATCATGATGCCATGTGGTGGATCAAGAGGAAACAGCTCATGCTACAGGCATGCAATCCAATTAGCCACTAATTAGCCCAAACAACACCTGTCTTTCCAGCTACCAAAAACACCAATGGTACAAGGCCTCTCGGCATCCCACAGGCCAACCATCCATGCCGTCCAAGTCAACACTCTCATCTGGAGCGCGGACATACTACAACATAGACATACTGTGACATACTGTAATACTCAACAGACTCAACAAATGTCATCCAACTGTCTTCCAAAACTATCTTCCAAAACTATCCAAACCGTCGCAAGTCTGGAAGACCTGGGAGTTTGACCAGGAGAATTGGAGAATGCTTTTGATGCTTGGAAATGGTCGGGCACAGGGCACAGGCTAGTTGCAATACAAATGCTCTCTTCAGAAGTTTTGGGCTTTGCCAATGCATTGCAACAAATGAGCCAGCAAACCCAGACTTGTCAACTTCTCGTGAAGAATTCCAACCTGGGAAAGGCATAGCAGGAAAGAAATGAAATTGTAGTAAAGAGTCTGTTCGGAACTTTTGATAAAGTTATAGCTTCTGGGAGTTCCCTTTTCACTATGTTCTTGTGCGAGTACATGTTCAAAAGCGAAAAGAAAGAAACGAAGCTGAAAAGGACCCTTGAAGAAGCAGAGCTAAGACTGGCATCATTTGGTTTGGTCAAATTTTGGAAAATCCAAAAAAGGATGTTTAAAATTTAATATTGTCAATCCTCAAAATCACCAAAATCTGTGGTTTCGGTCTGAAATTTTGAGCCAAAGAGACCTTTTTTGTCGCTCGAGTCTTCACCATCTTCTTCCAGGGCTCCGCCTCGATGAAATGTGGAACTGCGGAACTGTTTAAAAATAGGAAGCTTAGCCGCTTACCCCCAAGTTATGGCAACTTTCATGGGGAAAATATGGGACAGCAATGAATAAATATGAATAAAATATGAACAATAACTGATGATTAACCAGTGGGTTTCCGGGTTTGCCAGGTCGATCGATCCCAACTTCCAAGAACTTCACAGATCCTCTTGGCAGCTGCACCTGTCGCCACTTCAGAAGGGCCGCATATTCTTTTCCGATCTGCGCAGTGGCATGGAGTGCGCAAGCTCTGCCGCTTGAAAGATATTAAATATCATATCGAAATGTCTCAAACATTGATTGACTTCCACTTTGTTGTTCAAATTGAAATCTTCTCGTGACATTCTTGCGTTTTGAACGGAAGCTGTGGTGTTGCATGGTCTGGGGCAACACAACCAGATTCGGGTTCAGGCTTGGGTATGCGTGTACACCAAGAAGCCCCACGGTGGCTTTCACTTCTGTCTCCATTGTGCTGTCTTTGGTCTCCAAATCTGGATCCAGGAAATCGTCCTGCAACACTAAAATCAATGACACCCAATTTTTGCTCGTACTAGATGGGAAAATCATGATAATCATGGAAAAACCTGCGCAAGACTGCAATCATATTTACATCGTTCAGCTTCTTTCAGCCTCCTCCAGCCCCTTGATTCTTGATTTCAATGGACCCAAGGAATGGACTCCGTGAGACCCCGCGGAACCCCGTGGGCGGGGTAAACTGCTCTTCCCGTAGTTCCTCAGGCGGTGGCTCTTCGTGGATGTCCTGCAATGGCAGGTCCGAATCGACTCCAAGGAATGGGAACAAATGAAATCATAGTAAGATATAATAAGTAGATCACATCTGAATCTATACTTCTATCTTCTTTTTTCTATATTCATTCAGTTATAAAGTATACATTTATTTTGTAAGTCTCAGTAGATCGGTGACAAATTGAGTCAACATCTCCATTTGTGCACTGTCCAGAAGTGGAAATTGTCTCTTGATTCATGGAAAGAGCGGAGAGTTCAATCTACCTTGAGAGCGTAGAAGAGAAATCAGAAGCCGATCGAACAGCCATACATATATAATTTATATAATTGCATAGCAATGTAATGTCAAGGAGCCTGACTAAAATCGGAAGGAAAAGGCCGTTTATTGGACACTTACAGCAATCCCAGTTGTATCACCGTGACCTTCCGTGAGACAACACTGTGATCATGTTCACGGCATGTTTTACAGAAGAAATCTCACAAAACAAATCATAAAGCAGGGTGAATTCGCCTCGCATACACGGGATCCCACGATGTCCCACGGGTGCAACACACAAAGCAACCCTTGTGCCTCAGGAGGCTGTCCATCGAACTCGTCTGAAGGACAAACCACGCAGAAGTTGCAGCCACGACGAAGGAGTCCGATGCCATAGACACTGCGGCGACAGGACTTTTCTTTGCAAATTTTGCAAATACCAACCACTGGATAGACTTAATTGACTTCACAAGAACTGTTGGAATGCATTTCTCATCAGGTAGCTTTTGCAGTTGATAAATGCCGTCTATGGTTGACATAATAAAGTGCCAGAAAAAAGGCAAGTAATTATAGTGCCATGAACTGAGTTGCTCGAACAGGTTTAAGACAGGAATAGAAATGAATAGAAATGGACAGATTCTGGACAAAAATAAATGAGTTGTTTAAACATGTTCAAACGTCATTGGGACATTTGGGACAAACTGCGGGAGAGATGCCGAGTCTAGGCACGCCTTGGATCCAACAAGCTCCGTCGGAAGGACGCCACGCCGCGAAGATCGCCCCAGCATGGGCTGATCCTGGTCCCAGGCCGTCCCAGGATGCTCTGGTCACGGCCCACTGCAGGTCACCAACTTGATTTAGTCCTGAAACACGATGAAAACATCATGAAACCAGGTAGATGATGGTAGATGATGGTAGATGGCAGTACTGCAGTGGGTACTATAGTACTAATTACATCGATGAAAACATCATGAAACCAGGTAGATGATGGTAGATGATGGTAGATGGCAGTACTGCAGTGGGTACTATAGTACTAATTACATCTAAATATACTCTAATTATATAATTATATCTGATTATATCTAATTACATCTAATGACATCTAATTACATCTAATGACATCTAATGACATCTAATTACATCTATCTAATTACATCTCATTACATCTAATGACATCTAATTACATCTATCTAATTACATCTCATTACATCTAATTAATTACGGTAGCACAGTGCAATCTTGACTACCGTAGCATTCTGAAGCATCCCAAAATCACCCACGGTGTCCTTGATCGTCCTCCTGTGGATAGGCCGTTCCACCATTTGTTCATGGTAAACTTGAAGCCCTCTCCTCGTCCCGACGCACAGCCCAAGCGGCGCAATTTTGTTTGGGCTCGATAGGGAGGAATACCAAATGCTTTGCGGACAAATGATACAAATGGAGTCTGGAGATGTCTGGAGTAATTATTTCAGAATTTTCAGAGCTAGGTAGCCAAAAATGCTCGTCTCCCAACATGACACCAAATCCAAACCCAATGGTTTGCATGTTGCATCATGTTGCATCATGTTGCATCATGTTGCCATGTCCCTTCGACACTCCTGCGTAGCGCCGAACACCTGGGGGTCTCGGTAAAGCCGCCGGAGGGCCTCAGTAAGCTGCGAGGTCAGCTGTGTCACCGTGAGTCACCCGTGGGCACCTGGGTGGGCACCGGACCATCCGGCACCGGGACCTTGCGAATACCCAGGAGCCGTTCTTCTCTGCTCCTGGCACATCTGAAACAGCGACAAGTAGTGGGTGTAGTGGGCAAAGGATGTACTCAATGGCAGCTGTGCTGATACATCTGATACGATGCCAAAGGATTGGACTGAAACTAGAAAATGGATTTGGAGATATCTTTCTTCACCAACAGAATGTCAAAATCTGAATTGCGTCCACTTCTTGTTTTTCCTGCTGGGCAATATTCCGCCAGGGAGAGGCAAGCGCAGGAGTCTCGAAAATCGTGGCGCAAACAGCAGATCTAGATGTAACACGCGACTAACACCCTCGGCATAGGTGGCATCTGCCACATCAACGACTTCAAAGCCTTGTGACGCCATGAAGGCAATGAGTTCCGAGAAGCGCGGTGCGCCTTCGTTGTACGGTAAGACAGGGGCCTCCAAGAGAACCAGCTTTGCCTGTGACAAAGTCCTCAAACCACCAAGCAGCACAGCAATTTCTGCACCCTGCACGTCTGCTTTGAGAAGATCGCAGCAACCATCTTGCAATTGGTCTACAAAGTGAGCGGCGACGACATCATCGAGAGCTTGGGTTCGAAGCAGCAGAGTCTCTGCAAATCGTGGATCTATATACAAGTCACTCCTCTCGCGGAACATGGATGCACCAGTTGTAAGTGGATACCTTGTACTGTGAAAGGGCACTGACTCATTTCCTTTGGCTGCTAGCATTGCTATGACAAAGGGCTGACCAACAGCTTTCAACTCTGCCTGGTGCTTTGGATTTGCCTCAATCATCAGAAACTGAGCTGAAGGAAAAAGCTGCAGCGCATCTATGGTCCAATTCCCCACATGCGCACCGATGTCCAATACATGCCGTGGTTCAAAGCCCAATCGTTCCTTGAAGAAACGAAGGCGGTCGATCCCTCCGCCTGTCCAACCAAAGACGTCTGCAGGGTCTGCAGGGTCAGGACCGTGGACATCGTGGCTCTCGCAATCGCCAGCCATCAATATCAGCAGAGCAATCCACATGGCGATGCATCCCAGATGCCATGAAGTTTCAGTCCCTGGTCCCTGTAACAAAACCACATACAGCATCATGTGGCATGTGTATGATGTGTATGTCTACATCAGTACGATTTAAACCCCTGAAGTTCTGAGCTGCACAGAGAAGGCACAGTCCAAAGCCTTCTCTTGGCGAAAGAATACTACAGAAATCAATCAGAAATCATACTTGACAAAAGCTACAAACAACATGCAAACACCACCGCGAAAGACCGGCACTGCCCGGCAAACTGAAAGAATCGAGGCATAGCACAGCTGCGACACAGCCCGTTCCTGGTGACGTTCAGGTCTCCGATGTCTTCAATTTCCTGGGTCTCCTGGGTCTCCTGGGTCTCCTCGGTTCGGGGTGCCTCGGCGGAGAAGAAGAACATGGAAGAACCAGGAGCCTCGTGGGATTTCCCTCGTGGATTACCACAAATCACGTCAAGCACACGTATGTCACAATTTAATGAGTACCCTGTAGCTCCTTTACTTTCCACCGGATCTTGATGCTTGTGGGTTGTTCTGCGGTCATTGATTTTTTCAACCCACTAGATAAGGGCCCTTTCTGCTCACTTTGCACTAGCATGCTTTCAGCTTTGAAAGACACCATTTCAGCAGACTGGAGCGTTAGGGGAAACAGCAGCGCCCAAAGAGGACCCCAAGTATTAATTGATGAACAAAAAATCTTATAGATGCATCAAATTCAGTTCGACCAGGCTTCCATCATTCTTCACAGTAAAAACCGTAGATGCGCATGGAACAGTCATGGAACATCATGAAACAACAGAGACGCACGATCAACGGCTCAACGATGCTTCACGCTTCCTCGCCTTGCGCTCAGACGTTCCTGACCCGATCGCCAAAACTCCAGGGCTGACACAGATTTCGTCATTTCGTCAGCCATCACTTGTTCGACTTTTTTTTGCAACACGGTTTCATACTTTTTCGATAGCGCATCTTCAAGCCTATGATGTTTGTTGGGTAAGTTCATGGCCAACTGGAGCAAGTGAATGAAGCGGGCGCCCATGAGTTCCTGTCTGTCCTTCATCTGTCAGGCGAAAAAGGGGCAAGTAGGGCTCCAAGGACACCTAGCTTTGGGCTTCGGATTCTCAGGCTTCAAATCAGGCTTCAAATGAAACTCGGAATGAGTATCTTTCTGCGGTGGCTCATGTCCAAGGCTTCCTACTTTGAAGGCACATCCTGGATTCCTAGATCATATTGCATTACATCTCACTGCAGGTGTGGTCGTTTGAGGATGTCTGAGGGGTCACTTTGAACCCTCGTTCCCACATCCGCAAGCTACAGCACCCACTGGACAGGCACCTCCCCCTTTACTGGCAAACTCACGTCCGTCTGGCCAGTTAAGACTTGCGGACCTGGCAGCATTTCGTCTGCACCAACATGGACAAACCCTGAAAGAAATTGGAGTAAGAGCAATCCCCGAGATAATTTTCACGGTGCATATGCTACTTGTTCTTTCCGAAAAGCACAAATGAATACAAATGAATACAAATGAATACAAATGAAATCAAATGAATACAAATGACTCATAAGCATTTTCCACCAGTTCCACACTTCCCCTGGAAATTCACAGAAACTCACCACAGTTCTTTTGGCATCCCACACCTCCATCTGAAGTGGCTGTAAACGGTAGGCCGTAAAAGAGCTGTCTGGCAGCATCGACTGCTGCAGGAACCTGAAAAATGCTGGCCAAATGTTGTGCTCTGGTCCCATAGAATTTCATAGCGACTCAACGATTTCAGGAAGTTCCCCAACTGTGCAGGGGCTACTCGGTACCAATCATATCTAATCATATCTAATCCCATTCATGGCGAGAGTTAGGAAACCTTGGACACAAAAATGTGGCAGTTGAGCGTGGAATCTTGTGTTGATGGGAGACATGGGATCTTAGGATCTTATATTCTCAGGTCACAAAATTAATCAAAATTGAGGGTAAAGTTTTTAAAGCCTTGGTCATGTTGCATTCCAACAGCAACCAAGTTTGGAGACGGTCAAAGCGAAAATTCAGCCCTGCACGTGTGTGACAATCGCCAGTCGACAACCTTCTCCTCGGTGACACGGTCCAGGAAACCCATCCGCATGCGCGCAAGCTCTGTAGCTCTGCACGGAAAGATACAGAAAGCATCTGAAAGCCCTGTCCTACGATGTGTAAACAAGTTCCACATAGTTCCACATAGTTCCACATAGTTGCAGTGTCAAGAAAAATGACATCAAATAATCTTGGGCCAGCTCCGCTGTGATGGATGGAAATGGCTACAAAATGCTACAAAGCTATGGCAAGACCTGCTCGATCCTCGATCTGATTAATCTGAGATCCGGACGCTCCACGAATTGCTCGATGGCAGCAGCCAATCCTTGATGATCCTCCGTGGCCTCTGAGCAAAACTCGCAAAACCAATGGAAGCCATACAGCGTGTGGTCTACCAAGCGATCATCACTGTGGTGATCTGTGGTGATCTGTGGTGCCTTTCTCAGAAACAAAACCGGTACAAGATGGTACAAGCCGGCCCACTGTGCCCACTTGCAGAGAATTCGGGGTGACATGTGCCGAGGAATCCCACGAACCCGGAGCCTTGCACAGTGGTCGATCTGAGCGCTTCTGAATGGCCTGTCCGAGGTCACAGGGGGAGCCAGGGACTGGTCAGACCTCTAAATCCATCTAAATCCTCTAACAAGAAGTCACTCGAAAATCAAAGTTCTTAGTCACTCGAAGAGTCACTCGAAGAGTCATCGTCTTCAAATTAGCTGCAAGACTTTGGCACTTTGTGGTGAAACTGATCGGAACCGGCCGCAGAATCTGACAAACTTCAGTGTTGCAAAGCTCAGAAGAAACGCTGCAAATGCTGTGAAGTTCTGAAATTAGGCTTGCCACATGCCAATGGCCATTACAGTAGATGCCACTAGATGCCACTAGAGTAGAATCTGAATCAATTTCACAAGACCGCAACTCTTACGGCCTGGATAAACAGATCCGCCATGCCCTGGCAGAGGCCACAGAAGCCAAGTGAAGTATGATGAAGACCTGTCATACACCTCGTCACCTCATCTGTAAATTAATGTAATGATTAATGATTCATGATAGTACATGTAATGTATATAATGATGTTGTGATTGGTGTGACTCTGCAGGTCCTTTCAGCCTACACATTTATATTGATGGTGATTGATGATGTTTATAGCTCAACAATGACAGGACAAGTCAGTCAATTGGAGACTGTCGTCTTCCCGAAATGTCAAGAGTTTAAAGTTTAAAGCCTGACCCACAGAAACAAACCATAAATCAAACTAGAGTGGCTTGTGATATCTGGTGGGCTGTCTAGAAGCCTGAGATCTTCTCCTTGGAAATTCCTTTGGCTGCCTGATTGGTAATCTTGGTACGTGCTTTGGTACGTGCTTTGGTACATCTTGGATCGTCGCACTCGAAATTGACCCTGGAGGCTCCGTATGGCTCCGTATGGTTCAGTATGGCTCGGTGCTCCTGCAAGAAGGAGTCAATTTCGAATCGTCCAAGGCCTGGGTTGACAAGTGCTCACAGCGCAGGCGCCACACTATCGAAGAAATGCAGGTGACGCTCGCATGATTTTAGCAAAGCGATTGATGCGATTGATAGATTTCAATATATAACTTCAATTTGTTTCAATGAAGAGCAAAGTAGCTACAAACGGAAAGCAATTGAAAGCTTCTTTGTGTCAAAAACACTAATGCCCAGCACACATGCCATGCCAAGTGTCGACAAATCCAACGGTAGAAATTGAGGACCTGCCGACGTGGCAATTAGCAGACCCGTTCAACATGTGAGCTCTTTTTTGGACTTAGCCCCATGAAGTTGTTTTCAGAGTTCTTTGAGTATCAAGTCCTGCAATTGATCAGCCAAGCCAAACTGTATCAAATGGTCTCTTCCAATATGACACCTGAGATTGAAATCAGATTGGACCCTTGGCCTCGAGAGCCAAGAGCAATTCACAGGTCCGAGCGACACCACCTTCCTGCGAGGCAACACATTTGACAAATTTTGACATACACCCACAATCCGTGGGATCCCCTCGAGAATCTCGAGACAGCGCATCAGCTGCGCGGCGCAAAGGAAAATGACATCTGGCGATTTCCACAGGGCTCGAGGCCCAGTTTCAAAACGTTTCAAGCCGTTAAAGTTGTTTCTTTCGGCAGCCAATGTCATCTTGCACAGTTCAGCGAGGCTCATGGGGTAGCAGCAGGATGAACTCAACGATGCAAGTGCACACAAGACTGCAAAACGAGGATATCGGCAAGCCCTTTTCGCCTTTGCGCTACAGTATCACTGTTTGATACTGTTGGATTCTTGTGGTGAATAGTGAATCATTTCTTCTGTGCTTTACCACATTTTGCCCAAGCCAGTCTTTGCAGGTGCTTGAGCGCTGAAATGATTCATTAATTAAATAATTAGTTAACTTGAGAGGCGGCCCAAACATTCAAGATTCAAAAGGTTCAAACCTTCTGATTCTGTGTTGTCAAAAGATGTCAAAAGCCTCATCAATTATAATACCTCCGGGGAGCCTCGTGAGCGCAGCCAGTAAAGAAAACCTTGAGCTTCACAGTTTGGAAGGGCTGCAAAGGTCCAAGTTTCTTGGATGCCGGACCCTTAAACCTGGGTGCCAGCAAGACCTTCCCCAGCAATGGAACGGTGGAGTAAAAACCATCCAAGCCACTCACTTCTTGTGACCCATTGCTCTGAGCCAATCGAAGGGCTCTGAAGACTTTGATGGCTGATGGTATCAATTCAGAGACAGCGGGCAATCCATGGATTACATTTGGGGAAGGATTGCTGAGGAGAAGCGAAGCTACCCGTTTCCTGCTCTGCCAAGCAATGGGATAGACACCTTTCGCCTCCAACTTTGCCACCGTCCTGTTCTCCATCTTGACCTTTGGACTTCCCTGGGCTTCCCGCAATATGCGCAAGAGCACACCAGTGGGAGTAAGACTGCCATTGGCATAGACGGCTCCCATTCCAGATTCAGGTTCTGGCCCAAATTGACAATGGTAGTTATCGCAGGCAGTGCATCCTTGCAGCATACCCAAGGGACAACTACAGCTGGAATCCCACTCGCCAGTTGGTCCATACGTGCCGTTGTTGTCCCAAAGGATATCTTGAGGACCACAACCACAGTGGGGCCCACTTCCACTATATGCGGGCATGGGTTCCGGTGGTGCCTCTTGTTGGATCAAGCTCATAGAGCAGCTGCTGCAGTTTGAAGCTGGCTCCAACACCTGCGCGACAGAAATTCACGTGAAATTGATGCGAAACCCTTTCCTGGACGGATTTGTTTGATATAGTTGAAGTGATCTGGAGGCGAGAAATGTGAAAAGCATGGAAAAGCCACGTTTGATACCAGTCCAACCCAAGCAGCACTAAGCAGCACTGCGTCCGTCCAACCCCAAATTTTGAAAAACGAGCTCAAACTTCTGTAGCTATTTTTAGATTTTTTCGGCCTTGGCAGAGCACCCCAATGGAAAGCTGTAAGGATTCAGAGCTTCGAAAGCACCCGAAACGGCCTGGTACAGAAAGGCCGCGTGCAGCCTGGGCTCCTTGACCCAAAAGGCCATCTTCGCTGCATTGTCTGCAGCACCCGCCAGCGAACCCACGTAAGCGCTCTGGTTTCCGAGCACAAAAGGTGAGTTGTATTCTGTGATGGCTAAGGGCAAGTCCCCAAAGCCTCCTACAGATTCAATCACTTGCAAGAAGCTCTGGTAAGCTGTTGGGAGCGAAGCCATATCGGTGCTTTGACCTTGTCCTTGACCATAGTAATGAAAGCTGAAGAAATCTAGGGGTGCGCCCTGTGCTTTCACGTTCTCAAGGAAGTGTTTGATCCATGTCATACCGAGACTGGTGGGGCTGATGTCTCCACATGGAAAAAAACTCTCTGAAAAACCACTGGCAGGACCGCCAACGCGAATGCCTGGGTACTGTAGCTTGATCAGCTTAGCAGTACTGACATAGAAGTCATACATCATCTGAGGAGTGCCATCCCAATAGCGGCTACTCCAGGTGAAAGGGCGACCGTAACACCAATTCGCCCAGTCTTTTGCTGTGGGTTCGTTTCCGCTAGCGCTGCAACCACCGAAGCCGTAAGGCATACAGATCCTGAGTTTCAGCATCTCAGCAAATCATCAAACCAAAAAAAACAGAATAGACATGAATATACTAATATACTCACAGAATGCAATCTGGTTCGAATGGATAGAGTGCAATGGAGTACCCAACAAATAGGACAAATGTTCTTCATTTCTCTCATGTCGACATAAAAGAAACTGTTATCTAGAAATCTTACACAAAGAGTCGATACTGGATACTCTGAACAGTCAATCTCTTGGGCGGTAGCCCCATGGACAAGGTTGCACCTGTTTGTTTAGAAACATATCCTGCATGTTTCAAGAAGAATAGAGATTCCATGAGATTCCTCTGGCCCTTACAGATGTTACATCATGTTACATCCCCTGGCAGCCTTGGCAAGGATCAATGTGTTCCATTCGTTGGTCAGTTCAACACCGGCAAAGGCTCCAGGCCACTTGGAGGCTTCCAGTGCGCCATGGCGATTGTAGCGCTCCACGATCTTCATCACCAACTGTGGACCTCAGCCGCGCCAGATCTGTCGAGGTTTTCACTACAAAAATACTGAGACATACTGAGACCTAAAAAGAGATGTGTAATTTTAACAGTTTTAACATATGTTAACATGCATTTTCACTGGTGTCCTGCAAAAACAATTCTCGGCAGTCGGTTTCCCAATACCAGGATGAGGGGGAAAGCTCTTCCACTGACCACTCATGAAATTCAAAAGTGGTGTCTTTGAGGCAAGAGGCAACAAATTCTCCCAGAAGAACATGCAGTACCACTTTGGGGGAAGTGGACCTGTGCAGGACGTTAGAATATTTACGTACACAATAATATAGCGACATATAGCGACTCTGGCACTGGCTCCAAAATGACTCGTGGTATGGTGCCAGTCGCGAATGAAATCAAGTCGCTGGCTCTAAGTAAGGGAACGGTGAACCCAACAGAAACATACAGAAACTCTCGAGTTCGAACATGTTGCAATGAAACGGGGTGTCAATATGTGCCAATGCCTCCAGGGCGCCAATTGCATTTATCACAGGTGAAATGGCTGGCCACGGCTCGCAAATATCATAGGCTTTCGGTGGAATCACATAAGTCACATTGCCTGTGGTCCAGTTGACATAGGCCTGGCCACTAATCCTTGTGGAGGTCCAAGTGTTGACTCCCAGTTTCAGAAACGGAGCAAATCCTCCAGCAATCATAGCATGGAAGAATCGATCCGACGCATTCCAGCGCCAGTTGGACTCGTTGTTGGGGTCTGGCAGCTGATCCAAAGATGCCACTGGAAACATACAGCGAAGGTCAAAGGCCACACCGGCCTCATCGGGACGAATGCTGTTGATCTGAAGTTTTTGGAAGATTTTCGACATCTTCTTGGTGCCCAGAGGATTGGAGTTCAAAGGTTGATACACCCCGTAAGGCTCTGGTCCATCATTGCCACTAATCAATGCAGGCCGAATGTGCCCGTGACATTCCTCTCTTTCCGTCCTGCCCCCACCGCGCCCGCGCCAATTCTGGCGACCAATGATGGATCCATTGCCCCCTAGACTGCCAGCTGATGGTGTCCGCTGCAAGAAACAACTCGCCTCTTCCCGGATGCACTCAGAGGGAGTGTCAGAGCAGGTCACGCCAGCCAACAACCAAAGGCCCAACAGTGTGACAAAAACACCCATCATGGCACAAACTGCCGCGAACTCCGCGAACTACCTTTTGTCAGTTCAAAAGTCAAGGATATCAAGCATTTTCATGCATTTTCAAGATTCACAACCAAGCGCTTGTCTCGATTCGGTCAAAATCTTCGACCAGTTCTGGACCCAATAGACATGAGTGATCCCTACCTGGCGCTTTACATCTGTAGGTCCAGTGCGCCGACTGCTAGTCATCAAATTGATTCGAACTGATGATGCACATTGACATCCAAATCCCACCCCTGTGTATAACATTGTATACCAGTAGTACCCGCACGAGGCGGGGCAGAAGTTGCCTTAGGGATATACTATAAAACCTTTGTCATCTATAGAACTTGCATGTGCCGTGCGCCAGCCAGGCACATGCGCACGTGCTTTGCGCGAAGCTATTGCACGGTTGTTGTCCAAGAACATGACCTGCGCACGGCCCCGGCGCAATGCAACGCCAAGCAAACACTGTCTTCACACTGCACACTGCATGCACACTGCAATCTGCACACCCCGCACTTCACACTTCACACTTGCACTTCACATTCCACACTTCATCTCATCTCACCTGAGCTCTTCTCACCTCATCTGAGCTCTTTTCATCTCCTTTCATCTCTTCTCATATGTCAGCTAAGTTCTACTTACCTATTTTCAGTTCATCGGAGCACAGCTCAACCTTTCTCATCTCACCGAAGCTAGTCTCAACTCATCTCGTCTCTTCTGCACATCAGAAACCTTGCGACACAGATGCATTTACACAGAACAGTCTTCACAAGAAACTTTGTAGCACAAAGCTTGCACAAAGTACTTCCCAGTACTACTTTGTACTACAAAGTTGCACAGAGCACGTCCCAGTACGACTTTGCACTACAAAGCTTGCACAAAGCACTTCTTTGTACCACAAAGTACTACAAAGCTTGCACAAAGCACTTCCCAGTACTACTTTGTACTACAAAGCTTGCACAGAGCACGTCCCAGTACTACTTTGTACTACAAAGCTTGCACAAAGTACTTCCCAGTACTACTTTGCACTACAAAGCTTGCACAAAGAACTTCCCAGTATGACTTTGTACTACAAAGCTTGCACAGAGCACGTCCCAGTACTACTTTGTACTACAAAGCTTGCACAGAGCACGTCACAGTACTACTTTGTACTACAAAGCTTGCACAAAGTACTTCCCAGTACTACTTTGTACTAATACTACAAAGCTTGCACAAAGAACTTCCCATTATGACTTTGTACTACAAAGCTTGCACAGAGCACGTCCCAGTACTACTTTGTACTACAAAGCTTGCACAGAGCACGTCACAGTATTACTGTGTACTACAAAGCTTGCACAAAGTACTTCCCAGTACTACTTTGTACTACAAAGCACGTCCTCTGTAGCGCTTTCACATAGAAGCTTTGATACACACAGCAAACTTTTACACAGAGAAGCTTTTACACAAAGAATTGTTTACACAGAGAAGCTTTCTTATTGTCTTATTCATAATGACAGCAGAAATTGCAGCTCCAAAGCCGGATCCCGGCGCCAAATCAAAAAAACACGACTTTTGAAAAGGAATTTTGAAAGGAAAATCACCAGCGCCAAAATTGAGAAAATCTGCTGACAAATTACTATCGCGGCCTTGATGCAGCCATTCCAATACGATTGACGAGGTCCAGCTGCAAAACAGAATAGTATACGCAAGCAGCCGCGGCAATATAAGTCGTTGCAGAACATAGAGGAGGAACCGATCCGACGATGAAACGAGCGCCACCGCAACCGCCGCACACACGAGGTACCTTTCATCGCCGGCTGCAGCCACCTTACACGGAAAAAAACACGGTTTCGTGCTCCAGCTTCCTCCCCAAAACAAACCCCATGCAACATTCATGCACCCATTACAATGCGTTTTGCAGCATCGCGTGGCAAACACGCATCTCTCTACGCACATGGCAACAAAACGTGACACCAATCATGCAGCCATTCCACTGCGATCTGCAACCACCGCTTCCAAAACACCCTAAAACACGCACAAACGAACAATCACCCGTTCTAGAAATTTCTAGAACACACAGGAAGAACCGATTTGACGATGAAACGAGTGCAGCCGCACCGCCGCACACATGTGAGGTACCTTTCATCGCCGGCTGCAGCCACCTTACACGGAAAAAAAACACGGTTTCGTGCTCCGGCTTCCTCCCCAAAACAAACCCCATGCAACATTCATGCACCCATTACAATGCGTTTTGCATTATCACGTGGCAAACACGCATCTTTCTACGCATATGGCAACAAAACGTGACACCAATCATGCAGCCATTCCACTGCGATCTGCAACCACAACTTCCAAAACATCCTACAGCTACGCACACACGAACAACCACTCGCTGCAGAACACACAGGAAGAACCGATTTGACGATGAAACGAATGCAGCCGCACCCGCCGCACACATGTGAGGTACCTTTCATCGCCGGCTGCAGCCACTATACACAGAAAAACACACGGTTTTGCGCTCCGGCTTCCTCCCCAAAACAAACCCCGTGCAACATTCATGCAGCCATGACAATGCGTTTTGCAACCTGAGATTCAACAAGCGCATACGCAAACATGGACAAGCACTCGCTGCAGAACTTTGAGGAGGAACCGATTACGCCCGAAACGATCGCAGCCGTACCCCCCTCACACAGGAGGTACCTTTCATCGCCGGCTGCAGCCACTATACACGGAAAACGCAAGGTTTCGTGCTCTGGCTTCCTCCCCAGACAAAGCCCATGCAACATTCATGCAGCCAGTACAATGCGTTTTGCGGCTTCACGTGGCAAACACGCATCTCTCTACGCACATGGCCACAGAACATGGCAACAATCATATAGCCCTTACACTGCGATCTGCAACGAGAGATTCAACAAGCGCATAGAACTATGCACACATGAACAAGCACTAATTGCAGAACACAGAGGAGGAAGCGATTACGCTCGAAACGATCCAAACCGCAACCGCCGCACACACGAGGTACCTTTCATCGCCGGCTGCAGCCACTGTACACGGAAAAAAACACGGTTTCGTGCTCCGGCTTCCTCCCCAAAACAAAGCCCATGCAACATTCATGTAGCCATCACAATGCGTTTTGCAGCAACACTTACACATCCATGCAGCCATTACAATGCGTTTTGCAGCTTCACGTAACTAACCCGCACTACACTGCGATCTGCAACCACAGATTCAAGAAGAGAATAGCACTACGCACACATGAACAGCCACTCATTGCAGAACACGGAGGAGGACCAATTCGCGTACTGTTGTGGGATATAAAGTTTCACACCACCCTTCAATGTGATGTATTGTTATGTAACGTATTGTTATGTGATGTACTGTTATGCGATGTAAAGTCTCACACCACCCTTCAATGTGATGTATTGTGATGTGATGTAAAGTCTCACACCACCCTTCAATGTGATGTATCGTTATATGATGTACTGTTGTGGGATGTAAAGTCTCACCCTTTACCGTGATGTTTTGGTATGTGATGTTATCTGATGTAAAGTCTCACACCACCCTTCATCAGGTGAAAAGTCTCACAATTCTATTTATCCATAGGTAACTCGGAAGATTGCTTTCCAATTTCCTTTGATAACATTATATAACTATCCACCCACCAAGGAGCCTGTGCCAGCCAGAAATCCAAGTTGGCAGGATGCGTAGACTGCGGCGGAACAGACATGTTTTGGCATCTCACAGCTGATTCTGCGTTTCTGCGCGACTGCTGTGTACTGACTAAACGCTTGACTGCCCCGTTTGCAAAGAATGCATTTTTTCTTTTACAAATCAGATGGCTCGAAGCCAGAAGCACAAAAGTTCGCTGATGCCTCCAACAAGTTATTTAACCCACAATTTCGCTATTGATGAAAATGAACAATATCATAAAATATCAACAGACTATGTATCATATCCATAGAAACGTTCAGCATCCCGCGGCATGACCGCCAAGAGGTCCGTGCCTATACCGAACACCCCGCGCCTGACCCCAAGATTTGATGCCGCTACTGACGTAGTACTGAAGCAAACGTTCCAACAAGGAGTCCTCAAACGTGCATATTGGAGTTGCCACGTCCATCTGCAGCTAGGCGAAACATTGCCCGTGCTGAGACCAACAGGAGGCAGAAATTATCCCGGCAAGAGACCCCAAACAGTGCGCAGTTAGGATTCTAAAGGGAAAGTTGGAAAGGACCTAAAAACATCAGTGGCAGCACTAGCAGCACCAGAGCGACCCTAGTATTGAAAAGAAGAGATAGCAGGTCAAATTCTGTAAGCTCCCTTTGTGAAGATCTCTGTAGAAGATCGTGCGCAAGACCTCATTGAGAGGTTCTCTGTAGAAGCTGCTGTGCAAGATCCCTGTGTAAGGCTATCTGTACAAGGTGTCTATAGGAGAGCTCCACAGAAGATCTTGGTAAGGGACCTCAAAATCCCCGGTTGTTGTACACCTTAGCCTAGTGCCAAGGTATTCAGCTACCTGTAGGTGGTTGCATTCCTAGGGCCTTTTAAGGCTGGGTCGAAAACCTTGGCCTAACATAATCGCAATTTTGAGGTTTAACGCTAACCTAAAGGTGAAAACCTGGGTTCCAACATTTCAACATAAAACACCTTAATTAGGCATATGATGCTTAAAACCTTCAGCCCAAGATTCACAAGCCCAACTTAACTTTTTTTTATAACTTGACCACGCTCCCTTAACGGTCGGCCCAAGCTCTTGACAAAAGCTATAGGTGGACGATGCGGCAGCGACACTGGTGGATCAGAAGACCAAGGTGTAGTTGAAAGCTTCTGAATGCGTTGACGAACAAGTGGCTCCACCAATGAGAATATAACGGATTGCCTGTGGAAAACACTGGAAGACTACCCAAAACTACACTAAATTCAAGAAGCCAACTTTTGATTGATTAATGATTGTATGATCTATTTAAAATTTGGGAAGTGACGCAATCTTGTTGGCGCCCTCTCTTTTTGATTGTTTTTCCGGCTGCCCCGTGCCCAGGCAGATGGAAAGGGACAAGCAGTTGAAGGGAAGGCAAAAGTTGAAAAACTTGGGCCTGAGAACAGTGCCCGAAGAGAGCCAAACAGATCCACACGTTCTTTGGGTCAATCCCTTCTAGATCCTCTAGGGTTAAATACCTGGTCCCAAGGTCCCAGATTTGTGTGATATGCTTGTTGATCTGCGGATCCTGGGGGAGGTAGCAGGTTTAACCCGGCTAACCATAAACACCAAAATTCAATCACAATTTTAGGCCAGTTGTTCTTTTTTTAAGACCCTTATTTAAACTTGTTGTTTTTGAACCATTTTGCATCCACAAAGGGGGGACCCTTGAAGTCCACCGATGTAGCCAGTTTTGCATGGTTTGCGGGTCTCTGAGCTTGTTCCGTGGTTTGGTTCTCCGGGGTAAATACCTGGGCCCAAGGTTTATGCATGTTTTAGTGAAAACATCATAATCATCCATTTCCTCTGATCCCGCTGCAGAGGAACTCAGATGTCCTCTCCAGGTGGACGATGCGCCGGCGATGCCGGATCAGAAGGCCGAGGTGTAACCGAAAGTCTGGGATGGTTTGGGTTGTTTAGGGTCTGTTGATTTTGTTGTCCCAATCACTGATACCACTGTTTTGGAATGCGTTGACGAAAAATTGGCTCAACCAATCAATATAATATATCAACTGTTTGAATTTTCATCTGTGAAAAAATGATCTGCGGGAATCAGCGGAAGATCCAGTAGATCAAGGAATCAAGTTCCGGTTGTTTGTATGATCAATTTAAAATTTGGGAAGTGACGCAATCTTGTTGGCGCCCTCTCTTGTTGATTGTTTTTCCGGCTGCCCCGTGCCCAGGCAGATGGAAAGGGACAAGCAGTTGAAGAGAAGGCAAGAGTTGAAAACTTGGGCCTGAGAACAGTGCCCGATGAGGGCCAAACAGATCCACATGTTCTTTGGGTCAATCCCTTCTAGATCCTCTAGGGTTAAGTACTTGATACCTGGTCCCAAGGTCCCAGATTTGTGTGATATGCTCGTTGGCCTGCGGATCCTGGGGGAGGTGGCAGATTTAACCCGGCCAACCATAAACACCAAAATTCAATCACAATTTTGGGCCAGTTGTTCTTTACCAGAAGTACCGCACAAGGCGGGACCCCTTGGCTAGATCTCAACAGGTCTCCATGCAATGTCTGAGTCTCTGTACAAGTTCTCTTTTTGAAACCTCTGTACAAGCTATCTAGAAAAGTTCTCTCGGCAAGTTTTATGTAAGAGACCTCTTGGCAAGATCTCTGCAACAGATCTCTATGCAATGTCTCTGTACAAGATCTCCAGAAGAGGCGTCCTGGCAAGATCTCTGTACAAGATCTCTATAGGATAAGAGGTCTCTTGGCAGTCGAAAGGCACAAGGACATGCCACAAAACCCAGTGTATACGGGAAAATGCAGGATACTAATACCGCGACACCCGTTTCGTGCGAGCCTGCGCAGCCGAAATGCACATGGACATGTCACAAGCAACCTGCTGCGTGGAAATTTACAAGGAAAATGCCGGACGCGACTGCCGCGACAGCCGTTTTGTGCGAGCCTGCACAATCGAAATGCACATGCACATGTCACAAGAGCCATTTTGTGTGGAAATTTGCAGGGAAAATGCTGGACGCATCCCCCGTGGCAGGCGCGGCGCTTGGTGACTCTCTGTAGAGCGTCTGGGCGCTTGACGCCGCGGCTGCTTCGCGTGGCAGGCAGGGCACTTGGTGACTCTCTGCAAGGCCTCTGAATCTGGTTTCAGACTGGTTTCAGAAGGCTGGTTTCAGACTGTTTCAAACTGGTTTCAAACTGGTTTCAAATTGGTTTCAGGGGCCATCGTTTTGTGCGAACCTGCGAGTCGAACTGCGCATGGACATGTCGCAAGGGCGGTTTTGTGTCGAAATTTACAAGGAAAATGCCGGACGCGTCGCCCGGGGCCATCGTTTTGTGCGAGCCTGCGCAGTCGAAATGCACATGCACATTTCACAAGAGCCATTTTGTGTGGAAATTTACAGGGAAAATGCCAAACGTGACGGATACCACCTCGATTGAACACCGGGCCTTAACACCTACCGTAAGAACCGCTCAGTGTGGCCACACTGTTGGGGGGAAAAATGAGGCCAAACTTTCTCTGAATGAGAAGGAGACTTTTGAACACGTGTTGTTCCAGGAATGACCTTTGCAGCAATGCACTTGCGCAGCAATATCAACTCAAAAGTTGTTATTCGTGTATTGATGCAGGCCTTGCAAGGAACTAGTACGTACGAGATCGTACGAGAAGTAGTCGAATCTACGTCTAAAGCCTGCCGTCCATCCAGGGTGGTACAAGCCTTTACAAGCAGTACAAGTCCATCTCATGTCGTCCTGTAGTTTCTATAGCTGGTACTGGAATCTTCGGAGTCCTCAACTGCATCTTCGTCTCGTCTGATGAACCTAGGCACGTCAGTGGAGAGGAGTCGGCCGGTGAATCCACTTCAAGAGGTCTGCAAATATTCGTCACCTGGATTTGTGAAACAGTTCGTAACTTGATAGAAGAATGATAGAAGCTGATACAACGTGAAGCTCTGTTCTCCCATCCTTAGCTCTGGAACAGTCCCACATCTTGGGCTGTGGGCTGGCTCTCCACAAATCAGCACCGACACAGTGAGGTTCTGGCACAGCTTCCCGATAGTCGTGGTCATAGAAGGACTGGTCCAACAGGTCCAGGCGATCCTCAAGAAATGCGTTCTATACAGCATGGCAGTGACCTTTACCCGCTCAGGTTGTGAAGCCAAATGTGGACCTTTCACCAGCGGAATGTCTCACCTCATCCCAACCCAGAATAGTCTTTCAATTTTCAATCCGAAAACAACAGAAAACAACAAGTCCTAGTCCTAAAGCGTCCAACTGCACTGAAGTCCTTGATTTCTTCTTTTGTCACCATGAAGCTCCACTTCATGACCCGCTCTCGTACAGCAGGGTCAGTGGCATCGCCTTCTGCATCAAAAATTATCAAGCAGAACTTTGCAGGTCTTCAAGCGCAGTTGCTATGTGTTGAATGCTGCATTAAAACAACAACAACAACAAAAGAAGAAGAGCACTGAGGCAAGGAGGCAATGAAGCGTAAGCCTCTCAACTTGCGAAGTTGAGGTCACAGAGTGAGAAGGAAATCCAGAGAAGCATGGTGAGGTTCTAGGCTCAAGACAAAGCAATGATTAACCGATTAACCATAGAGATCATAACATTCAACGTTGAGATTGTCCCAAATTCCAGCAAAAGAGAAACGCTTCGAGGTTCAAAAAAGATCTGTTGGGGGTTTAAAAAGGGTTCCAAGTGGTTCCAACATGTTCGACCCTCTCTGGACTTCGGAGCCTCTGACTAGTGGAGATGGTGGCTCTGACAGCACAACTGCCTGGTCCATGAGACGAGCTATGCAAGTGACTTAAATTCGATGCTCGACGATGCCCTTTGGGAATACTGTTCCAATTCTCATGAACTAGTTTGGCAATAATGTCGTGGCTGATTGTTTGTAAATCCAAGTCTAGTCCTAGAAGCAGCACCAGATTTGTGTACAATCTGAGAAATGAAGCAATCAACATCGGCAGAGCTTTATGATCGAAATAAATCAATCGGAACAAACCTCTGAAATCAAGAACCTCAAACAAAAAAACATGGGCCGATCAAATTATAGAAGGATTTTAAATTCAAGGTTCTTCCTTGCTTCAGTCGAACCAATCACAGCCAGATCCGCTTCTTTCAGCACAGCACGATGGTTCGTCCCGACTTGACGGGTTGCTGCAAACAATCAATCTTTGTACAAACCGACTGATAGAAAGCCAAATCATGGTCATGGCGACGGGTGGTTTGTTCATGTTTCATATGGTTGATCCTTTGAACATGACATGAAATGACACATCTTTACACATCTTCTGCATTCTTGCGCTGGCTTCTCATCAGTGGCAGTGGCACAGTGAATCCATCGACATCTTGGCGGCGCTTGACCACATTGGACCCTGCACTGGGCGCCAAGATCTCAAGCAGAGGATTCACAGGATTGGCTGATAAAAGTAGAGCCCAAACGATCTCAAATACAAAATCAATATAATAACTATATATAACAAATATTATATAAATAGTATTATATAAGTAGTTACACCAGAATTGTTCGGAATAACGAACCAGCAACTGGAATGGCGCAAGTGCACTGTGTTTCTGGCTGAAACTGGGTTTCATTGGTGCTTGCATTCGATGCCATGATGGTGCCTGAGCATCTGTTCTGTTGGCATGGAAGCGGTTCACTACTGACGGTGAATATCATGAACACGAATGGACTCGGATGACGGATGGATATGGATGGACCCAATGGATGGATATGATACGCATTTCCGTCATTTCCAACTAATCATAACTAATCAAACATGCACCGAATCAACAGTGGACGAGATCTGGGCATCCGGACTCCTCATCGTCCTCATCATATGCCTCGGCCACACACGAAGCGCGCACAGCATCATGGCATCATGGCATCGTCGGTCGTCGGCCACCGGTTTGTTTTGACAGGCATGAGGATGGAAAGCCATCGGTAGCGATTCTCAGTCCGCCCAGTAGGAAAGGTGCTGGTGCCACCCCTAAGTATATGTATTGAATGAATTAATGATTTTAAGGTCTTCTTCTTCTAACTCATTACAATGCCATATCATACCATCTCGCTCTTGCGGCGGAATCTGTGGCACCTGAGTCGTGACTTTCTTGGAGCTCTTTGCCGAGGAGAGTGGATCGATGTCTTCGCAGAAAACTTCCTCAAGGTCCTGCTAGGGCACGACGGGCACGACGGGCACGGCGGGCCGCGAGGCACAAGCCTGTCAGGCTCCTTGACATGACATGTTTCTGCTGTTCCTTTGTTATGGAATGAAACAATTTCTGTCCCTTAGTAAGAATGGTGGCAACGGGAAGAATTGTAAAGAGAATTCTTTGAGATACCAGCGACCTGCTTCTTACAGAGAAACCCTGAGACAAAAATCCTGCTGGGCAACACCTCTTGGGCAAGCAACTTCTGCTCACAGGCTGGAAAGTTTCATTTAAGTCTTATCAGATCAAATTCCCAATGCTAGACGGTCACTACCATATTCCTTATACCTCCTTGCTTAAAAAGCGGAAAGGCCCAGATGAGCACAACCCCAGGGGACCTCTTGGCTCTCCCCTGCAGCTTCCTGCCACAACGAGGAAAAGCACTGGATGACACATCCAGTACGGTCCATGACAACTACCTGATAGCCTGATCACCATTTCGCACAGTGGTTTATCCCTGCTCAGTGTTGCCGATGAGCCCATGACCTAGAAGCAATTAGAATCAGATAAAACATATTTCGAATTGACCTTTGTGACAAAATGGCCCACGTGATACCTGAGTCTTGAAGTTGGAATGAGTTGCGGAGCATGCCAAGGTGTATGTTGAAGACGTGACTCAAGCCCAATTCCCGACTTCTCCTTGATGCCCAGCATTGACTTCAAGGCTGTTCCAGTGGCTTCTGACATAACCTTGCCACGAGGGCGCTGCGATCCCAAGCTGCTGTGTTTGCTGACCCGGTGGACGCCGGTTGATTCAGCATGTGGTAGGAAGGGTCGGTCTCGTTCTGGCGGGCTATTACTAAGTCCACATAGGTGAAAAACTTCTGCGCTCTTTTGATTTTCAGAGCCACCAACAGCATCTCATCCTATTGTCCTTTTAAATCCTTTAAGCTTGGACAGCCCTGAATTTCACTGGGGATCAAGGCACCTCGGGAAAGCGAAGGGTGACGACCAGGAAAAGGTTTCCAAAGTTGAACGGGTCCTGGCAATGGATCCAATCTCCAACATCCTCCTCTTGGAATATGTGCATCGGAACTGACATGTGCCCCTTGATCTGAGTCAAGGTTACTCAAACATACTCTAACTGTCTAAATTGGCATCCAAACAAACAAGATAAGTCCTTTGATGTCATACCATGTCATACCATTGTCTTCGATGATCTTCCTTCAATGTATGCCATCAAAAGTTCGACATGATGTTTCCTTCTTTTGTGTGTCCCCGCATCCCTGTCGTGACTCAACCAACAAATCCCTTTGGCCCTGACGGCCACTCCTGATGGATTGGCATCCCTGCACCTACCAACCATAGGTTCAAAGGCACATGCTATGCTGCTGTCTGTGCTGCGGCACCGCTATCTCGCAACAGAGACTCAACATGACCCGACCCTTTCAAAAATAAAGGCCATATAGATGGATACTAATTGGATGTTTTGTGAAAGAGTAAGACCTAGAGTGTCAAGTGGCAATTGCATCTCCTGGGCAGGTGCATTCACTCTAAAGTCCGTTTGAATGAGCACAGCTGCCCAGCATGCCACTGGCCTTTCACCGCCTTGAGGACTAAGCCACTGCGTCTGGGTCGCAAAACCTAAGGCTAGGATTATGTCGCAGGATGCTGCAGCTTGGCTGTGCAAGTGAGAAGTGATAGGAAGAGACGCATAGAGTAGCGTAGAGTGGCATTCACAGTGGCTTTGGCTGGGAAGTCGACATTGGACGGAACTGGAACCTGCAGCCTTCAGAAACACAATGGGAAAATGAAATTTATACTCACTATACTGATATTTCATGATATGTTTCATTATATTTAGTTTCAAGACAAAAAAATCGATCCCCCGCCAACGCTCAGCTTTTCCTCCCCGCTGGGCTGAATCATCTCCTCGATCCCCTGACCGTTGCTGTCGGAGCCGATACTGTGCTGGGTAATGTCTAGGAAATGACATGAAGGTTCGAAGCAACCCATAAGTTGTGCTGCCGTTTGCTTCAAACCATGGTTTGACCTCCCCTAACTGCCTTCTTCAACTCCTCTCTCCATTCTTGTGATTCATTATTCATGTGATCTTCTGATGAGTCTATGCAAGGGTAGGGCAAAAACCCAAGCAATACCTTCAAACACGGCGTTCTTCAACAAGCGCAACAAGCTACCAATATGTCGAACGGGCGCAGTCACGACACTGTTCGGCCTGTTTCAGGTAGCTCGGTTTCCGTTAACTCGGTTTCTGCTGGCCTCTCACAAACAACGGCGGGTGATGTGCTGGATCAGCTGCAGTCAAATCTTAGACCATCTTAGACCTCTCAGACGTCACATGGTTTCACTATCAGCCTTTTGAAGTGCACAGCCTAACATCGACAAATTCTTGTGGCACCCAGAAGTCAGTTTAAGTGGCAGTCTGCCATGTCTTCTTTCCACACCTCAAGACTTCTGACACCTCAGTGCCGCGGGAGTTTCGCCGCTTTATCACAACCAGCGCCACGCAAGCTGTGAGGGCTGCGGTAGACAGAAACGCAATGATGGTCACCGGCACAGCCAAGGTCTGCAGCGTCAACAGTTTCGTGCATTTGGTCAGCTACGGTTCCAATGGGATGCGTTCAACAAGTTCATTGAGAAGGCTCCAAAAGCATTTAGTTCATTGAAATGAGACGAGAGTTCAAAGCAACCCGTCAAAAGCCACGCAGGTTTCAAAACAACTCTTAAGTCTTCCATCCGATGAAAGATCACAGCCTCATTCTACCCTGCTGCCAACAAGACTTGCCTTGGTTTTGGCTCTACCATGACCAGCATGCCCGGTGTCACGATGTACTTCTCCACGACTTTGACGATCGCCCCGCGAGTTTGTATAGCCAGGCGCCGACGTGAGGGAAGGTTCGTCGTCCATGCCAGCACATGGCCTACACCCAGCGATCAGCTCTCTCTCATAACGATGCCTCAATATGTCTCGAATCGAGCCAGGATCAGAGATGTATATGATCTTTAAGATATTTCTCTAGATAGATTTGTAGAATTTTGTGAAATTCTATAGAATGATCTCTCTATACTAAGCAGTGCGACCTTGGCATGTCGACATTTCATGACATTTCGACACAACAAGTCAGATCAAGTCGGCCTGTTGTTTGGCCACGATGCTGGATCTTCCAGGCGGACCGTTTCCTTGGCACCTCGTGTCAGTGGTGTCGGTGGTGTCGGGGGTGTCGGTCAAGGCAAGGGGACCGGAGCGGATTCTCGGAGCACGGGGGAAAAAACACGCCAATGGTGAATAATCAACTACAACTCGTAATTACTCATGACAATCAATCGTCTTAATATTAATGCGAAATGAAAATGAATGGTATACATAAATAGGTGATGGTGAACATATAATCAACAGAGTAATCGAAGGAAGTTTAGAAGTCAAACTTCCGATAATATGGACAGATGGAACAGCAGAGGTGGGAAGAGTCAGAGAAGAGAAGCGAAGAGAAGAGAAGAGAAGAGGAGAGGAGAGAAGAGAAGAGAAGAGACAGAGTCAGAAGAAAGAAGATGTAGGCGCGCGAAAAAATAGAAAAGTCGCGAAACACTGTGTTTTCCAATGATCTGTGGCTCCGGAGGGTCGAAAAGTAGGCTCACTAAAGCGGCGGGTGAGGAGCCATCTGGCCAGATGAGAGATGAAAAATTGCACGCCGTTGTGGCGAAGCATACTTCGAAGTCAAAATGCGAAAAACACACCAGGTTCGGAGCACTTTTGGAAGTTGATATGATGAAAAAGTGCACGCCGTTGTGGCGCGAAGCACATTTGGAAGTGAAAATGCTAAAAGCACTACATGTTCGGACCACTTTTGGACGTTCAACTGCACCACGCTACACCACAACAAAACACTACAACTACAACTGCAACTACTACAACAACTACAACTTCAGCTTCAACTTCGAATACACTACAACTACAACTACCACTACCACTACACTGCAACTACAACTACAACTACAGCTACAACTACACTACACCACACCAAACCACACCACACTACAGTCAGCAATTGTGGGTGAGTTGACCACTGCAACCACTCCAAAAAGCACAATTCCAACCACCTGTCGGTCCATCAGTGTATTCGCTCTGCCATCCATGCATCACAACAACTCACCTCCCCTATAGTTGTCTATCTTTGAAACTTCTGCCACCGCCTTGTGCGGTACTACCGGTAGTAATAACCATCAATAATCAATAATCTACATTCCATAATCCATACTTTTATTACTTCTAACTTCTGCATTCTCCCCCTGTATATTCCCCATATGACCCAGCCCCACCGGGCCCCACCTAGCCACAATTGAACTGTCTCTGCCAAAGCTGCACCACCTTCTGGCACCTCGACAGTGGATTGAATTGGACACATCGGCTCAGTGATCCACTTGGTGTTGATGTGATTGCAATTCTAATAGAAAAAATCCGCCGACCCCGGCCGACGCAAGGGGGAGCGCGTAAGGGAAGAAGAGTATCTGGCACAAAGAGCAACAGCAGTTTTCCCATCCGGGAGGTCCCTTATGGTGTTTTGCTGCCGGGAGCTACCTTTTACGAGCAGCTGCCTGCAACAGAATCTCTCGCAAAAGGCTGTTTTTCTAGGATGTCAGAAGTGACGTTAGGGACTTTGTTCGCGTGGTTTTGGAACGACACGTTAGGGAGTTTTTTGGCGTGGTTCTAGACCTTGCTCGTCCATCAGAGCCATGGTGTTTTGCTGCTGGGAGCTGCTTTTTTCGAAGCTGTTTGACCGGCATCAGCAGCAGCAGCCGCCGCCACCAGTCCTGCGAGCAGCCGCAGGCGACAGAATCTCTCGACAATCTCTCTCTCGACAATCTCTCTCGACAAATGCTTTTTTTCTAGGATTTCAGACGACACGTTAGGGAGTTTTTTCGCGTGGTTTTGGACCTTGCTCGTCCTTCAGAGCCATGGTGTTTTGCTGCCGGGAGCTGCTTTTTTCGAAGCTGTTTTACCGGCATCAGCAGCAGCAACCGTCGCCACCAGTCCTGCGAGCAGCCGCAGGCAACAGAATCTCTTGACAATCTCTCGACAATGTGCTGTTTTTCTAGGATTTCAGACGACACGTTAGGGAGTTTTTTGGCGTGGTTCTGGACCTTGCTCGTCCTTCAGAGCCATGGTGTTTTGCTGCCGGGAGCTACTTTTTTCGAAGCTGGTTTACTGGCATCAGCAGCAGCAGCCGCCGCCACCAGTCGTGCGAGCAGCCGTAGGCGACAGAATCTCTCGACAATCGACAAATGCTGTTTTTCTATGCTGTTTCTATGCTGTTTTTTTGCTGTTTTTCTAGCACATTTTTTCTAGCATTTCAGACGACACGTTTGGGGGGTTTTTTGGCGTGGTTCTGGAACTTGCTCGTCCTTCGGAGCCATGGTGTTTTGCTGCCGGGAGCTGCTTTTTTCGAAGCTGTTTGACCGGCATCAGCAGCAGCACCCGGCAGCAAAACACCATGGCTCCGAAGGACGAGCAAGTTCCAGAACCACGCCAAAAAAAAACCCAAACGTGTCGTCTGAAATGCTAGAAAAAATGTGCTAGAAAAACAGCAAAAAAACAGCATAGAAACAGCATAGAAAAACAGCATTTGTCGATTGTCGAGAGATTCTGTCGCCTACGGCTGCTCGCACGACTGGTGGCGGCGGCTGCTGCTGCTGATGCCAGTAAACCAGCTTCGAAAAAAGCAGCTCCCGGCAGCAAAACACCATGGCTCTGAAGGACGAGCAAGGTCCAGAACCACGCCAAAAAACTCCCTAACGTGTCGTCTGAAATCCTAGAAAAACAGCACATTTGTCGACAGATTCTGTTGCCTGCGGCTGCTCGCAGAACTGGTGGCGGCGGCTGCTGCTGCTGATGCCGGTAAAACAGCTTCGAAAAAAGCAGCTCCCGGCAGCAAAACACCATGGCTCTGAAGGACGAGCAAGGTCCAAAACCACGCGAAAAAACTCCCTAACGTGTCGTCTGAAATCCTAGAAAAAAAGCATTTGTCGAGAGAGATTGTCGAGAGAGAGATTGTCGAAGATTCTGTCGCCTGCGGCTGCTCGCAGGACTGGTGGCGGCTGCTTTTCGATAGCTATGTACCGGCATAAAGCAGCAGCCACCACCTGCGAGCAGCTGCAGGCAACCGAATCTCTCGACAAATGCTTTTTTTCTAGGATTTCAGACGACATGTTAGGGAGTTTTTTCGCGTGCTTCTGGACCTTGCTCGTCCTTCAGAGCCATGGTGTTTTGCTGCCGGGAGCTACTTTTTTCGAAGCTGTTTTACCGGCATCAGCAGCAGCAGCCGCCGCGACCAGTTCTGCGAGCAGCCGCAGGCAACAGAATCTCTCGACAATCTCTCGACAATGTGCTGTTTTTCTAGGATTTCAGACGACACGTTAGGGAGTTTTTTGGCGTGGTTCTGGACCTTGCTCGTCCTTCAGAGCCATGGTGTTTTGCTGCTGGGAGCTGCTTTTTTCGAAGCTGGTTTACTGGCATCAGCAGCAGCAGCAGCCGCCGCCACCAGTCGTGCGAGCAGCCGTAGGCGACAGAATCTCTCGACAATCGACAAATGCTGTTTTTCTATGCTGTTTCTATGCTGTTTTTTTTGCTGTTTTTCTAGCACATTTTTTCTAGCACATTTTTTCTAGCATTTCAGACGACACGTTTGGGAGGTTTTTTGGCGTGGTTCTGGAACTTGCTCGTCCTTCGGAGCCATGGTGTTTTGCTGCCGGGGGCTGCTTTTTTCGAAGCTATTGTACCGGCATCAGCAGCAGCAGCCGCCACCTGCGAGCAGCTGCAGGCGACAGACTCTCTCGAAAAAAGCTGTTTTTCCAGGATTTCAGACGACACGTTAGGCAGTTTTTTAGCGTGGTTCTAAAACTTGCTCGTCCTTTAGAGCCATGGTTTTTTGCTGCCGGGAGCTGCCGGCAGGTGCTTTTTTCGAAGCTATTTTCCTGCGAGTAGCTGCAGGCAACAGAATCTCTCGACAAATGCTGTTTTTCTATAGAATTTCAGACGACCGGTTAGGGAGTTTTTCGGCGTGGTTCTGGAACTTGCTCGTCTTTCAGAGCCATAGTGTTTTGTTGCCGGGAACTGCTTTTTTCGAAGCTGGTTGACCGGCATCCGCAGCAGCAGCAGCCGCCACCAGTCCTGCGAGCAGCTGCAGGCGACAGAATCTCTCGAACAAGGCTGTTTGTCTAGAATTTTTGGCGTGGTTTTGGAACTAGCTCGTCATTCAGAGCCATAGTGTTTTGTTGCCGAGAGGTACTTTTTTCGAAGCTGTTTTCTTCCGAGCCGCCGGAGGCCACAAATTCAAACTTATTTGACTGCCAGCAGAAGGACGAGTAACACCAGTAAATTAGAAGCTCTGCGGCAGCATCCGCGGCAGCAGCGGCAGGAGAAAGTTATGCTGGGATTTGAAGCCGACAAGACAGCTGGATGAAACTTAGAGAGTCTTAAACTTCCGGGGTCGGCGGCAGGGGCGGCAGCCCTTAAATCCGGCCAGGGGCCCCCTGGCCGTGTCCTTGCCGAAGGCGTTTCTCTCCTCTCCGTAGGAGAGAGGGGCCGCCGCCCCTGCCGCCGACACCCCCGGCCGCCAAAAACTACCGCGTTTTACGGTGTTTTGTGCTCTCCGCATTTTTCCGCCTTTTTCGGATCTGGTGGTTTGAGATGGGTCAACATGGGCCAAGATAGGCCTCGAGATGGGCCAACATAGCCCTTAAGATGGGCCAACATAGCCCCAAGATGGGCCAACATAGCCCCAAGATGGGCCAACATAGCTCCAAGATGGGCCCACATAGCCCCAAGATGGGCCAACATAGCCCCAAAATGGGCCAACATAGCCCCAAGATAGGCCGACGACCCTCAAAATATCCTCCGTTTTACAGTGTTTTTTTGCTGTTCCCATTTTTCGGATCTTTTGGCTCCGCACGGGTCAACATGGGCCAACATAGGCCTCAAGATCGGCCGACAAAGGCCTCAAGATCGGCCCACATAGCCTTCAAGATAGGCCAACATAGCCCCAAGCTGGGTAACATAGCTCCAAGCTGAGCCCACATTGCCCGCAAGATAGGCCAACATAGGCCAACAGATGGGCCAACATAGTTGGGCCCCTGCCCCTGACCTCGCGGTGGGGGGCGCGTGTCGACAGAAACCCCTGTAATTTACAGTGTTTTTTTGGCCCTGTGACATTCAACATGTTTTTGCACTAACATCGCGCACGATCGCCCAACATAGCCCCAAGATGCCCAACATAGCCCCAAGATGCCTCAACATCGGCCCACGATGGCCCCAACATAGGCGAACATTGCCCCAAGATGGGCGCAACATGGGCCCAAGATGGGCTAACATAGGCCCAAGATGAGCAAACATAGCCCCAAGATGGGCGCAACATGGGCCCAAAGATGGGCTAACATCGGACCAAAATGGCACAAAATGGGCCCAACAACCAACAACCAACCACCAACCACCAACCACCAACAACCAACCAGCCACCAACAACCAACAACCACAACAACGACCACAACCACAACCACAACCACCGCAACAACAACAACAACAGCAACAACAACAACAACAACAACAACAAGAAGAAGAAGCAGGTCAACATAGTTGGGCCCCTGGCCGGCTGTCGCGCGTAAGCGCTTAAATAATAGTTCAATCCGTCATTCAATACGTTCAATAGTCAAACAGAGTCAAACATATTCCATTTTTTCGGAATCGTTTGCACTGCTTCCATGAGAAATCCACTTGGGACAAAATGGAAGAGGGTCCTTGGAGGAACAAATTCAGTCGTAGGGACATGGTACAAGTTGGCTCATGATTTCTTGAGAAATCCCTTTTCTTGCTATGAAAGTTGGCAGGCTCCTGCCGCAACGCTCCCTTCAAGGTGACATTCCATTGTCCAGCAATGGTCTCTCAAAAAACGACTTGTTCAACTGGCTGAGCTTATCCTTTTCGCAGAATGAATTACAAAAATGAGCAAAATAGGATGGTGACAGCTTCACGATTCCCTCCAACGCTGCCAGGATTTTTTAATCGCTTGGAACCGTCATCTGCAACCTCTGAGCTGAATTCTTCCAGCCAGCGGTCAGTATCAACCACCGTCTGCCCGTCCAGTATGAGCTCCACAAAGAGACGCATCTCTGGCTCGTGCCATACACCGTCAATCTCTTGCCCTTGTCCAACCAATGACTCCAACCACGTGTCCTTGCGCCAAAGGCAACACAGAGCAGCAGGCAGACATCTTGTCCCTTTGTGCTTTAACACATCTTGCGCAAGTGATCGCCCTGTCAGGATTTGGTTGACCAAGAGATGTTTTCGCTGAGTCTCTAGCTCACTGAGAAATAAATGCGTCTTGTG